AAATAGTTGGCGGATTGAGCTGAAAGTTGGTATTCTGAAAGAGCTAAGAGAGGGCTTTCCAATGGTACTAGTTTCGTAGATGGATGGCTGTTTGCTGTAGAGTTATTGAGCTGTAAAGATTGGCGTTCGTAACTTTTTTTATTTTTCTGGGTTTGAATTCAGAAAAAATTGGGGGATGTAGCTCAAATGGTAGAGCGCTCGCTTAGCATGCGAGAGGCACTGGGATCGACGCCCAGCTTCTCCAGTATTTTTGTCTTTTTTAGAAAAAAAAAAAAAAAAAAAAAAAAAAAAAGAGTGTGGTATTTGACGACTTGTGGAGTTAAATATCACTTAGTTAAAACAATAAAAAGTTAACGAGATCAAACTAGTACGTTTTATTTTGAATCAAGTCAAGTCAAGTTCAAAAAGAAGAAAAATATCTACTGCAAAAATTTAAATATCTTCTTCATATTGCGGAACCTAGAAACTGGCAGCTGAGTTATTCTACTCAAAGAAGACGTACGTCTTCTGAACCGTAAAAGAATAGAATTCTCCCTTGAGGAGATTACGCATCTACCCGGAGCGGGTGGACTTGTAAACGTATCCATGGCTTGATCTAGTGATCATGCAACTAACCTATTTTCCCGTGCTAACCATTATGTAGCACTGCTTGCAGGAAAATAGTATTAATTAGGAAAATAGTATTCGTGCGTGGTGTTTGAGTTGAGTGAACAGTTATTGTAAAGGATGATCACAACCTATTATCTTGTAATCATTCTTTATGCCGAAGGCAGAGAATAGTACTTGTAACCTATTATACCTTGGTGTTGAATCAATATATCCTGCATGTCCATATATTAATTCTACTATATATCCCATGTCATATAGTAACGTATTATAGCAAAATAAGTAAACTATATATCCTAAATGACAACCTGTTCAGCCTTATACGAGGTAGCTAATCTCGTATAAGAATCATCACTTATTCTATATTCGTTTCCTACTCTACTTTATATTATTTCAGCAGTAATGAGGTGTGAGGATCTTGTATAATTTGTATACGAGTTCTCCACATCTCATATGATGCTGTCAACTAAACACAACACTTAATTCACGGTACTCATATATTAGAGTTTATGTAGTTTCTAATTATTTCTGGTTTGCAATATTATATAATTCATCTTTATCCTTCATAAAGTGAATTATGTCTTTAATATTTGTATATCATCTACCCTCAAATACGACAAAGAGGTTACCCTTTATTCATTCATTGAGGAGTAGATCTTTTATAATTTAAGTTAGTAAGACATGTGTTCCAGTGAGAGTATGTTATTAACCATATAACCCATGAGTGTATGCAACCCTAGTTGTTATGACAAAGATAGCATCTGTATGTACATCCGAGACAACATCATATGAGTAATTGACTTGATTTAGAAATAAGTTAATATAGTATTCGGATTTGTATAAATCAGATAGTTTTATTTTGCAGATAAAACAATATACATATATCTCATCTATTTAAGCTATTATTCAACTTATTGTTCCTTTACTTTAACTCTTTACTTCCTGGCAAGATTTAGAAGACTTCAACGGAGACTTCGGCAGAATCAAGAAATAGTTTATCCTGTCCGTCCCGTTAGCTATAATGAATCTGCCGAGGTACGGGTCAAAGGAATCTTTAATCAGATCAACTCACTTATGTCGTATTTGAGGCACGATGGCAATATTATATGAGTAAATCACTCAAAACGTCTAACGAAATGTAAAAAAAATAAAACTTGATCTCAGATATGAATACTGCTCATATCTTCGTTCCCGTTTGGTAAGCGGTGTGTTCGATTGCATACATTTGAACCTTAGATCAAATGTATAACAAATAAAGATAAAATAAGAAAAGATTATGGATTAAGGATAATTCTTATGAGAGATTAGCTACCTCACATAAGAACTGAACAGGTTATCTTTATGAAATTTATTTTACTTAGATTATCTATGGCTATATGACATTTGGGTATATAGCAGGATTGGTATATGCACTCGTAGGATATATTGATTCAACAACCAGAACATAGTAGGCCATGGTACTGCTCCCTGCTCTGGAAATAAAGTATAGTTGGAGATAAAAAGGCTCAATCACTCTTTATTAAGACAACAACTGTTCATGCAATCAAAAGAACACCACGCACGAATATCTCTTCCTAGCTTACATCTATAATCATTCCCAAGTATCTGAGCTACACAACTGGTGGCCGATAGATATTGGATTATAGATGTAGCTGCATGATCACCCTGGATCTGCCAGGATAGCACATTACAAATCAAGCCGCTCTGAGATGGACGAGTAATGATCCACTTAAAGGGAAGACCTATTCTTTTACGGAAACCTCTGATTCACTGAGTATTATTTGACCATAATACATCAGTGTCAGCTATAGATCCCGATACAATCATTTCGTAGACAGCAAACACAATAAGTCTTTATTAATAGCAGTAATTTTAGTTTTCTTTTCTTTTTCTTTAGTTTGTTTTTGAAAGAGAAATAATGACGGTGGTTTGATTTCGTTAAGCTTTCGTGCTTATTTTCTCTTGTGTTATTCTTTACCTTTTATCTTATAGTTAAAACTAGCGAATACCACAGAATTCTGCCAGAATGTAAAGAGTTAAAGTAAGGATCAACAAGTTAGATAATAGGTTAAGTAGATGAGATATATGTATATTGTTTGATCTGCAAAATAAAGTTATCTAATTTAATCAAATCCAAATACTATAATAGCTTATTTCTAAATGAAATCAATTACTCATCCAATATTGTCTCGGATACACAGATGAAATATTTCTTCCGTAAAAGAAAAGAAATTGTTCTAACAAGTTTATCACTCACGGTTATTCTAACCTTCATAAGGATCCGCAATCTCTTATTTCAGTATTATGTAATAATCCAAGAGTAATATGATGTTGGATACAACATTTTCTCTTTTGCTCCCTTAATATCACAATAAAGCATTTGAATTTTGATGAAAAAAAAAAAAAAGCGCATTGTCGTGCCTAACCAGATAGCCTCTTCTATCAAGGTTCTTAAATTCTTATTTGTTTGGTTTTTTTTTTTTTGGGTTTTTTATTGAAAAGAGCAAAGCTTATTTCATGTTATTGGTCTTTTATCCAATTTTAGCTTATTAATTAGGATCACTTTTTCGTTGCACGTTGGTAAATATATTTAGAGGGACTCACAAAAGTGTGACAATAGTTTGATCTTTTAGCCAACTCACTCTTGCTCTTTCTGCTCTTTTCGGTATAAAGACAGATACGTAACGGAAAGAGTATCTTGAATGACCAAGGAGACAAAAGCTTTCTCTTTCGAATGATATAACTTTTGTACTGTCTCGATAAGACTCTCAGAGCAAAAACATGATTTTCAAATTGACATGTGAGAATTTCCTGCAAATTTTGCGATCAAGATTTTGGGGGGGGGGCAGGACCATCTATCGCCTGCATACTACTTGTATACGTCTAGGCATACTCTCGATGTGTTTCATACACATTTCTGCCGTAACTTTGTTGTACCAAACGTCGGCAACACGATCCCATAGGTCTGCCATGTTCTTGGAAGGTACATCGTACGCAGCTAGTTTGCACTTTAGATAAAACCAAAGATTTTCGATCGGATTGGGAGTAGGATGGCCAGTCAAGAACGTTGACCTTGTTTTTTCTGAACCATTCTTTAGTATATTTAGCAGTATGCTTAGGATCGTTATCTTGCTGCAAGATCACATCCTTCTTTTTGAGACTATAATCTTTGAGGGTCTCCGTAAAGTCGCCTTTCAAGATTTCACAATATAACTTCGAGTCCATCCCGCCCTCAATCTTAGCAATGAACCCAGGCCCATGTTGGGTGAAACAACTCCATAGCATTAGGCTACCGCCACCTCCTTTGTACATGAAATTAACGTTGTGAGGCTTTAGGGGCTCCCCTTTGTTTACCCAAGTCCAAGTCTTACCATCCGACCCCAAACGGTTAATTTTGGTTTCGTCACTAAAGACAACCTTTTTCCAGTCATCGACAGTCCACTTGCTATGAGCTCTTGCCCATCTCAAACGATTGCGTCGGCGTTCATTAGTCAATGGCAATGCTGATTTCTTGATCTTGGAATCGAAATCAGATGACTTGAGCACCCTACGAATCGTTTGAGCAGAAATATCGTGCCCTTGAGCACGAAGGCTTCTGGAGGCATCCACGGCGGTTGTATATTGACCGGTGTAGAATGATCTCGTGATCAGTCTAGCAAGCAAATCACTGGTTTTCTTTCGTCCGCCCATCTTCGCCTTAGGTTCCACCTGATTCTCTTTTACGGCTCGATCATTGATTCTCGTGGAGACGCCAGTAGCTGCTGAGATAGCTCTATACGACTTTTTAACATCGAGTTGATTGAAATATCCATTATTTGTCGTAAGAAATGTTTCTCATTTCACGGATTAGATTGACGCTTGCTAATGGAGATTTATGGCAGATTGTTCTCGAATTTAACATAATGTTAACAAGATAACGCTTCAAAATGAGCGTTTCGCATGAATATAGGGCCAGAAACCTGGTTAAGATTGGCTGACTTCAAACCTCGTTTGCTTTTTTTTTCACAAAAAGAAAGTTCTGACAGTGATCATATTATGAATGGCAAGATTTCGCCATTTTGCATAGACAACTGTTACAATCAGTAATTTTGAAGCGAATGTAGAAAAAAAAAAAACCAAACTGTAGCGAATAGTAACTACTTTAAATATGAGTAAAAATAAAGAGCGTATTTCAATTGATTATGGGAGGCAAACTATTCATTAGAAAAGGGATAGAGATGAAAGTAAATCTTGGGATAGAGCATAAAGTTAACTGAGGTTGTAATAAAGTATATCAGATCGAAGCCTAAGAAGGAAAAACGAGCTTGATTGGTCGAAAGGCGAAATCAAAACGGATATTCCTCTGCCCATTTTGAGAGGGACCCCCCTAACTCATTTCCTTTTTATAAAAGGTGGAATAATTTTCCCCGCTTTTTGGCTCTTCTGGTTACCAAGCTCAGTTTTCATTCAATAGATGTCAACTTCTAAAATGTGTTTACGAGCTTTTACCAAGTTACCTTCGTATACACATCAGAGTTTTAAACAAACAAGTAACTTCAAGCATACTATGATTTCTGCAGTTGCGGCTATCAGCTAATGCGTACATTACAAACAAATCGTTCCATAGATTGGACTAGGTCCCTGTCAACGGTCAATGCAAGCTTGCGTCAGGCCAATACTTTTACAAAAAATACACCTCCAGAAACCCTTAGTAAGCATATTATTTACAATAGGTTAAAAATGCTCTTTATGTGAGGCACAAGGAATTTAATGATCTATCTTTTAATGTAGTTCCACCTGTCCAAACACAATTGAAACATCCTCTTCAGAAAAAAAAGTACGAAACCATCTCACCCTACAATTTAACACTGCCAAAACTTATGGCTGTTGGACTTCACCTTGGTCATTCTACAAAATTATGGGAACCTGCCACTCTTCCTTTCATTTTCGGTACGAGAGAGGGAATTAGTATAATTAATCTAGAACAAACCCTTGTATACTTGAGACGAGCATGTAATGTGACACGTGAAGTCGCCTTAAGAGGGGGCTCAATCTTATTCATCGGTACTCGTCCAGGCTTTCAAGATATAACCATCGAAGCAGCTCGCGCTTGCGAAGGGTATCACGTATCTTCCAAATGGATTCCGGGCACTCTTACAAATCGTTTACAAGTGCTGGGCCGCCATGCTCCGCCTGACGCAGAAGATCCTGGCCGCATACCTGTCACCTACAAGCCAGATTTGATCATCCTTTTGAATCCCTTAGAACATAAGATTGCTATCAATGAAGCTCAGTTACATAATATTCCTATGATTGCTATAACTGATACAGACTACGATCCACGACATGTATCATATCCTATTCCTGCAAATGATGATTCCGTCCGCGGTGTAGAATTGATTGCAAAAGTCTTGTCAGCAGCGGCTAAAGAAGGTTTGCATCGAAGAAAATTGTTGTTCAACCAACGGGAAAAAGAAGAAAGATTGTTCCGGAAGCAGTCAATAAAAGTGGAGGAAGAAAAAATCGAGTAACTTGACTGTAAATGTACAGTGCTCGATAAAGCAGCATTAAAATCCCCCAGTCTTATGTAATATAGCAACTGTATATCTGAACCAAGAAGCTGGAAACTGCAACTTAATGAGTATATGAATAAAGTCTTGTTTTATAGAAAGAGTATTGACGCAGTAAATGAGATAGAATGAGTGGATAATTTAGTGGGTAAGAGGTTTCAGGGATAATTAAAATAAGGATACTCAGTCATGCACCTGTAATACGTAGCTGTTCCCTGGAACAGTACTGTACCCATTGGTTCGGTCTCCAATATTTTGCGGCTCTGCCAGTTTAGCAACATTTACGACTCGCTGCCTGGGACATCGACAGTTTCTGCAGTTTTGACTCTCGAGCTTGATCGTTTTTGGTTTCATACCTTCCGTAATGAGCTAAACTATCGGTTCAGGAGTAATGCCTACATATTACAATTGCGTCAAATTGAAATCGATAAAACCATTGACAGTGTTGAATATTCTTCATATCATCCGCATAAGCCAGGAGAGTGATTCGTATGTCGTATTTCATAACATTATTTTATCGAAAGTCACTTTGATAGAGGAATTTGGTATAGAGATAGCTTCTGCTGGGTAATTCCTCCTACTATCTCAAAAAGATCATTATATACCTGAATTTTGAACCTAAACAGTGGCGTCATGTGGCCGTTTTGTAACTGTTTGTAATAAGCAATTGTCCTGCTATCAGATGGTCTCTTTTATTGACAACTTTATGGAAATCACAGCATGCTGCATTTTGATTAACGCGTCAGTATACGATTTTAGTAGCGTACTCTGCGTATTAACAAACTCTTCTTCAGCTCGTTAGCGGATACGTAATGTATTGCCGTAGAAAGTTTTTCGATAGGGCCCACGTTCACCTTTTAATCTCTGAAATGGTTCACCTAAAAATGGTGAAACTGTTATAGTTCATTACTGTGGATTTTGAAAGGAAAGCTAGGCTGTTATTAAATACAGTGCTTCAAAGTTGCATCTTCAAAAAATGTAAAACTGATAAAAAATATGTCGCTGCGAGTGTTTTGCACGTGGAACAGATCACTTGTCATTGAAGCGTTCTGATTGCTTAAAGATACACCATAACCAGCATGCTGTTGCCTATATAAAATTCTCGTCAGTGGCACCGATGCCAAATGAATCGTTGGACAGCAGATATATTATTACTGCCATAGACCAAATGGCAGATGTGTGTGTCGAGCATTATTTGCATATCTGTATTGGAAGCTGCATCTATAGGCAATGATACCATAAATTGAGGTTCGTGAACAGTCTAACAGAGAAAAAGATGATAACGATTGCATTTTTTCTATGGCCGATCTAATGTTACTGCCTTTCATCAATATTATGAACTTCTATCATTGTCATCGAATTTTAAGGATAACAGTTAGATTAAAAATAACTTAGTGAGGGATGGAGGGTAATTCTAGCCGGTGAGTGATCCTGCTGTCCCAGAAAAGCGAACCGGTTTAAGCGTTGAGCAAGCAGTTGTCACCGTTTTCTTCTGACTTCCCGCTTATGAGCTGTAGCTTTTGTCGTATTTTCAGTTTAAATCAGTTGATTAAAGCATATATTGAAGTGTTTGGTTTCTTGCCAGTTATTTCAACATTTACAGCTTCTTGTTGAGCTTTTAGTTTTGCCCTCTTCTTCCCTCAATCAGTTTAACAGAATATGATAAACAATAAGGCGTATCATATAGTACTATAACAGGTAGAAGTTGAGAAGAGCCTTATCCGAGAAGAGAGTGACAGTGAATATACTTCAATATTAATTATTAATTATTATATACCGATATATCACAGAATTATCCCATCACTAAACATAATAGTGACCTTATAACATGTGGATTCGCAAGACGCTATAAATGACCTCATCAGTTTATGCTTCTTCTTATAACAGTGATTTGAATAATGAGCCGGTATACCAACATTTTGCGTTTTACAATCACAGATCTAAATTCTACCCGCGCCAGTCAAAAAATGATGAGGGAAATTGATCCAAAAACAGCATAAAACTCCCAATGACCCCGAGTTGCTGACTTTACATATTTTTGTTCTCGCTTGATGAAGAAATTTGGGATATTTTCATTGATAATTTTTCCTGCTTAATATTGTTTCAAATACACGCGCGTATAAAATGTTGGATTCAGACAACCCGTACGCAGCTTTGTCAACAGATGGGAATGCCGATATTGGAAACGGAAGTGAGAAGGAAGTCTCGGTAACGTTGCCTTTTCTATGATGAGTACACAACTGCTATACTTGTGAAGACTTACAAATAAATCAATTGCATCTAGTTCTTTCGATTCAAAAGCTTAGCGCACGATTCCAGAGTCAGGATACCAAATGCAGCCTTTAAGCAAACTAAAATCAACAAATCAACTGCTTTGTTTGATTGCTCAAGTCATTACAACTACTTTGTAGCAGCAACTTTGGATGGTAATGAAAAAAGAATTTGGAAACGAATTAAGCTCTTTGCTTCACAGTTGATTAACATTGAAATATTTGCATTTTGCTGACGTTGATTAGGTTTTGTTTTGGGTGAACTGAAAAAGTTGCGAACACAGATATATGAGACAAAACGTGGCGAAACCAGCAGCTTGAAAGACTACATTTTGGTGCCTGTAAAAGAAGGTCAAATTGATATACTCTGTTTATCAGCGAATCAGTGCCAGTTGTTCATTGCAGTTTCTGGTGGGAAATTGTTAACGTACAATATCCAAGATATCATCAAAAATGTAAAAGTCATAAAGTATAGATATATATTGTAGATATCGGTCCGTTAATATCATGGCAATTGCCTTTATTTTTTGTTCTAGAAAGCAGATGCAGTGCCATTCGCCATACAAGCATTGGATAGCGACATCACATATATGAAACCAAATCCAGAAGCCTACACAGATATCATTGCCATTTGCACAAAAAATAATGAATGTTCGCTGATTAAGTATGCTAATCAAGAAGTCATTACTACCATACCCGGTATTTTCACGATGTGTTGGTCGCCCAAAGGGAAGCAATTGATTTGTGGTTCAATGAAAGGTTGGCTTGAAGCCATTGATGTGCACGGTACTAAGAAAGATGAAATTCCTCCACCCTCGTCTATGCAAGGCCGTTATGTGAATGCTGTGCAATGGATCGACAATAACACCTTCTTTGTAGTTTATTCTCAACCTTTCAACCCCGCTGACGATACTGCAGAGCATGTGCATTCACCTTTTATTGTCAATCGCAAAGCTGCAAGTAATGCTGAAATGTATGAATTGCTAGGGGAAATTAATCCTGTTTTTGGCATGGTTGAACGAGAGGATCACTTTGATATACTCATTGTACGTGATTTCGGTGACGATATTAAGTGCTTGCTTATCACTTTCGATTCAGCCGCTACTGATATTTCTTTCGTGGGCCAAGATAACGCAGGAAACTGGGCTACATGGATGATAGAGCCTGCTCCATGTTTACCAGTCTCAAGTGATGGAGTCAACGATACGTACGCTGTCGGAACAGGTATAGATTTCTCAGTCTCTGAACCTTTACCAGCCGTAGATACAGCGGACGGTGGTGACGGATCTACACCAGTACCGCCTATGCCTGTTGTTTACTATATGACAACAGATGGTGATATTTGTGCTTACCAGCTCTATAATGAAAACTTGGCCAAAAAGGTACAAGGCTATACGGGTATGGTTGACGCCAAAAATATGCAAGATGTGCCTTTGACTAGAGAAATTTCAAGCCCATCTCTACAGCAAACCACACCTGTTTCAGCTTTCGGTGCTACTGTAGCGTCTGGAACTTTCCAGCCGGCTCCTTCTGCATTCAGCGCTTTTACGTCAACAGCGACACCTAATTCGGCCTTTGCCGCCGTTACAGGATCACCTCAATCAGCCTTTGCCTCAACTACTGGAAAACAGCCTTCAACACATTTCCCATCTTTTAGTAGCTTGGGTGCGAATGTGACACCACAAAAAATTAACACTAGTATGAGTCCCTCCTCTGCATTCCCATTTACAGCAAAAAGTAGTAATACTCTAGCGGCTACGTCGCCATCGTTCGGTCAACCGTCAGCTTTTGGTATGGTTGGGAACAATGGTCCGAACAATGCTCTTCCACAAACCCAATCATTTGCTTCCCTTGCAAAAGTGAGCTCGTCTGTTGCTAGCGGTAGCTTCGGCAGCAGCAATGGCACTACTTTTAAGTTTAATAGTACGTCACCTAGTGTCGGTTTTGGACAAAGCAGTACTTTCGGTCAGCCAAGCAACTTTGGACAGCCAAGCAACTTTGGACAGCCCAACTCATTCGGTGCTAGCAATCAAAAGAGTAGCCCGTGGGCTCAGCAAGCGAGTAATGCAGCTTCATCATTTAGCGGCTTCCCAAAGCCCACTTCTACAAACGCCTCCAGCGAGGAAGCCAAACAATATCCGTTTGGAAAACCTCTTTTCAATACTTCTAACACTGCCTCTAGCGAAAGTAAATTCAAACCATTATTGGATCAACAAAAGGAGCAACTGACTTTGCCATCTTCTTTTACAGCACCCGCAGACAGTATGAAACAGACACAAACTATGCATGGAAAGGGAGAAAATACAAGTGGTCAATCTGCAGTGGGCAGTCTTGCTCAAGCTATGGCCTCTACCACGGTTACTGATGAGATAAACGATAAAAAAAAACAAGAGCAAAAAGAGGAAGAATTGGAAGAACCAAGCAATAAGGCTGATGAAAGTGTTGTAGTCGTTGAAAACCCCAGTAGTCACAGTAGTAGTGGTAGCGATGGTGTTCATACGATAGACGAAACAGATGAAGAAGAAAAGGAGGACGACCATCGATCATTAGACTTTTCATCCTCAGATAAAGTCTCTTTTAATCATACCGAAGACTATGATACGGAAAAAGAAGAGAATCAATCAGACGAAATTGAAAGTGATATTAGTGAGAGAAATGAAGATGCTGAAGACTCAAATAGTGATCAGGAAGATGCACATACCGACAAAGCGGAGGAGCCAGTATATGAAGAGAAGGAACCAGGGCCTTTGAATGAGACAGAAAAGCTTCCAATGTCTACACCATTCGATGAAATAACGAGAGATCAGGGAGATAACTTTGAAGGCAAACAGCATCTCCAGCAGGCAATCACGGATAGAACAACTACTACTCAGAACGATGTTTCTAGTATGAGTCCATCTATACAGGTTGAAGTGACACATCAACAGGAAATTATGCCTGAAGTGAGAGAGACAGAAATAGAGATTGAGTTGACAGATGATCAAAAGCAAATGATAGAAGAAGAGAAACGTATGATTGAGGAAGAAAAGCGTTATGCTGAAGAAGAGCAACGAAGAGCAAACGAAGAAAAGAAGAAAGCAGAAGAAGCAAGACAAAAAGCTGAAATCATTAAGAAGAAGGCAGAAGAGGAAATTCAAAAGGTGAGAGCTGAAAGACGTAGAGCAGAGGAGGTACGCCGCCAAGCCGAAGAGAGTAGGATAAGGGCAGAGCAGGAGCGACGCGCAGAAGAAACACGATTAGCAGAAGAAAAGCGTAAAGCTGAAGAAAAGCTTTTGGAAGACAAGAAAAGATTAGCAGAAGAAAGCTTTCAGTTTGTTAGAAAGGAGAAGCAAAAACCATCAGTAGCGGAAATAATAGAAGCTAAAAGGGCTCCCGGTTTGACAGGAATTGCGAAGGCGTTTGAAGATATCTGTTTTGATTTGATGCAGGCAATACAAGAGGCATGTAGATACAAAAAGCAGCCTTTGTTGACTTATAGTGTTTGTGTGCTAATGTATTTGTATGGCTTTTATAGACATCTACAATAATTAATGAGAATAATGAGGACATCACATCTCACGATAAAGATAGCCTCGCGAAGAAAGACCTTTCTTGTTTTGAAAGATGCGATATAAAGTGGAAATTGTCAGATATCGAAGAAACGCCATATATGACAAAAGCTTTGCTCAACCAATGCGACAAGCTTTTCGAATCATTGGAGAAATATTTAACATTATCGACAGACTTGGCAGACAATGTTGATCGACGTAAGTTCCACTAACCTTGTGAGATGAAAAATTCTGTGCTGATTTTGTACTGTATACTGTAGTTACGTGCAAGAAAGATACGATTGCAAAAGCGATTGATACAAAGGACGTTGATGCGATGTTGAGTGATGCCGTTAACAATGATCGCTCTTATGTGGAAACAACAGTGAACGCAGAGTTGGAGAAGTTAAAGACAACGACAAGTATTGTAGAAAGCAAATTGGACAAACTCAAAAAGAAGTTGAATAATGAGGCGAAGAAAAATAGCAAATATGGGTAATCATTAATTAGTCTTTAAAATAGAGAGGAAGGAGATGATGGGAAAGCTAACGCTTGTTTTTATATAGTCAACTGACCAATCAAAGCTTACGTCGTATTCTTCGTGATATTGATCGTTCCATTGACGAAGCACAATCAAAGATTAGAAGTATAATGAAAAAAGACTGCGCGTTGAAATCCATGGAAGACGATGAAAATGCAAATAGCAGCATTAAAAGCACCGAGTCTCAACATGAAAAAGATTTGAAATCCAAGTATCGTGCACGTATGACAGATCGTGCTGTATTCCTCGGTCTTATAGCCAATTTGAAATAAGCAAAGCTTTCCCCCACATTTCACTTAACAGAGATATTAGGAACTTGGCTGCCATTGATCATTAAAATGATACTTTATGAAACTTGCTGTACAATATTATGAAGAGTTGTACGTGATGCTGTAAATTGCCTTTAACCTATTCTCACTGTTAACGGGCGTTGAGAGCTGTATCTTCTACTGACAATAAATAACGAGCGTGGTGCTTAAAGTGTTCAAGCCAATATAGTCAAACGGATCTGTAATCTTTGCCATTTCTTCCGCGGACTAACGAAAGAGATCGTCAGGGTCTTTTAAAATTTAAAAGACAGCTCAAGCTTTTCTATTTTCATCTTTTGCACACGTAATGAGAAGCGATTTCTCAAAAAACGGTTGCTAAATTTACAGTAAATTGATTGAAACTAGCTCTTATATTCTGTGTCATGCTTGCAAATTGATTTTTTAAAATTGAGGCGTGGTCAACTGAGAGAAATCATGCTGAAAACAAGGCAATAAAAAGAAAAAAAAAAAATTGCATGAAACAAGGATTGAAAGAACTGTTTTCATTGGTGTATTCCATTCGTGACTGAGAGAAGAGGGGGGGGGGGGCGAAGAGTTAAAGGGAAAAGATAAAAAACGAACAAAATGAAGGGAAAATTTTGGACACCTTTTTCTAACCCATCTTTATTTATTTGTTTTCTGCCAAAGAAAAGATACCAAAATGGTAAACAAATCATAAAATGAAAGTCTTATAGTGGAAGGTTTACTAAAGAGATACCCGTTTGTATTGTTAACTTTAGACTACCTCACTAAAAAGCAGTAATACCAGTAACTTATTAAACAATAGTCAAAATGATAAAGTAAAGTTATTTGATTCAAAATGTTGAATTGTTAGAAATGACAGCTTGTAATGATATTTTAACCTCTTTAAAGCTTAGTAATAATACAATGAGTCCAAGGAGACACAATAAGCCTCTCGATTTAGAGATTGATACATCACCTGTGAAATCAATATCACCAAGTTCCATCACATCCAAAACAAACGCCTTCTTTCATGTGTCAACAGATCCAGTAAGCTTACCTCGCCCACCGCCCTCATTGTCCCGCAAAATATCTATTAGACAGACTGTACCTTCTACAGCAGCTGCTTCTTCTTCCAAAATGATGACTCCTATATCTGCCGTCGATACTAGCAGTAATATTGGCTTACCTATATCACCACTTGGTAAAGTAATGGACGAAGGAGCTATGACAGAAACCGTACACCATGACGATGACAGTGACGACAACAGCTTTTACATGAATAACAATAACTTTGCCAGCAGACTAAGAAGTTTAATAGCGAGACAGCATTCAGTATCGTCTTCGGCCTATTCTACTGAAAAAGACAGGCTGTACGAAGATGATACTTTACCGTCACCATCACCTACTACGCCTGTCGATCTTGACTTTACAGAGCTGCCTACACCACTACCAACACAAACTATGAGCAGTAGCAGCAGTACACTTGCATCCAAGTTTCTATATCCTTTACCGCCTGCTACAGCGACGAAAACATCGACAGAACTATTATCAGTAAACGAATGCAATGAAAGTATTGACTCAAAAGTAATTGGTCGATCTATCGGATCCTATCTTGTCTGTAAACTATTAGGCGTAGGTGCCTTTTCAAGAGTTTACTTGGTCGAAAAAAAGGATACAGATCAAAAACCATCTTATTTCGCAATGAAAACGATACAGAAAGGGAAATTGCTGGATGATCCCCGAGTAAGAACGACTATCGACAGAGAAATCAATATACTAAAAGTAAGCCGTCTAATTTAGATAAGTCATACACTGCTACATTTACCCACTAATTACTGTTTAATTTTCTTTAGGGTATTGATCATCCGAATATTATCCATTTTGAGGAAACAGTAGAGACAGAAGACAGAATGTGCATCATTATCGATTATATTGAAGGCGGCGAGTTATTTGATTTCGTACAGAAAATGCACCGTCAATTGCAGGTGACTCAGCAAAGCGTTGATGAGAGCCTTATCAAATCACTGTTTAAGCAGTTACTGACTGCTGTAGCATGGTTACATGATCATCACATAGTCCACAGAGACTTGAAATTAGAAAGTAATGTATACTGCACTCACAGGAGAAACGCGATTCATGGATGGTTGAGATTTTGGTTGTTTTTTTCTTACTAAAGCTTTTCTTGTTTTTTTTTTTCAAAACTTGACTTGTACTCTACAGACATTTTGATACATAGGAAAAATCCATTTCCAACAACTAGCAGTTATGACCCGGATGACATTGTGCTGAAAATTACAGATTTCGGCCTAGCGCGGACTGTAGACCCTCAATCACCTTACTTGGTCACAAGATGTGGAAGTGAAGAATACGCTGCACCTGAGGTCATTCAGCAAAAAAGCTATGATGGCCGTAAAACAGATACATGGGCACTGGGTATCATTCTTTACAGCTTGCTTGTCGGTTACTTACCTTTTCGTTATGATCGTCGTAAAAAGGAACGTGTGTCTCAACTATTTTATCGCATTGTACGGGCCGACATAAAATGGCCTCAAGAAACGGCTGATTCAGCCTCCTATGGCAAAATAAGCAATGAGGCAAAATTTGTCGTGCAAGCTATCTTGGAGAGAGATCCAGAAAAGAGAATATCTATACATGATGTTGCAAAACTACCATGGTTCAACTCTTAATTTATTGTGAATTAATAAAGTTGGTTTCAGTGCCAGGAAAGAGCAGATCAACCCTGCCAAGTGTTTTTTTGTCCCCGATTGGACAGGTGATCTGTTTTATGCAAAACTGGCTGTTTCAAGCTTTCCATTTTTACTGCCTTTAAAAAATAGAGTGCTCTTTGTTGCGTTCTGCCTCTTTCGTCTTCTTTCTTAATTACTGTCGAAATGTCAATGTTTGATCGTTTCAAAGAGCAAGCCTCAAAGGCAGCAGCAGGTATGACTTCTCTGAGGCGTTCAAACGGCCAACGAGCCAAGAAATTACCGCACCTTCTCAAACTTCAATTTGACCGAATATTTAGGCGCTACTGCTTTTGGTCAACAAGCAAGCCGTTCGATTAGCGATGCAGCAGGTAATATATATTCATTTATCTGTCCAAGAAGTTGATTATTAAAGTGAGAAATGGGATAAAAAGACTCACAAATTTCTACATACGTTAATTTGCAAAGGCAAAACTGGTCAATATGTCAATAGCCCCATACCGAAAAGTCTAGGTGAAGAATGCATCAAAGCATCAAGAATTTTACAACAATTCATCAGTAAGCCTACATAAAACTCTTTTGAACAGTAAGAATTTTTTAGTGACTTTCATTGATAATGTTATGTTAGGTAAGGAAGAAATTGAAAATGGATTTGATACCATTATACCTGTCTCAGTCATCAAAGAAGCCAAAGGCCTTGCCATTTTTACTGTGTTGAAGGCAGGCTTTTTATGGAGTGGACGCGCAGGAAGCGGTATTGTAATAGCAAGGTAACCGTGGTAGTTAAACAACAATGAAAAGTGATATGTGCCGTCTAATTTGGAAGAGAACATTGTTTGTTTTAACAATTGGGATAGATTACCTGATGGCCGTTGGAGTGCTCCAACCGCGATTGCTACGGGTGGTGTAGGTTTTGGTGCTCAAATTGGCGCTGATATTACCGACTTTGTCCTCATCCTTAACAGCGAAGAAGCTGTACGTGCCTTTTCTCAGGGCGGTAATATTACTTTGGGAGGAAATCTAGCCGTTAGTGCGGGTCCTATTGGCGCTGGTGGTGAAGCTTCTATTACCGGCGACATTCGCGAGAAGAAAGTTACTCCTGTTTTTAGCTACACAAAATCGAAAGGTCTGTTTGCCGGTATGAGTATTGAAGGTACAGGAGTTTTAGAACTCACAAAGGCCAATGAAAAATTCTATGGAAGGCCCGTTCGAGCACAGTCACTGTTGAAAGGTGATATCGAACCGCCTGCAGAAGCTCAAGTACTGTATGATACCATCCGAAAAGCAGAGACACGCGATCCTTATTAGTTATACATTAGCGTTAACAAAGCCCTGTTTTTTTGCTGGCGTTGACTATCAGTGCAAAGAATGCCGTACTTTATATATTACTTTTTAATCTATTGTTATACACATATGTAACACATTTACAACTTTTGGTCTAGTCCGACTATTTCGGCAAGTCCAATATAAAGGTTAGTTGAAATACAGCGAGTAGCAGAAACCCTTTTATTTTACATTAATTTCGTTTTCTGTTGTTGTTAAGTGTATGTCCTTGTGATTGTTGACGTTGGCCTTGCTTCAAAAAAGCCTTTACTTGACTACCTGTTGCTGTATACCATGAATATAAAACAAATGCTTGTAGACCATGGAAAACGGATAGAGCCCAGCTTGCTTTGACACTCAATGGTCCATCATTGCGCGATTGGAAAATGATCAAAGTCATGATCATATGGAAAGTTAAGAAACCAGCGGCTATGTAGTAGATATACGTAGAGCGATTCAATAAATTGCTAGTACCATTTCATCATATGCAAACAGTGATAGTAGTCATAATCTTTTTTACCTGCTCCTCTTTTACATGGCAACATATTTGGCATTTCACGACATAATAAACTAATAGAGGCGATGGAGGCTAAACCTGCACCGTAAAGCCTTAAAAGGAATATGTGGGTGGAGTCAAACGTCTGTCCAGGAAAGATAGTATTCGTAAGGTATGGTAAAAAGATAAGTTGGATGGCTAAAGCAGCTTGGATGAGTCCGTGCTAATTGATATATATCGAAAGAAGCGGGACAGTGCGTAGAGTTAATACGTGAAGCCTTATCCATTCCTGCCTTTTCCTAATTTATACCCTACAGCTGCAAAAATAAAGTTGAGGGCTGACATCTCTAATCAATCTTTTCTTCTTTTTGTATCAATTGCTATTAATGTTGATAGTAATGATGGAGGGGCTTTGAAAGAGATGAACAGTGACTACAAAATAAACAATATACAATTGTCAATTAAGAAAATTCTAAGAAAGAAATGGTTTTTGGCAGCTGCCTTTTTTTCTACCAATTTTTGGCGATTTTGGGGTAAACGGTCACTCATTTTCACCAGTATCAGCTCGTTTGATTTTTCTTCGCTTTATCTCTAACGTTATAGTTCTATGTCGTGCATGTTGGGCATAGCGATTAAAACAGATGACGATTAACTTTTATTGAACCCTGCCCATCAAGCCAACATCATAATCATTTGATATACTCACCATATAACTCATAAGCATACAGCGGTTGCTAGCTTAGGATTCATCGTACATTCAAAGGAATATTCCTGCAGAGTATAGCATTGTGATGAATTGTTTACAAATTCTTACTCCACCAAACAGACTACAATGCTTTTTTTTTGTTTCGATATTCAACAGTTGAACGTAAATTTTCATTGATAAGACCTTGTAGCCTTCTACGTCTTTTCTTCCTTGTGTATTTTTAAAAAGAACTAACTCAAGCTATAAAGTACTGTATCGCAGAGAATAGCACTGATGTAAATAACTTCAAATTTGAAAGAATAAGCATAGAAATCCTTGAGCCTTCTTGTACCTTGAAACAGATTTAATAAACTGAATTGATTCCCAGCACCATTGATTTACCTTTTTGCCCTCATTGTTGAATAAACTGACAAAGACATAGATGGATCGTAGAAAAGAAGAATTAGAAAAGAAACGACAGAAATTGGCAGAATTGCGACGTGCCCGTGAGGAAAGACGAGCTTTGCTAGAAAGTCAGTCAACACAAACTACTGTAAAGCTCACAAAGGGAATTGTAAAACGGAAAAGCATCCAGACGTTTTAACTATATTCATTCCCCTTTTTTCATGCCACCTTTTATAACTGTTTTGTAGACAACTACTTCAAGCACTGGAAGAGATAGAAAGGCCATTGACGACCTTGTTGCTTTGGTATTGGGTGAACGATCTTCTACACCTACCAATGCTAACGGCAGTGGCAGCGATCGTGGGTCTGATGCGGGCTCAGAATTCTCTACTTCACGACCTACTTCAGCTAACTTTGGTTACTCTTCTCCAGGCACCCCTATTAGTCAGTAAAGTATAGGAAACTGAGGATCTTTCTCTAAATTGATGAGAGAACGTTGGCCTTAAAGATGAAAATTGCTTTTTTTAATTTTTCAGGAGCGATGCGCGGCTATCGATGTTATCAGCCGTTTCCTCTTCAACACAAATAGCACCAAACACACCTACTACAACAGCAAGCCAGCATCATTATGTAGCAGAACTAACTGAAAGTCAATCCACAATAGCTGATATTCCACCACTGGTAAATTTGGAATGACTTCTTCAACGTGGATATTGAAGAATTGACTTTATTGACATAAATGAACAATTTTTATACGTTTAAAGGAACGCGTTGTTTATAGTAAGGAAATTCAAACAACAGACGGATCTATGGATGCTCCGCAAGTTTCAGAAGAGGAAATCAGAAAACAACTCATGGAAGAGTTCGAAGAACGAGAGAAACAAAAAATAGCACAACTTGAAGAAGAAATTCGAAAAGCAGAGCAAAAAGAACAAGAGGAGATCAAAGGTGATGTTTCCTCTACCGCTGATTCCGTTGATCAGTATTAAAACTTACTCAAGTCAATGTGATATAGATCTAACGGAAGAAGAAGCAAGGAATATCCAAAAATCACAAGAGTTTGCTGAATTCATTGACCATTCAACAAAGTTAGTAGAAAGAGCATTGAATGAGAAATACGACTTTATGAAAGACTATACCCTAGGCATCGATGCTGAAAAGTAAATGCAAAAAGTAACGAATCAAGTAACTTGCTTACATAAGAGTAGGATACTCATTGGCTTTACCATAACCATACAGTGACGAGAATTCTGGTAAACTTGTGAAGCTCACTTGCGAATTTTGGGATGAGAAATTATGTAAGAATAGATCAGTAACAGATGTGAATTGGTCTCTGAAAGTAAGTTGCTTAACACCGGAAGTCATTACGCCTTAATGGCTTTATACATAACCTTTCTTTTTGTTATGAAATTTTCAGTATCCTGAACTCGTTGTTTCATCGTATAACAAAAATCCTCTTGCACCTAATGAGCCTGATGGCATTGCCTTGATATGGAACGAGCATTTGGTTGATCGACCCGAATTCGTCTTCCACTCACAAGTAAATAACATAGTTGTGCCGTTTCGATTATACAAAAAGATCGCTTACGGATTCTTTTTATTTCTAACGTCAATATACAGTCTGACGTACTTAGCGTCATGTTCAGCAAATTTCATCCTAACTATGTCATTGGCGGTACTTACTCTGGGCAGATTGTATTATGGGATACTCGTGCTAAGTCATTACCTGTTCTTAAAACCCCTCTTTCCGCCGGTGGCCATACACACCCTGTCTATTCATTAGAAATGGTGGGCACTCAAAATGCACATAACTTAATATCAGCTAGCACAGACGGATTTGTTTGTTCGTGGCAGTTGGACATGCTGGCTCAACCTCAGGACTATTTAGAGTTGCTACACCCTGCGCATAATAAGACAGATGAAGTGTCAGTGACTTGTTTGGGGTTTCCAGATAATGAAACTACGGCATTTTGGGCAGGCACAGAGGAAGGCAATGTATATCAAGCAAATCGTTACGACCGAGCGGGCAGGTAGGGAATACCAAATTTGACGCGTAATTTTTTTTTAAGAAATTGATAAATACTGTTCTGGAATATAGTAAAGCAGGCATCAATCAGTACGATACATATAGGGGTCATCATGGTATGGTGACAGGCTTAAATTTCCATCCATTACATGGGCCCGTAGACTTTTCAGACCTATTTTTAACCTCGTCTGTAGACTGGACAGTGAAGTTATGGAGAGGCAAGGTAACAGATGATTGATCCATATAGAGAATTTTGGTTTAAATTACTCTAATACGTTCGCTTTTTTGCTATATCAAGTCTATTTCAAAGATATCCACCCAGCCTACTCCTATTATACCTCTTTATTCATTTGAGCATGCAGATGACTATGTTTACGATGTCAAATGGTCCCCAACTCACCCTGCTTTATTTGGTACTGTTGATGGAACTGGCCATTTTGATATCTGGAATTTGAATGCAGATATAGAGGAGCCATATGTGAGTACGCAAGTAGGTTCAGCAGGTAAAGCATTGAATAAATTGGCTTGGAATAAAGACGGTAAAAAAGTCGCAACCGGTTCCAGTGATGGACGCGTGCACGTTTACGACATTGGCGAGGTAAATTGTTTACGTTCTCACAAATACATAATCCTTGATAATATATTACTCGATTTGCTTACACTGTTATTGCATCTATTATAATAGATGGCCAATCCTAAACCCGATGATTGGAGTTTATTACAGAAGAATATTTCAGAAATGATCTCTAATCAAGAGAGTCACACTGATGTATCCAAATAATATATAAAATAAAATTGTCACCTATTCTGAATAATTAAAGTGCAAGTAATTGTCCCAGGACTTCCGTTTAAGCAACGTGCTGAGGAAATAATATATCAATCTCTTGAGCCATCAAGATGCCACGTTGATGAGCCAATGTTATACTACTACTGACTAAGTGGAAGATTTCCATCGTCATAAACAGAAACCATGGCTTATTCTGTAGTACAAGGCTTACAAGCTTATTGATTTACTAAAGATCTAGGGGTACATCTTTTGCCGTCAATTTTTATGGAATAGCTAGCAATTAAATATTTTCGAACTCGCCATACGGCAAAAAAAGGTAAGAGTAAAAGCACGATATGACATTGTTCACTTTTCTATCAAATTTTTATGGACAAAGACACTAATCCAAAACCCATCAAGCCCGTATTCACATTGAAGCTTTATATACGTTCATAAAATGGATCGAACAAAAAAACTGGAGACTTAAGGCAGCCATTACAAATAGCGAAGAAGGCAAGACTTTGTCAGGTTGTTTTATTAGAAGATTCTGAAGGATAGGGTATCAGGGAAAAGTTTTTTGAGCCCATGTATTAAACGTAATATCAAATGTTTAAGATTGTATATTAAGCACAAAAAAAAAATAAAAAAAATAAAACATTATCTACGATGCATAGCATTTGCCTTTCGCTTGTCAGCCTTTCCAAACTGTTATCCAACTTCCTTACGGAAGTAATGTAGTTGGTTGTAAAGTAGTAAAAATTGAAGATCAACGAGGTCTTCAATGCCAAAAAGCTGCCAATGGTAATCTATCTTCTGTGCATATTATATAGCAGCATTGCAATGTAAAAGGGGAAACGCCTACTTCAACAAAAAAAGGGCATCTTCTTTAGCTCTGCAGTGCTGTCAAAGTCAATTACAGGGAAATAACCTTTCATTCTTATCAGAGTAAAAGCGTTACAATATCCCGAAAACCAGATGCCAATCGAAGCCCTCTGTCCAGCTAAATATCATTGACATCCGCAATGCTTAGGACATAAAGGGCATACCTTTCCCACCTGTTCCTTTATTGCCCAGAATCAAAGGGCTTGTTGATTTTCTTGATCTGTAAGCTAGCGCCAAGGGTTACTGACGAAGACTTCTTTGAGAATTGAGGCAATGACCCTCGACAATAGTCTAAATCTGATGACATATACTTCTGCATGAAGGTTACTACTGTGGAATAAAGGAACAGCCCCCCATTTCTTAATGATCCTAAGTCACGTTTTCTCTCATATTTGCATTGTGCGTCTTTCGGCTACAGGTGCTTCTTCTGGTTGGTGGCAGATGTCTTCGTTTAAATCCCTTCCATCATGGCGACGGGCTTCTCGATATTTACCCTGCCAAAGAAAATATACCTGCCAAGTAAGGCCTAGTTTAGCCTCGGTAGGACGGCTATATACGCGGTGCCGCCCTGTCAAATTTCTATGCTTAATGTCTACGAAGGAGTCAATATGACATAACAATTTTTTTTAAGATGATAAAAAACCTATTTTTTACTATTTTTAATTGTCGTTATCATGCTTTGACTAAATACGACTGTTTTGATCGTATTTGTAATTTTCTATCTTTATCTAAATTATCAAAAGGGGGTCGCTTTCCTTGAAGTTGTTCAGCAGCAGAAAAAAGATAAAATAAAAAAATACCATTTGCAAATGCCAATTTTGAGTGATACGTGTACAATGTGTTGCTCAGGTTTTTAACAGTTCTGAAGCTACGGAGAAATAGAAAGGGGCCTTATGAAGCAAATTTAATCTATGCTGTTGGAGACATTGGTAGCTGATTATGCTATTGACAGTTACAGACGTCATAGAATTCGAGGGTACCACATCAGATGCTGAATGCAAAAAAATCAGTTATATAACGTATGTAACTGCAAACGTTTGACTTCTGTAATCTATCTCATTGTCAGTTTCTTCACTTTGACTAGGATGCGATAGTACCTTAAAACGATACATGCGCAAATAGATATATTAGAAAATAGATACAAGAGCCATCTACTTGAGATTGTAAACCTTCCAAGCTGATTTCATACCCACAGTAAAGTAACTTGTGCAGTGCAAAGTACGAATGGTCCGGCATTAACAGAATACCTGCTGCCCGTATGTTTGCTGTACAGCATGAAGATCAAAATCATTCTTAAATATGGGCTTTCTTTTGCAACTCCCTCCCATAGGAAGACTACCAAGGGAATGTATTTGATTAATTCAGTCTTACTTGAGCAAGTCAGTAAGAAAGGCAAACATTGCGAATATTCATTAGTATTCTTTGAAGGAGACAGTGCATGTTCTTTTCACTCGTTAAAAGAGTTATCTATTTCCTAAAACAAGACACACTCTACAGAAAGGAGACATCCTATACATCTACTCTTCTTTTTTTCTTTTTCATTTTCGTGAAATATGTTCAAAATAAAAACGAGCACAATAATGCGAAGTATCGCTATTTTATAGATGTATAAGATAATATTGAAATCAGGCATAGCTGTATACTTATCGCAGGTAATGGAAAACAATATAAGTACTATTTTGGTGGCTGATACTGCTGCTTATTGGCATCCGAGTGCCTTTGTTGCTGCTGTAGCCAACAATCAAATGATAAAGCTTCGTTAAGAAGATCGTTACTATTCAGTAGAGTGGAGTTTTTGAAACTTTGTCGTTCAGCCATCAAATCGCTATAGAATAAAGAGTTCATAGTTGCTAAGGGTAAGGCGAAAGGAGAGGATATCGAAGAAGAGGAGTTGTGAGAGACGGATGATGCATTATTATAGATATAGTTAGAGTGTAAATTATTGGTTGGCAATGATTCTGACAGTCCTTCTCGTTGTTGCGCTTGATAAGATGAGTAATCGTGCTGAAGATGAGATGCTTGCTTTGGGGGCTGCTGTTGATGCTGTTGATGCTGTTGATGTAATTGTTGTAGCTGCTCTTTTTGTCGCAATTGTTGACGATTTATCTTTTCATGAAGCATATAGAAATCACAAATAACAAAGTATGTTCGATCAGCTGTGGCCCAGTAATTCCGCATTCCAGCCAACACATTCAAACATTGATTCAATGCCAGCTTTGCATTTTTTCTGTCTTCCTCTGTTTCTGCCGAGAAACAACTGTTTACAATTACAGTAGCTGTAATGTAGATGAAATATATACAGAAGGGTGGTATTACATCGAATCGATCACCCAATTCTTTCAGCATATCTGTCACATTGTTGACCGCTTCCAGGCATTTTTGTTTGGCTGTTTCAATTTTGCTTTGTTCGATTGGGTTATTCGCAAAATCAAGATTTTCCGTAAGATCTTCTTCGTCTGTCAAAACGAAGGCATATCGATTCAATAGAATGGTAAGCGTATTGTACAAAAGGTGATAGGTGATAAACTGGCCAGATTTAAAAGGTTTGTTTTCATGTTCACGGAAATACTCCAGATTGGTTCGAGTGTTGTGTAGACTTACAGGAAGTGCTTGTGCCCAATCATCAAGAGCTTGGTCGAGTCTCATCCATTCCTCCTTGTTATGTGACGATTCTTGATTGAGATATTTGGAAATTTCAGCGAATAATACAATAAGCTGTATGATACGTGGTTCTAATCCAATATGATTCTTTGCCGTCAATGGATGCATTGTCAAGGAATTCTCTTCGGCTTTCCTCTTTGAAACATTTTCCAATACAGGTGTCACTTGGATGCTCGTAATTTGGCCAGTGGAATCACGAATGACTGCATACTTCATACATTGTCGTCCATCAATTGAAGGTTGAAAATATTCGACTGGAGTCGACAACACTTCATATGTACTATTGTATATCGGTAACAAAACGTCCAAATCATGTGTTCCCATCATGGTGGGCTTTCCCGCGTAAGCACTCGTTATTGTATCTTGCATATAAATTTCCCAGAATAACCGTCGTCTATCCTCGTACTGCATCCATTCCTCCACAGTAAGGAGAAATGACTGAGGCTCTCTATCCGGGTTAAATTTATCGATGTCGTAATCTCGAAACATGTGCTCCTTGTGCAAGTTTAACTGGTAAGCCATTCGTATGGCAAGTCCTGTATAAGTATAGCATCTAGAAACTCGGGCTAAGCCATACTCGTGGTTGATCAAAATCAAGATGCCTTGAATGTGTTCTATGGAGGGGTCTTCAATAGCCTTGGGGATCATAGCTCGCGCTTTTTTGGCGTATTTCTCACCCGACATCCATAACGGGTTTTCTATCACATCTAAGCGATTGGAGAATCTATGTTTGGTTTTCCGGTTTCGCACGAAATAATGAAAGAGAGGATGTGAATACTAATTACATGGAGCTTATGCCAATCTTATTTCTTTACCGTGCTCCAACGGCGAGAATCGCATAAAGTAAAAAACTGTTACATGTCCGTTTACTGATTCGTTCTTTCAGTCTCATTATGTCCGCAATTGGGGTTAACGTTTCGAAATAATGGCAATAGAGATCTACTAACGATATGACAATATCTAAAGGTGGCCAATTATCTGGATTTTCTGCTTCTAAATCTCCTGTCCTAGAGTCTCCTGTCGAATCACCGCCAAAAAGGTGTTTCTGTGGTATATTTTGTTGCTGTTCTGTTGATGCTGGTGTTGCTAGTGTTGCTGGTGTTGCTGGTGTTGCTAGTGTTGCTGGTGTTGCTAGTGTTGCTGGTGTTGCTGGTGTTGCTACTGATTCTTGCTGTTGTGGCGGTATTCCATCGTGTAATGCTCTATATTGCTGTTGCCGTTGCTCTTGCTCTTGCTCTTGTCCTTGCTGCATATAAGTTTTACTGCCATTGGTATACTGAGCTGCTGCTGTGTCATTTTTGCTACTGTTGACATCGTTATTTGCCTTTGACTGCGATAATAATTCCTCCATCTTTCTAAGCCTTTCTTCTAAGGATTCAATATGCCCTTGCTTCGGCCCTCTTTTCTTCACCACAGTTGGGTATGAACACTCTTGCTTCAGACGTGTGCACTTGCCGCAAGCAGGTCGAACGCCATCACATTTGATCTATAGAACGCTGTTAATGACGGTATGCAGATCAACGAGAGAGATTATCCTTACCTTTTTACGGCGACAGACATTGCAGGCTAACGCTAACCGTTTTCTCTTCACCGCACCTCCTTTTGTTGCAGAAGGATCAGAGTTGTCCCCCTTACCATTACTATTGTCGTTGTTACTGCTACTGCTATTTCCACTGTTATTTTGCATATAGTTTATAAAATTCATTTGCATTTGTCAAAAGAAATTAAACAACAGTTGGGGGACGGAAAATTATGGACAGAAAATGTCGCATCGCACGGCAAAATTGATCAAAAAAGGCAAAGAAAAAAAATACGTTTCAAATCCCGCCACATCTATTAATACGTTTAAACAAGGATTTTTATTACTGACATTTTTAAGCCCAATGGACACGAGATATTAAAGCTTATCTAAATTCCCGGGGCAGCTCGATTTTTTGAGAATAGAGCGATGCATAGTGTTGGTCAGGGTGCCGTGGTGGGCGAAAAAGCATACTATCTAAATGGGGGGAGGGGGAAGGGGCTAAACTAATCATTATATTGGTAGGCTAAGACTTTGGGCGCGGTTCGGGATCTTGCTTAATTAAGCCTGGGCGAGCACCACAATTATTCAGAACTTGTTTAAACACTGTGAATTATTTCACTAAGCCCTGGATCTACAGTTATGGTTTTGAAGTATCTGTTGACTTCAAATCCTCAAGAGTGAGCATAGCTGATTCACTCTCCTCTCTGCAGGTACAGACAAATAGAAAGATTATGGCAAATCCATCAGTGTGTATTATAAATTTAAAAATATTCTCAGAGTTGCCTGGAGCTCCTAGAAGGCCTGTGGACCATTTGGCAACAAACATTAGTTAATGTCATAGGATTTTCACAAAAACCATAATATAATTCCTTCCTAATGTATCATATCCGAACTTTAACAATTTAAAGACGTAAAAGAATAAACCAAGGCTGTTAGCCATAGGACCGGATGACATAGGACTGTCTTGCAGCTAAGGGCCTTTCATTAATTCTGATATGTCCCCATTTAAATGACACTGTGGGAGTCAATAAGAATAACTCCGGTTTTTTTGTCATCCTGCCCAGCAGCAAGGGCTTTCGCTTCTCTTAAGGGAGGATAGTTAGATATGAACACTCAGTTAGACATATGACAGTCGGTGCAGGTAGTTGTGATGTTTTCTACCGACCTAATGATCAACTATTAACACTTGCTGGACTAAAGTGTTTTATTTGCGTCTCTTTAGAGGAAATAAGTAAAGTTTGATGGAAGGACAAAGAGGTACCATTTACAAACTAAATGTTTTGTATGAAATGGTGAAGAGAGCTACTACTATTTGGACAGTACGAACCAAATTATTGAGACGTCTTAAGTTGGAGGATGAAAACCGAACGACACTAAAGTAAGAAAAAATGCGAAATACGAAGAAAAAGAGATCTTTCCCAAAAGAACCTATTCATTATAATATGGCTTTTACAACAAAAAATTTTGAAAAAATGTTGCTGTCTTGAGCATTGTAAATCATCCTTTTCGATTATCTACAAAGACGAACGATGGATACGGTTTGAAAAAGTTTGCCTACTTTGTCTAAAAAAATGCTGCAAAAAAATTGAATATAAATTCAGTTTGTCTAAATCTGAAACGAAAAACTGTAATTGCGCAAAAATTGGAATGCACAAAAAAGAGACATGAAAAATCTATATTGAAATAGGTTATTATATCAGATCAATACCCAGCCTTTCCTATCTTGCTTATTCTCTATTCTTCTGATAAAAAATGTCCAACGAACTTCTACTACGGCTCTTCACTTCAGAGTTTTTCAACTGTTGGATTGCTGTTTCTTATTTGTTCCGTTATTCAAACAATGTGGGCATTCAGCATTACTTGTGTACAGAACTTAGACGCTTTCCTATACCAGAGATAGAATTCTTCTTACCACAGTTAATGTAAAGTGAGGAAAGGAAAAAAAAAAAATGAAAATTAAACATAAGCAATTTCGACACCTCAAAATGTTTTGTTGCTTCTTCCACTTTTTTGCTTTTTATTTCCTTTGGTTGGCTTAATGTTCCTGTTGTTATTCTATTAGACATTTGCTGATTACCCGACCATCTGAATCGGTGGCTTTAGAACACTTTTTAGCTGAGATGAGTGAAAAGTCCACTCACATGGCTCTGATGGTAACCCAAAAGAGTTCAACACTTGTATACAACTCGTTAATGTGGATACTTAGAAAAAAGAATGTCACTTTTATCATTGCCCCGTTATATAGACTTTATGGTATTTGCAAGCTTATGTTTCGGATTTATCGGCCAACCCATCTACAGCTTCTTTTCAACTATGTAAACGTTTACTCAACAGAACACAAACCATACTGTTTGCTGAGGAGATGGGGGATACAGTTGCAGAAAATCAGCCTATGGATGGGAAAAGTCAACCTGTACACTTCTTACACGACAGCACGAATTCGTACGATGAGTACAATAAGATCCGTGAAAATGTATTTCCTACTTTAGTAGGCATGGGTGCTATGTTATTAGGCATTGGTCAACCGATTCTGACAAAGTCAGCAGGCCGAATCGCTATAGCACAAGGTAGAAGACGTCGCGATTTACTGACACCGGAAGAACATCAAAAACAGCATAGCATCAGCAGTAATAAAGGAACGGCTTCGTATTCGCAGCCTGATTTACCCATGAAACGACATTCATTGCAGCAGCGTACAATGACGGCATCGAGCAATAATCTTTTATCTACGAGCCATAACCCAATTCATGGTAGGAGTCGTGACAATACAGCCCTTAGAAAGCAACACATGTTGACAAGCTTCCCTTTTTTTTAGAAGACTTGCATCATGGAAAACCATTTTCAGTGAAGCGTTATATACAAAAGCTGAATGGGCAGACCGCTCTAAATCTAGCACCTGCCAGCAATAAAGTGGGGAGTCAATATAAGAACGACAGCAGTGGTAGTAGTGAGAAGAAAAAGAACAACAAGATGAAAAAAGGAGCCTCCTTGAAGGTATTTGATCCAGCATTGACAGCTTTGAGACAGTCCACAGTGCCAACGAATAATGCACCCTCCTCAACATCACCGGCGCTATCTTACAAGTCGACATCTACGTCCACTCTATCCACTGCTCCTTCAGTCGCTTCTTCTTCTTCAACGTCAGCCTCTAGGTCGAGTAGGAGATCATCTACGACATCTTCGTTATCACTGTCGTCTGTAGATATGGAAGAAAAGGATGTACAAAAAAAACCATCGTGTAGTCATCGTATGAGTGATAGCGATCCACAGCAAGAACATCGTTCCCTTCAGCGACATACGTCTTATACCGGATCTTTACTACGAAGCAACTATTTCCGTTCCGAAATACAATTTGTTTTAGCGCTTGTGGATATTGCTACACGACTCATTATTGTTCCCAAAGAAGCGCGTATGAGTGCCTTGCAGGCAGAATTGACTCTACTCAATCACAATTTGCCAGCAGAAATCTGTCTGCCCTTATGGTGCCCATGCACTACGCGTGGTGGCACTTCTGTCACATGTTCTGATTCTATTCCTCTTGCTAGCAACAGCGGCCATGATTGTGGCCTTGGACACCATCGTATTGTACGTATCAGTCCTTCAGATGCAGTTGTTCTCAATTCAGCAGAAAGAGCACCTTATTTACTTATGATTGAAGTATTGGAGGAGGATCAAGAAAAGGAAAATAACGGGGGTTACAATGCAAATCTTTATAAAGCACATCAAGCACATCAACAAGCCGCAGCCGCAGCCGCAGCTGCAGGAACAGGAGGGGAGAGCAATCATCATGACCGAAAAAAGAAACACCGAGAGAGTCATGGCCATGATAAAAAGAAGATGCAGCCGTCAGAGAAAGGATGTAAAGACGGTGAATCTTTGATGCAATCAGAGGATGGACAGACGAATGGAACGTTACACGTCAACTTAAACCCAGTGGAGCAGCCTCGAAAAGATGAATTTGCGGAAAGAATGCGTACTGCAGCTGTCATGTTGGCACAACTTCCCAATGATAAAAAGCACGATCCTATCCGACAAAAGATCATCAAAGAAATGATGGCATTTGAGCATCAGCGTATGGCGAAAATGGAAACAGAGGGTGTGGGTAGTATTGTTGTTCATAGCGATCATGCTGGAGGGGGAAAACAAATAGCATTCACATTTGTTGCAGAGGATGAGCAACAACAACAGCAACAGCAACAGCAGGATAAAGCAGTTGTTACTTGGGCAGTCAACAAAGAAGATCCAAGTGCTGCTGTACTCTCTGAAAACTGGGAAGCGAAAAAGGAACGGCTGAGGTTAGCATCTCCTTATGGGCACTTGCCCAATTGGCGATTGATCTCTGTCATTGTGAAAAATGGAGCGGATTTACGACAGGAACAGTTTGCTATTCAGTTGATTAAAGAAATGCAAAGGATTTGGGAAGATATAGGCGTAGATGTCTGGGTGAAAAAGTAAGCTGTCAATAGGCTTTATAATCATTCGAAAAGGAACTAAATCGCGCATGCACGTGATATAGTTATAGAGTGTTGGTCACTTCGGATAGTAGTGGTTTGATAGAAACTCTGAGAAACACCATCTCGATCCATTCGTTAAAGAAGGAAGCGTACAGGCAAGGCTGGTATGAACAGCATAAAGGTGCCGTGTACACTTTGTCTGATTACTTTGAAAAGGTATATAGTGTCTTTTTTCTTTTCAGTTTCTTGAAAAAGAATTTATTACTCATCTGCATTTCTCGACTTATACACCCTACTGTAGCAATGGGGTCCTGCGGAATCAGATGAGTTTATAAAAGCACAGGACGCTTTTATGCGAAGTCTCGCAGGCTATTCTATCGCGTGCTATTTGTTACAAATCAAAGATCGACATAACGGCAATCTTCTTATTGACGATGCTGGGCATCTTATCCATATTGATTTTGGTTTTATGCTATCCAACTCTCCGGGATCTGTTGGATTTGAAATGGCGCCTTTCAAACTACCGCAAGAATACATTGATATACTAGGAGGTGTGCATGGTGAAAAGTTTGCGGAATACAAAGCATTAATGAAAGCGGCGTTTCTAGCAGTGAGGAAACATAGCGAGAATATATTGTTGTTGACGGAAATGATGTGTAAAGATTCAAAGCTGCCGTGTTTTTTGAACGGGGACTTGACAGTGCCGCAGTTGAGAGACAGATTCCAGTTACAGCTGACGGAACCTCAGGCCGAAGAATTTGTGGATCGATTGATAATGAGTAGTTGTTGCAATGTGTTTACAAGGTTATATGATACTTTTCAATATTATTCCCAGGTAACAAAAGAGATGATTCGTGCGCGATTATAGAAAGATGAATGTTAAACCATCTTTTATTCCCAATTCTTATTATGCAGGGCATTTTGTAAAGCTGGCTTGTATCTTGCGCCTTTTATTTTGCCATAATATATCACTATACTATATATCCCTAGTAAGTATATCTACATGAAACCATGTAATAGTGTGGGTGCGGTTTTCGGGCCCTTTTTAAATATATCTGTTTGATGAAGGTGATGTGAGGTTTGGAAAGTTGGAGGAGGGAGGAATGCTATCGATAAGCAAATATAAGAAGAAACGTTGACGCATGCTAATGGTGCTTGTAGATTTTTCTATTTTTTGTTCTAGGAGCATTATTAGCATGCTTATATGCATGTTTGCCTAATCCAGCATAAGTTTGTCCGGACTGTGTTCTTTATTGTTTGTGTATATAAGACATATTAAATGTAAATATGTACAAGCTCATCTAAGTTAAAGACAGTGAAAGTAATGTAGGCTGAGAAAAAATGGACCATGTACAGTCCTTCCTCATGCCTCTGCGAAGGGCATTTAAAACACGTAGGCTTTTCGTATGTCTCCTTCTCTCTGCCTTCCACGAACAGCCAAAAAGACCAATATAGCACAAATTCAAAGAAAAGTTGATCGAATGATTTCTTTAGAAACCTCTTTTATATTCATTTTTTTAAGGAACAAGCTAAATAGGAAAAAAAAAAAACCAAACCGTCTGGTTTCGCGTTTAGGCACTATAATTCCTCTGTGCGTGAATGTATAAACGGAAATGGCATTTTAACAGTAGCAGAACTGTTATATAAACAGACATTAGCAATGATGTTTATTAGTGTAAAAATTGTGTCAATCAGGGCAGACTCTATTTTTTTTAAAAAACAGTAAATTTGCAACAAAAATATAATTACAGGTTCCATTTTCCGTTGTCATCATTAGAGCATTAATGAGTTCAAAAAAAGTGGCGAGGAGGTTTGAGTAAAATATAGACTACGATAAACGCGTCAAACAAATGAAATAAAATTGGGCATTTCCGTTTTGGTGACTTTTCTTCTATGGCTATCGAATTGAGGTCGTGAGACACCCTGCTACTACAGTTGTTATGGATGCGATCATGACTTACAGGGAACAGATGCTCCAAACATGTTCAAGCATAGTGCTTGAGCCTATTTTCAAAATTCTCCACCATAAAGTTTGCAGAAGTAGTGGCCAGTGTCAAGCAGGCTGCTGCCAGCGAATCGCTGTATCCTTTCATGGGATGTGTCTTCAGACTGTAAACGATTGTAGGAAATTTGCTTTTAAAGTTATCAGAGGCAAGTGTGACCGACATGCCCATGTATTGTCGATTTCTGACCTGCTTCCCCTAATATAAGCTTGCAGATGCTGTACCAGAAGTTCTGCTCGTTTCTTGCTGTCTTCCAATTTCTTCTTTTTCCCTCTAGCCTTTGCAGCCTTTGTCTCGTAATCATCCTTCGCTCGTGCTTTCCTTTTTTTGGCTATAAAACGAGTATGGTAAGAGATCTGTTTAATTTTGATTCGGAAAGTGATAACACGGCTTACATGCATCGTAAAGCTGGCATTTGTAACTTTTTTTGTTAATATGACCCACTTCTCCACAGTCCTTACAAATTCCTACATTCGTAGAGTATTGAATTGCAGAATTCTGTAACTGACCATAAGATTGCAGGGACATACCTTCAGCAATTTCTCTTTTCTTTCTTTCTAATTTTCGCTTGAAATATCTCTTAGCTTCTCGAGAAGGCATAATCACACAAGCTTCTAAAAGAGGTAAACAATATTAGAATAGTAGCAAAACAGGTAGAAACGGATACTATGACCATACCTCACTTATTAAATATGCCATCAATAAAAGCAGATATAGACTGCTTTTTCATTTATCCTATTTACCACAGTTGTTGATCCTGTAAGTAAGCACTAGGCTAAGGATAAAAATAATACCAAAGAGCCACCATTAGACAGCAATAAGTCTTACACCACGTATCGTAGAAGCCTGCAAAACGTTTATTCTTGAGGGTTTTAGGGTGTGGATCAGGCATGCTGAAGGGAAAGATGTGTGCAGAAGAAGAGGCCCTAAGATAGTTTACTGAAAGTAGTTTCTTTTTTTTTTATGGTATTCAAAAATAATAAATTCGTCACACATCACTGAGGGATGGGACATGGAGAAGAAAAAGACAATTTCTGTGGTGGATCATTAATCTAAGGCAGCCGCTTCCAGCAAGAGCTGCGAAGAAGACAGGCTCAATGAAATAATATTGTGAACTTTACTAAAGACGGATGAGGGGGGGGGCCGTGTTAAACGGAATGGCATACAATATCATTCGAAAAAAGATGTCCATATTGCCCAATGGGTATTAAAGCAGACGGTGAAAAATCGAGATTGTTCAGATGAAGGTAGTGGTGGTGGTGGATTTACCGAAAGTTTTTTTTTTTTTTTTTTTTTTTTTTTTTTTTTGTAGATTATTTTATTTAAAATAATAAATTAGTCACACATCGCTGAGGGGTGGGACATGGAGAGGAAAGGAAGATTTCTATGACAAGTAAATTTAGTCGAAAGCAGCCGCTTCCCGCATGAGCTGCGAGGAAGACAGGCTCAAAGAAATTATGTTGTATGCTTTACTAGAGACGGATGGGGGATGAAAAGGAATATCATGGAATATCATTTGAAAAAATGACGTCCAGATAGCCCAATGGATACTGAAGCAGACGGTGAAAAATCGAGATTGCTCGGACGAAGGTAGTGATGGTGGCGATTGTAATCTTAGGGCGGCGGAGATGCTTTGAGGATCAAAGTCGAAGGATGGGAAATATATCGCGAGGCCTTCTTGCCATATCTGCCAGCGTGGTGGACAACTGGTTGTAAAATGTTCGAACGTATCAATATCATGATTACAGAGTCTGCAGGTAGCAGATGAAACTACCCCTGCGGCTTGTAAGACTGATAAGCATGGTAATTTTTTCAAAATGGTGCGATAGCCTAGGTCACGAGCCGGAAGAAACAAAGGAAGGGACCAGAACAGGGTGAACATCCGTTTGGGGATCACCCCTATACCTGATGCTTGTTGCATTTGGATGTGATGATGAAGTCTAAACGTTGAAGCCGAATAATGACGCCAAAGGTTACTGTTGGCCAATCGTCGTAGTAGTGTAATTTCCAATGACTTATCTGGGTCGTCGGTAGTGATAGAAGAGCCTGCCGGCACCCTGTGAATATACGGGTGAAGTTGAACTGTAGCATCGGTGAGCAATTGGCCCAAGAGATGTGAAAGCAACCGCGGTTTCACATTATATTCACCTGGTCGTTTCATTATGAGGCGGTTAGTGGACTGGTCGTAGCGGAAAAAGGCGTTGGCAAGCATCTTGGGATGGCGTTCTAGCCAGTGCGACTCTGGTAAACGTGTAAACAACGAATGTAATGGGAAGAGTAACAAGCTCTTGAGTGGAATATCCTCCAATGGGAGGGTGATTTACCGAAAGTGTCTGAACTTTGGAAATAAGTGAACGGAAAATCATTACTTGGATTGTCTGAATTATGTTATTGAAATATCCAATTTCAATAGAAAAACGTCTAAATCAAAACCGAAAATACTGTAGTTTGTACAACTGTTTACATGTGAAGGACTGAGGAACGTATAACAAGAGGAGGCTACTGTGTCTGTGACGACTGTTCTGTTACAGTCTTCCAGAATGCACTGACCGAAGATGCTACCTCTGCCATATACGCCTTTTTAACAATAAGATACTACCATGGTCATTTCGTAAAAGCAAAAAGATTTCTTCGGCAGTTTAGTATATTTTCCTCGACAAGGATCAGTGTTTGATTTTTTTAATTTATATTTTTTTTTTTTTTTTTTTTTTTTTTGGCTGTGCCCAAAAACCAAAATAAAAAAAAGAAAAGAAAAGAAAGCCACGCCAACTCAATAAAAGCGCGATTATCACTCATTCCGTTTATGACCCGGTTTATACACGATAAAGCTTTGATAAAGTTTTTTGGGCATTCTATAGATAGAAAACACGCAACAGAAAAAAACGCGGGTGGCTAATAAATACGTGATACTTTTTGCACTTTTTACGCTTTAGAGCGAAGACAAATTGTGGCTAAAAAAAGCTTGATAAGGGAACAGGGATCTTTTACTTTGTTTGAGTTCGGGGAAATAGAAAAGAAGAACAATAACCACCCCTCCCCCTCCATGCGGTTGCTTGTAAAACATGTTCCTCTTCTTAACAAGGGGATGCATTTAGTGAAGGATGTTTCCATGGCTATCATTCATCTCTATGGGAAGTGGTAAAGATATTGTTACTGTAAACCATTGTGTTGTTGACAGTGAACGTCTCTGGAAAATTTACATAGAAAAAGGAGGGGGTAAGCGTCCTTCTAAATTTCCCGGCTGAGTTGAGATGTCAAAAAAATAAGTTTTCTTTGATTCGGACTTTCATACTGTTTGCTCCAGACGAACAGAAGAACATGTTTAAGAAATACCCTAGACACTTTTAAGATTATGCTAGTTTTAATTTGACATAGATTTTTAAGAATCTGATTTTTTCAGGGCACAAAAAAAGCATCAAAATTCCGGAGAATGCAAAGACACAGCAGCGTCAAAGCAAAGAGTACATGCTGTATTACAGTGTAATGAAATGCAATTTGGAATCGCGTTGGTTAATGCTGCCGAAAAGATCTTTGCTATTTTTATGTTTGCTGCAGCAAATAACAATCAAAGACCCGCGGTTTTCGAACGAAACTAATTCTATTTACATGCATGTGTGATTGATATCATTCTTTCACCCATTGTTACAGTATAAGGTGTAAGATATCCATAAATTCTAGTCAAAGGCTGAATGCTTACCGTTTGGACCTTATGTACTCATCTTACAATCCGATAACAATCTAGATGATATCTTGTTAGCACGGCCGGATGTATAATGCAGTTTATCTAAATTAATTTAGTATTTTTCTCAAAAATGGACTCCACTTTTTTAAAGTTGCCTTGTAGTATTTCCGATTTGTAATCGAGTCCTTGATTATCACCAGATGAATTTTCTAAAGCTTCCCTATTACTACTAAAAGAAGTAACTGATAAGTTAGTCTAGGGTATGATTCTAGATTAAAAGATAGAATGTGTGCAATAAATATAAAAAAAAAGTTTACTCCATGTCTATTAGTGTCATTTAGGGCCCTGAACTTCATTTGATTTTTATCATCAGACGTTTACAGAAAAAGAAGGCTTACAAATGAAAAAGATAGTTATCAAATAGAAAAGTTATAGAAAATGCAATCTGGCTCCTTGTGCTTGTTACCTTTTTATAGTTTTTGAATACGAACGTATCCACCTCAACAGGGCCATCCACTACAGTTGATACTGAGTACCAAGTTTAACTTGCTGTCTTTTTCTAGGTAGAAAGGCAGTGATAGGCTATTTATGGGGAGGGCTTGCACTGAAGAAAAAAAAAAAAAAAAAAAAAAAACCAAAAAAAAACCCTACTTTGTACCTTTTTCAATCTTTGATTGATTTACCGCAAAAAAAAAAAAATTAAAAAAATAGTTGCTATATAAATACGCCTGTCAGTAGCTATCTTGAATGATGAAAAGGGAATGTTTCTTTTCTGTTTCTCTTTTCTTTTTTTGCACGCGTATCTTTCATCATTCACAACGTCATCCTTTACCGCCTAACGTATATCCTTTTTATTCTATTTCTCTGTACCTGTTCATTCTATTTATTCCACACTATTTAACCAACCTCCTCATGCCTGCAGCAATGTCAAATGGAAGTCGTCGTAGCTCACTATCAATATCAGCATTATTAAACGAGGTGTCTATTGAGCCTTTGCAACATCCCTTATCCTCTCATTCAACTGAATTACCAGCCATACGACCCTCCACGCCAGCTTCATCATCTCCACCGTCTTTCGTACCCATCTCTTCTGCATCCTCTTCCCCTCACTACGCAGGCACGACAACAGCCTTACCCTCCACAAGCATACCTAGTTTGAATAGCAGTGACATGACGAATCCATCACCTACGAGAAAGTTACACAGCAGTGGCGCGCCTATTCTGCCAGCCATTTACTATCCTCATCCTGCGGCTGCACCCCCTTCGCCCAACGCTGCTACTACAAATACCGGCTCTTACTTTTACCATTCACCTCTATCGAGTGGTTCTTCTTCTCCAACCAACAGCTCTTTTGAGAGCTTAAGCCATGTTAATCATGGAAACAGACCTAGTGCCACCCTACCTATACCAAGTCCAGCGCCTTATTTAACGCCGGCTATGACGGAGCCTCCGGATTTATGGAGCCATCCGACCACTGGCATGCATAAATCCAATACCGGCAATATCATTGTCTCTTCTTTAGCCAAAGCCAAAAGAAAACGAATCCTGCCTCATCAATATAAACGATTACTGGAAACATTTGAAGTAACAGATACACCTAGTTCTGAAATTAGAAGTCAATTAGCTGCAGAACTTGACATGACAAAACGAGAAGTCCAGGTAAGGAGGAGATGAGATGAAAAAAAAAAAAGGAAAAAGAACTGACGGTTTTCGCATAGGTTTGGTTTCAAAACCGTCGTGCAAAGATGAACCGATGTCGACAACAAGGACAGATGGCGAACGGTAAATCAAGCGTCCATATCACTTCTACTACTACATCTACTCCCTACAGTTCTAAAACGCCATCAACAACATTTCGACACAACAGTCTAACACTTGGCCGGAAAAACTCTTTTATTACTACATCTCCTCCTTTACCGCCTAAACGATCATTTTCTTTTGAACATCAAAGATTGCTCGAAGCGCCTTTTCAACCAAAGCAAGAAGATCACGACTATTTTACAGATCATCGCGACAGTGTTTGCAGTAGTTTGAGTGGTAGTAGTACACCCAATGGCAGCGTTTTTACGAATGGAAGCAGCTGCCAGAATATTGATATTTTAGCCACTGCTGCTGCTGAAGTACTAAAGCGATAAACTCGCCTCTCCTTTATACACAATTTATACTTTTTACACTTTAATACAATCACTCCCTTAACTGTCATGAATAAAACAAGACATGGCTTCATTTTCCCAACACCATCACTGTCACTGCATCTTCCTTTCTTTCTCTCTCTCTCTCCATTATCTATTTTTTTTTTTTTTTTTTTTTGCTGCTGTTTCAGTTGCATTAAATATTGAAACTCTGCTTTCACACAAAATATTGCTTTTTTTTTAAAATTACGTCGAAAAACCTGTTTCTACCACGTTCATTGCGGAACTTGTACCTTGTATAGGTAAGTAAGAAGAGGTAAAAAAGAAAAAAAAAAATCGACTGATTTCGGACCCAAAATGACACTCAACGTGTGAAATGACCACAAGTCATCAGAAAGGCCATGTTCCTTCTGTTCCATACCAAAAGAGAGCAGCGAGTACACGATGTATACGCAGAAAGAGAGAAGTTCTAAAGAGGTAATGATCTGCACAAATGAAGTAAAATAGATTATAGAGCTGTATTAAACGGTGAAAAGTGATCTGCTTGCATGAATTGACCTTGAAAAAGTTGACTTTTATAGAGATATCGGCGATATCGGTTGAGGCTGTAAATCTCTCTACTTGGGAAAAAAAAAAAAAAAAAAAAAAAAAGGCGGGAAATGGGCTGTAATCATTTTTTCATTCCTTTTCATGCAACAACGGGTTTCTGAAACTAATGAAAATAAAAAGTCCCCTTTAAATGCTCGATAAGTAAAGTGAAATTGATCCAATCAATGTAAATTGTATAACTTTGGATCCAGCTTTCTTTTTACCTTTTTTGGATAAAAGATTTTCCACCCCCCTTGAACACATAAACCCTTCTTTTTTTTTTGTCTCCCCTCTTTACTAAGCTTACAATATACCGAATGAACAGAGGGAGGAAGACAGTCCTTCCCCTTTTTTTTTATCTTTTTTAAAACCCCACTTCAAATGACAGTTTCCTCTTATCCGTCTTGCCCTTACTTGAAACATGAATACAACAAATGGGTGGAGCACAAAAAAACCCAATCTTGTTTTGAATTATCTCTTTCAAGGTTTGGCGTGGAAGTGTGAGTTGTTCTCGTAAAGCGTTTCAAGACCCGCTGCCTCATCTCCCCACCTCCAAAGAGAGGTTCGACTCTTGAAAGAACAAAAAAGAGATGGCTCGCTTCAATGACGCGCTTGAAGCAAACTTTATCATTGTATGTATTAAAATAATAACAATAGGTAGTAAAAGTTGGTAAGGAGTAAGAAAGTTGAATGTTTGGAAGAGAATCGTTGTGCAAAAGTGAGCTCTCTACTGTTGTCTGTTGCTACTGTTGCTACTGCTGCTACTGCTACTGCTGCTGCTGTTGTTGTTGTTGTTGCTTTTCTGATCTTTGCTTTGCAAGGAGTTTCGCGAAAACGTCTGTCGCGGCCTTTTTCACATCTGCTTCTTCATTGTGCACAGACGCCGATTTTTGTAGTCGATTCATGGCTTGAACAGCACCTACCGCGCCCTTCAAGACTTTACGAGCATTGAAATTTTCTCGTACACTACTCAAAATATCGACATCGGTCGCTTCTTTGCCCGTCAGCCACTTATGTTGCAACGCTTGTGTAGCTGTTAATCTTTCTTTTGCATTCAGATGAAGAAGAGAACGGATAAAATTCTTTGCATCCAGCGATATGTTTCTCCAGTATCTTTCGTGAAAATCATATCTGGCATGTGTGATTTCATCGATGAGTTGAGCCTGATCTTCAGCTTGAAAAGGCAAATATCCGCACAGTCTGTTGTAAACCCATCAAGTCCGATTCCAACTTTATGAGAAAACCAAAAAAAAAAAAAAAAGAAAATGCAATGTATACGCTTCTGTGACATGCTGAACTTACAATGTATAGGTAATGACACTGGAAAAAAAGAGCCCACAAGAAAAAAAAAAGTGATTTTTGTACAAGTAAGACTCAATTGTCATAGCAGAGTTGTTGAATACAAAACTTTTACCCCATGGCCCACATATCGACAGGAGCGCCGTAGCCCTCTTGTAATAAGACTTCGGGAGCTGTAAAGAGGAGAGGAATAAAACGATCGGTTATGGAGGGTGATCCTCTTGAATAAAGATGTGAATCGTTTTACCAACATAGCCCGGTGATCCGCAAATCTCGTCCAAACTGGATATTTCGTTACTTAGTTTAGCAATACTATCAAAAAAAAAAAAAAAAAAAAAGATCTGTTACCCTACAGTTCTTAGCGCTTCATCCCTCAGAAGACAACAAGTTACCCAAAATCACAAATAAGCAAATCTGCATCGGAATCACGGTTTCTGAAGAGTAAGTTTTCAGGCTTCATATCTACGACACCCATCGAATGCAAATAAGAAGCTCCGTGTCACTTGGCGTCCTACCAACGCAATTTCTTACCTCTATGAACAACGTTATGCTGATGGATATATTCCAACCCTCTCAGAATGGACTTTACAATGACAGTAGCATCCTTTTCGCTAAACTTTCCACGTTCAAATAATCGATCAAATAATTCACCGCCTGTCGCACTAAGTTCCAAAATAACTTTTTGTGTAAAGAACAACTAAGTCGAGACAGCTGCGGTACGTTATGCTTTACTTTACTTACAGCTCAAACACAATATAGAATTTGTCTCTGTTCAAAGGAATAGAACAAGTTGAAACGGACTGTTTCATGAGGGCATAAAGGAACGTGCTTTTTCTTTTGTGACGCATTCATAGATATTTACCTCGATTCGAACGAATCGTAAAGATGAATAACATTTGGATGCTCCAAATTTTCCATGACGGATATCTCTGCTTTCACCATATCAAAATGATTCTCTACCTTCTTTTTCGGGATAATTTTAATAGCTACTTCTTTACCATCACTGTTTCGAGTGGCTTTCTTTACAGAGCCAAAGGATCCGCTGCCTTTGTTGGCGACATGTTTGGGATCGTTAGTTTCTTTTCTTTGAATAAAATCCTTTGTCTGGAACACTCACCTATCACGTCGGAAAACGTATAGTTCTTTTTCTTTTCATGTGATTTGGGCTGTTGGCCGTATACAAAAGCACTTATTGATCCCAAGAGCCCCATCTTTCTTTTATGTAGGCACTCGTATAGGATGAAAATAATAAAAAGAGAAAGGACAGAGAAAAAGAAAAAACTTGAAAACCAACCAACAAAACAAAAAGAACAAAAACAACTGTAACTGGAAAATGAATCAGGGAAACTTTCTGATCAGCAAACAACCAACAACTAAAATGAAACAAACTCCGAAGGAAAAAAGAAACCAAGGAAAAAGCCTCCACTCGCTGAATCGAATGGCTCGAAAAAAAGTCCGGCCTGCACACTTTGCTCTATATTACGTAACGGATCATGCAAAAAAAAAGAAAAAGAAAAAGAAACCTATGTCATTGCCCTTCAGCTTCATCAAGAGTTGACAGGCTAGACACAAACATAAAGATACAGATAAATCATGATAAGGAAAAAGCTGCTATTGTTCTACTCACAAGTAGGATCATGTTTCCTTGAAAATCAGTTTATTGTATATTAGCTTTGTTCAACTCTTCCAATTGCCCTTATCATCATTTAAGCATGACGCGTGTGCTGGTTGCTAGTAAACTAAAAAAAAAAATCAACGCACTGCTTCTTTCCTTTGTCAACTCCAAGATCCTTATTTGCCGTTTGTTGGTTTGACCACGTCATCGTCTTGCTTCTTCTTCTTCTTCTTGGACGCTCTCAATATATAGTTCACTTCCAAAGACTCAAATCCTCCAAATCCAACCAGACCATTTCTCTCGGCCAATTTCCATTGCCTCCTCAACGGGTCCCAAGAAATGCCCCGGATATCGTCAACGCGCCATTCGCCTTCCTTGTGATTGAACGACTCGATGGCCTCGACCAGCTCTTTACTCTTGATGTATTTACTCCACTCATGCGTTCCTTCGTGCACCAATCCCAGCACCTTCTCAGCGAGCAAAACAGTGAGAAGATAGGCAATGGGTGTACGTGACATGGTAGATAAAAACATATCCCCCCCTGGCTTCACCAGTTGGGCACAGGTACGTAGAAACTGCAAGGGCTGGTTGACATGTTCGATGATCTCCATGGCCAAGACGGTATCAAACGATTCGCCTTGACTGAGAATCTCTTCGGCCGTCGTGTGTCTGTAATCAAAAGAGCCTGGACCACGCCATAGGCTGGGATCTGTGCGTGCATGCACCTTGGCCATTTGGATATTGTCGTAAGAGGCATCTGCACCTACTACATTCGCACCTAACCTAACCAATGACTATCATGATAGATACATCAAAAAAGGGTGGGGGTGCAGGGGGGGGGAGAGGGGCGGGTGGTTTATGAGATGGAGAGCGGGTCATGTGTAAAATTTCTTATTTTACCTCCGTCAAGAGTCCTCCTCCACATCCGATATCCAGCATACGCTTGCCTTGTAATGGATGACTCGAGTCTTTTGCTTGCTTCTCCCCTCCTACGAGTTGGTCTCGTACATACGCCACGCGCGGAGGATTGAGTAACTGTAACATGCCAAATTCGCCCGAAGGATTCCACCATTCGGCTGCTTTTTCGCTAAACTTTTGTACTTCAGCTTGGTCGATTGTTGTAAATGAAGGTGTATGTTTTTGTGAAGGTTTCTTTCCCGTTGCTGCTGCTGCTGCTGCTGGAGTTGTGTAAAGACGCATTTGTCTCAAGGAATGGCGTAATAAACGTTTTGCATGAGGATGTACATGGGTCGGTTTAAGCATTGCTCTTTATGAAATGAGAGAATTAATTTTTGTTTAGTAATATGGAGTAAAAAAGAATTAAAAAATAAAGAAGGGTTCTGTCAAAAAAAAGCTGCTCTATGCATTAAACCCCGTTATTCGGTAACTTGGGGTCGGGGGTAAAACAGTTATACTAGAACCACAAGGCTACCTGACAGCTTTATGCACCGTCGTTCAAAAGCAGGAAAAATCAGCCTCGATCTCGTTGGCAAAAAGTGCAATAGAACAAACATGCATACATTAAAAAGGAGGGACGGTTTCAAGATTCTTGTCTTTTGCAGGCCCTACTGTAGATCTGATTGCTATGTTCTGAACGGACCAAAAGTCGGTCAAAAACAAACAGTCTCACTGGATCGATCATGTTTGAATGTTTGATTGCTTCAAAATTGTTACCGTAAAGTGTAGTGGAAAGTGGGGGTGAGGGCGGTGCGGTGAAGCAGTGGAGGAGTGGGGGTTTTTTTTTTCCCAATCCCAGCTGAAATAGACATGATTGGCTGAATGATCAAAAAAAGTTGAAAAATCTGAGAGGCTGGCAGCTGCTTTTTTTTTTTTTTTTTATTCTTTCAAATTCAAGCAAGAACCGAAACATCAAAGCAGCTTTCCTTTTCTTTTCTTCATTTCAGCAGCATACTCTCTCTACATCACCAAAGGCACATTCAGAAACAATAAAAGAAGCAAATGTTAGGGCCAACTTTTCTGTTTTTATCAGCACTAGTGTTGGCAGCCATTTTATTATTCTTGATGGTCTTTTTTGTAGGTTTCCTTTTTCCATCGCGTCTTTTTAACAGTCATCAAAGACCTGTTTTGATGAGAGACCGCATACTAATGGATACGAAAAACTTGAATTGTCTTTTCACATAAACAATATAGGTCATCATGTTTTCCGATTTAGAATGCGATTACATCAATCCTATCGATCTTTGTAACAAGTTGAATCAGGTAAAAAGCAACAAGTCGATTGTCAAAAGCCGAATATATAAAGCAAGTGGGATGGGTTCACTCACAAAAACTGTATTGCCGTTTTGGTGGGATAAAAAGTTTGTTTTACCCGAGATGGGTCTCCAGGCTTTTGTCTTTTGTATGTTTTTAGTGACTGGTCACTGGTTCCCCATGCTTATCAATTTGCCCGTTTTGGTGAACAATGTTAGAAAGTAAAGTCTATCTATAACATGTACCGTTTTTTTTTGTCATCTGCTTTTTTATCTCATCTTTTTATTACTCTCGAAATGGGAACATAGGGTCATGAATGGTCAGCACATGTATGATGCGACTGAAATTTTCCGTACATTACCTAAACACAAGAAGGAGAGCTTTATCAAACTCGGCTTTTATGCTTTGGTAAAGACCATGAATTTTTGAACATCTTATTATGCATAGCTCATTCATTCACTCACCCCCCCCCATTTTAACCTCTGATAGTGCTTCTTCTACTACCTTTACCGTATGATTGTCGCGCTGATCAATTCTGATTGATAAAGAAAGATGTGTGTACAGTGAGAAGGTTATATTTTGTATAGTGAAGGTATCCTTACGGAGAGGAAACCCTGCGAGAACAGCGTAATGATAGTATCTTTTGTATGTAAAATAAAACATATATATGTATAGAACAAGGGCAAGAGTGACGTGAAGGGGAGGCAATGATACATGTGTACATGAGGAGGTATATAACGGATGCTACAACAGTTCAATGGAGGAGGGGGGGGGAGGGGAGAGAGGAATGGATTGCGTTAGAACAGTGTACGAAAACATGAAGAGATGGAGAGGAGTATGCGGTAATGAAGCTGCATTACAAAGAGGAAATAAATACAAATGGAAAAAAAAAAAAAGGAAGGGAAGATGAGGGCTAGCGTGGGTCTTCATCATTCTCTTCATCGGACGTCTCATCATCACTGATATAATCTTTGCCACGGAAATCTCTTTTACACAGTGGACACTTGGAATTTAAACCTAGCCATTCGTGTACGCATTCTCGATGATAATGATGACCACACCTAAGAATTAAAAAAAAAAACAAAAAAAAAAAAACAACCCTAAGTAAGCGGGAGAGGAGGCGGAGTGACACCCCAAAGCAGGGTGACTAATCGTCCATAAGTAAAAAAGACTTACCATAATTTACAGATAAGGACGTCTTGTTCATAGTCACATAGACAGATGGAACAAACAGCATCTTCCGACTTTGGAATAGTAATAACATCATTCACCTTGACTGCATCTGCATTATTGCCTTTTTCCTCATCGCTTGGATTGCCTTTCTTCCGGCTCAAACGCATGAATCTTCTGAGGTAATGTTGCTTCGCAGGTTTATCGGCTACGGTTTTATTGTCAGATGGCGATACTGTCGCTGATGCTCTTTCATCGTCATGGCTCTGTTGCTGTTGCTGTTGCTGTTGCTGCTGCTGTTGTTGTTGTTGTTCTAAGGTTGGTTTGAATCTAAAGACGGGAATGCTAGCAAGTTCTGCCTTGGATCCTCCTTTCAAGACATTCGCGACATTGATATTGAACGTCCTCAGTGCGACTAATACGCACGGCAGGCAAAACATGATGGAGGCACATACCAAAATGGGTATGAATAAGACAAAATAACCAAAGAGAATCCAGGCTAGAATAGTGTAATAGTATAATGCAGCGGTGGCCGGGCAATTGGATGGAGAAAATAGTAAATAATTGCCGACAATAAACCATAAAATGGAAAACAAGTCCAATAAGGATTTCAATCGGTAAGTCCAGCCTGCCATGATTGAATGTGAGCTACTGTTGCTCATCGTCGTGCTGTCTGTCGTATTCTGAGAATCCATGGGAGGTGTTGAAGCATAATGTTCATTCGTTGGCATTGTCGTCGCCGCCGCCGCCGCCGCCGCTGTTGTTGTTGTTGATGTCGACGCAACAGTATCATTGTGCTGCCGTTGTCGCCTTCTTCTTTGCCGTCGTTGCCGTCTTTGTCGCCTTTGTTCGTCCAGTGTTGCATTGGAGGATGCCGATGAAAGTAAATGATGATAGATTGATAGCGGTAATGATAGACCCACTCGAACTGTGAAAATAATCAGATATAATTCCAACGGCTTATCACAATACGAAGTATCTGTATGCGACCCGAAAGCCAGAATGACAACCGTAGTGATAATCTTTTTAGTGATAGTAAAATGCGTATCAGTAAGATGTTTAGTAGTAGAAACATTCATCTCTCTCTCACTACTGTTCACTCCTGTTTACTTGTATCATGGATGTAATGAACGAGATGCATAGTAGAATTTTACTAGCACGAGATATTTGACTCCATGAGAATTGTAACCAGTTCGTCCTAACGGTGCGTGGAGCGTTTGGCGTTGTTGACGTTTGCTCAGAATGCCTTAATGACAACGATTCCATTTGAATCGAATGAGTGATGCAAGAGAAGGGGAGGAAAAAAAAAAGCTCTTTTTTGGGTTAAAGAGACAAAAAAACAAAAAAAAATTTAATTTTTTTTTCTTTTTAGAGTTACTAGAAAAGTTTAATTTGCAGATGCCATCTGTTCATGCGGGGGAAAATACCATAAAGTTTCTAGTGCAATTTCTATAAAAGGCAAGACTTTTTTTTTTTTTTTGCACGAAACATGCAAAAGTACTTAAACATTGACGAAGGGTGGGGGGCGGTTTTTGTTGTTACTATCGTTACTGCTGTCCCAACATTTATTGTTGTCATTTGAGGTCATCCGTGTGCTTCAACATAAAACCAATGGTATACCTATGCAACCCCGATCCCTTCTTTATCAATGATAGTATTTCAAGTCTGTTATTAAAGAACAGTGTAAATGTAGAATAGCTGGATTGTGCAACCTGTATCCGATACCTCTCGGTTCCATCCATATAGCCTTCATTATTGACCCGAACTTTAGTGAGCCCACTGTACGCTAAGTAAAGTGCCCTAACAATTTCTAGTCTGTCACTCATTCAAGCATTCGGTAGTTATGGCCAAGTGCAATCGTTGGATGGGCATCATTCAACCAATCAATTGAGAGCCTACTGTCCTTACACTCACGTTGCAAAGAGCAACAGAAAAATGTTTTGAGTTTTTATTATCCGTAAATTTTGCATATTACTTTTTTTTTTTTTTTTTTTTTTTTTTTTCTTCTTTTTGTTTTCCACTTTGGTATTCGCACAAAATGGTCAACAAATTGAGACATCCATTTCATTGATTTGATAATAAAAGTTGGATGGCAAGCATAGTTTCTAAAAAGTACATTTTCTGTTGCGATTGTCTACAATCATCCATTATATATCTTCTTGAGAGTTATCCATGATAGCCGGGCAAACCGATGATAGCCGATGTTATGACTCGTGTTTCCGCATTCTCATTGATTGTTCAGTATCTCTTTGCAATTCTGATCTTACTACTATTTTTGTCCCCGTTTTCTGTAAAGAAGCCTTTCTACTCTTCTATTGTTTACCTTTGTAATTGTAGCTAATATGTTGTTGACGGCGGTCGCAAGTAGACTAGAAAAAAAAAAAAAACAAGAAAAGGAAATGACCGGAAGAAAAGAAAAAACGGCAGAACGGGAGCGCGTGGATCTCAAGAAGAAAAAAGGAAAGAAACGACAAAAAAGAAGCCAACGAATAAAGAGGAAGACGTTGGCTTATGCAGGTAAGTGTGCTTGTTAATAACAAATATTATGAAGGCATGTAAAGATCCACTTTTGATATCGATACAAGGAAGATGGAGGTAGAATTTGGCAATCAATAGGGTAGAGCACGTGTTGCAAAAGCCTGCAAAATGGTTACACTTGAGGATGGTATAGATCGAATCAGGCATGCTGAAACTTACTTGAATAGATGCGTGCAGAAAAAAGTGGGTTGAAGATAGTTTATTGAAAATGTCCCAATAAGAAATACAAGTAGTCCGAAAATAATTAGTTACATCATCTGAATTCTGCCAATACCAAAAGCCAATTCTTTTGACAAAAAAGTCTAAATTCAAACGGAAAATATTGTAGTGCCCCTTTTATATTAAAACGGCTAACATTACCCAAGCTAATGGCAACAGTTTCCAATTGCCATAGCAACCGCAATTTTCTGGGAGGAGATGAATGACGTACAATTGTTTGTAGGCAAAAAAGGCTTTTTATGCGTATGGAAAAGCAGCAGGCGCCTTTAAAAACAATTCAAATAAGATTCTTTTGAAAGCAAAATTCTTGCTTCCCCTTTGATGGATTCCAAAAAGAATTTTCAAAGGGCGAGGTCTTAAAAGAAACATGGGATGCTTCTTTTACATGTGCTACTTGAAATTTTTTGTAAAAACAGAAAAAAAAAAAAAAAAAACGATAAAAGATACAATGAATTCTCGTTGATTTAGCCCTTGTCCTTTTTTGGTAATTTAGACCCAAGTTTTAGGGTCTATAAGGAAAAGGACGTTAGGAAACGTCTTTAGTGATAAATAGTGTAATTTTAAGAATGGGAATTGAACGTTGTCAAACATTTTTTTTGTCAAATTTTTTCGTCTAATCTGATTAGTTATTTTGTTATTGCACTTTTTTTTTTATTTTATTTCTTAACCAGTTAGACAAAGGTTTATTCTTGATAGTTTCCTTACTGATAGAATAGATCACGCTAAATCAGCGTCGTCATGTTCCTTTTTTCTTTCAACACGTAACAAAAATAAGAAAACTAAACCAAGGAACAATGAGTAGGAGCGCAGATACGGCTTTCTATGTCCTTCATTGATTCAAATAAAAAAAAAAAAAAAAAGAAAAAAAAAGTACAAGTTGAGATACAACCAAAGCGCGAACTCAAATTTAATGTTACTATCGGTCATCAAGGATAGTAATATAAAATTAAAAAGAAAAATAATTCCGACTCGTGTATAAATATCAACATTTGCCCTATTTTATTACATCCTTATTCTTCGTTCCTTTTTACACTCCTTTATCCTTTTTTTTTTTTTTGTTTTTGTTTCTTCCAATGCATGATTTATAAAGATAGATGACACCAAACAACGAAAAAGCAATATTGGTTTTTGACGGTGCAACAACAACAATCGCAACTAGAATTGTGCAGCAGCTCTTAACGTGCGACTGTGAAGAGGTTCTGTTGGCTGGGACTACTACAGTTCTGCAGGTTTCTTTTTTTTTTTTGCGGCGGCGAGCAAGTAGTGCTGTTGGCTGGCCGGTGACGATTTAGAACGTTCTGTTCTCTTTCCCCCGGGGGGAGAAAGTTTTTTGTTTTTGCCGGTTGTGCTTCTCGTAGCGGTGGTGGTGGTTGGCAGATCCGGACCTGTTCTTATTCTGGGGGGTAAGGACGGTTTCGACAACGTGTGATGGTAACGGTTGCGACCTTGCTTTTTCGCCGGGAAGAACACCAGAGGTTGAAAAAGGTGAAGCTGGTAAGAAACGGTGTCGAACGCGGCCGATGAGGTTTCATACCCTAGCAAGGTTCATGAATTATTCGGTGGCTCTGTTTCCTGACAATGTTGTTGAATAAATGTAATCTACCAAAAAAAAAAACCAAAAAAAAACCACAATTTCAAACAATTGCGCATTTTTGTCACGTCTATTTATACTCTTTTTTTTATTTATTGTTTTTTTTCTTACCGTAGTCCTTCTTGTTCTTCATTCTATCCACTGCTGTCTCCTTCTTTTCCATTGCGTCTGGTTGGTTCTCCGCGTCAATGTTCTTTTGTCAAAGCAAAGGTTCATTGTAAGTGAAGTTCATGGCTCATCACTAGTTTTTACGGAAGAAAGCAAGAAGAAGTGCCGCCACCTACCCGTCCGCCTTTCAATTACTTCTGTTTCTGTGAGGGGAAGAGCCCTTTAATAAGTCCGGCCACTTTGACACGGTTAAGCCTCTGGTGTTCTTTCCTGAGACCCGGTTATTTCGCTAATGGACCAAGTAGACTTTTTTTTTTCTGCTGGAGCCGTAAACAAACTTACTTGCTGTCAAAAACAATGAAGAGACCGTTCCTTAACAACGAGTAGAATAGACAATATCATTGGTCAATGCTAAAAAATATCTACTTTATAGTTACACAATCAAGTCATTTCTTCTTTTCTAATCTAGTTTCTGTTACAAGATACTTTTCCAAGTGTGGATCAGCATCAACATCAGCATCATTTTATTTATTTAGGGAATAAAGTCACGAAAACAAAAAGAAATAACCTTACAGCATGAAAATCATTTATGCAAAATCTCAATAACGGTGGTTCATGAACAAGAGGCCATCCAACTGTTAGAATAATCAAACGAGTAGGTAAAATAAATTATCCTACCGACTAAATCTTGGGTCTTTTTTTTTAGTTTTTTTTTTTTTTGTTTTTTGGTTTTTGTTTTTGGCTTGTGAGTTTACTATTGGTTGTCAAGTATTAGGTTAGTCTCGTGCTGCTGGTGGTGTCCAATAGGCACAGGAATTAGTAAAAATAGATGGAAACCAAACAAACGATTGCCTGTGATTATACTCTGTTCGAGTTTAGACACCCTCTTTCCCGCCCTGTCTTTCTTCATCTGCATAAAGCATGTATTGTTTGTACACGCCATGTTTCAAATGGAGCACACTAACCTCTGTTTCAAATTTATTCGATTGTCTGTATTTATAAGGTAATAAAAACTTCTATTTTGTCTGTCGTTTTTTCGAAAATGAAAAAACAAAAAAAAAAAAAAAAAAAAAAGTTAAAATATGCCACTGTACGCCGTAACCCCGAGTTTTTGGCATCTTTTTTATATTTTGATTTCATTCTCAATGCGGAAGCTTTTAAGAAGCAGACGACACACATTGAGGATCCTTTGTATGAAACATGCAATACGTCTTAAAAAGAGGCTTGAAATGGCAGTTAACAGTTGAACGTCCATTGAGCATGTGTCAGTAAAGGTATAATGAACTACCAAAAAAAAAAAAAAGAGACGGGCATCTTTACAGCATGCATTTCACAAGGATCACGGGCCTCCTTTGAGCGGCACTCATTTTCACACAATACGTAGCTCCTTTGGACCGGATCACTACTCTTTTGTTTACTGAGCTCCTCTTAACGCAACAAGTATCCTATGCGGGTTTTAAAGATGGGTTTATTCTCCTTTTACGTTGATTTTTAGTAGGTCAAATCGACATGAGCACTCGCGTGCAAATTCAAGAGTGCGATCCTGCCCTAAAAGATAGGCTTCCAGTTCAGGTTTTCTGCAAAACTAGACCAACCCATTTTCCGTGGTATAAATAGCAAACTGGATGTCGCGACTATCCACAAGCAGCTTCTTTTATTGGCCTGAGGACGAACCAGAGCGACGAGGCGAGGCAGGTTCTTTTTTTTTTTTTTCATTAAACCCATGACTTTTTCCTCCTATCTCTATCATGATGCATACATGTATCACGCATCCTGTAAAGTATAGTTTTAATGTACACGTACCCAGTTCTTCCGCATCCCCCATATGTTTTCCTTCCGTGCATTCCTCGGAAAAGAAATCCAAAGTCCGATCCGTTTTGATAGGAAATTAAAAAAAAAAAGATGCTGCGTTGTATGACTCACATGGTAGCCTTTCTTTTTTCTTTGATCAAGTTCCTTCCACGCTACATTGACACGACGTCTCTTGTAAAAGTCAAAAATAAGAAAATTGAAACATGACTGACATAGATAGCAAAATGTTTCTTTTTTTGTGCAAGAAAGCTTTGAAATAAGTAAGGCAAATATTCGTCTAGGCACCACTTTTTTTTCCACAAAGGAGCACAAAGCTCAATGCCGGATAATCATTTTTGAGCCCAAATGTTTCAGTACTTTACGTTTTTTTGATTTAATAAAAAAAGGACCTTTCAATTTATAAACGAGATGCTCGTCCTTTATGAAAAAAAGATAGCCGCCCATCCTGCTTATTTAAGATTTTTTGTTGACCAATGGAATTGCTTTGAACCCCACACTTCCTACTTGCTTTTTGCCCAAAAACAGATTTGCTCGTCTCTTATCAAGCAGTCCATCCTTTTTTTTTCTTTTTTTTTTTTTTGTTTCCCGGTATCGTCATTCCATCAGAATAGCCTTTTTTTTCTCGCCCCCTTTTTTTATTCTTTTTTCTCGGAACCAGTGGTTTCTGTCTCTCTCTCTTGAACTTTTTCTCTTAGAATCAACGATGGTCCAACAAGTTCGCATCAATACCTTTGTCGAGTCTCTCACCATGCCTGCTCGCAACGTCGAGTTTCCTCAGAAAAACGGTCAAGTTCAGCCTGTTTCTGAAGTCTTTGGTCAAAATGTCTTTACACGCAAAGAAATGGCCAAAATGTTACCCAAGCCTGTCTACAAGACCTTTATGGAAACATTAAAGGGTAAAAATACGATTGACAAGGTGACTGCTGATGCCATCGCCCATGCCGCTAAAGTTTGGTCTATTGAACGTGGTGCCACTCACTTTACTCACTGGTTCCAACCTTTGAATGATTCCACTGCTGAAAAGCATGATTCTTTCTTGACTTTGAAATCTTCTTTGGATGATGGCGCTGCTCAGGTAAAAATGAAGAGTCGACTATTTTTCTATTATAAAAAGAGGGACAAAGGAAGGGATGTCGAGTGGATCGGAGGGGGCGGGGCGGGGGCGGAAGAGATATCAAACGTAGGATGGCAAAGGACACAAAAAGAGTGGCTGCCATTCCCTATCACGCGTTCATATAAAAGCATGTACTGAGGCCCTCTGACACTGTATCTTATCTAATGGATTTCGCTTTCTATGTGTGTAACTACGCACATGATCGAATTTAGGTTGAAGCCATTGACACCTTCTCTGGATCTCAATTATTACAATCTGAACCCGATGCTTCCTCTTTCCCTTCAGGAGGTATGCGTACTACCTTTGAAGCTCGTGGCTATACTGTTTGGGATACCAAGAGGTAAAGAATGAAGAACAGATCTGTTTTTCATTTCAATGTACAAATAGACTGAATCTTTTCTGCCCTCTAGTCCTATGTTTATTCAAGAAGGTCCTCATGGTACCAGCGTTCTCTATATCCCTTCCGTCTTTATCTCTTACAATGGTGAGGCTTTGGATGAAAAATCAGTCCTTTTAAGATCATGTGATGCTTTAGAAAAGGTCGCCTTGGAAGTCCTCAACGTGATTGAACCCAAAGATGCCGGTAGGTTCCCATGATGGTGAACAGAAAGAAGGAAAAGAGATGTGTGTGTGTGTGTGTGTGTGTGTATTTGTATCTTTCACGTACCCCCCCCCACCGACCCACTCGCCACACCTTTTTTCATAACCGACCCAACCCCAACCCCAACCCCCTCGCCTCACGACGGATTCAAACTGGATGACTCATGTCTTTTTTTTTTTTCCCCTCTCGGAATCATGATAGAGAACCGAACCGACTTTGTTTACACCACCCTCGGTACCGAACAAGAATACTTTTTGATTGACAGAGGACTCTATACCCTTCGTCCTGATCTCAAGATCACAGGTCGTACCTTATTAGGCGGCCTGCCTCCCCGTCACCAACAGTTGGAAGATCATTACTTTGGTAAAATTCCTAGTCGTGTCCTTGCCGCTATCAGTGAATGCGAGTTGGAATTAGCAAAGTTGGGTGTGCCTATCAAGACACGTCACAACGAAGTCGCTCCGGCACAATTCGAAGTCGCCCCTATCTTTGAAGAAGCCTTGATCGCCGTCGATCACAACTTGTTGACCATGGATGTCCTCCATCGTGTCGCCCATCGTCATAAATTGAAGGTCCTCTTCCATGAAAAGCCCTTCAAGGGCGTCAACGGTTCCGGTAAGCATTGTAACTGGAGTATCTCTACAGACAAGGGCGAAAACTTGCTGGATCCCTCCAGCACCCCCGAAACCAACTACCGTTTCTTGATCTTCCTCGTCGCCACCCTGAAGGCTGTCCTTGATCATGGCGATCTTTTGCGTGCTGGTATTGCCTCGGCCTCCAACGATCATCGTCTCGGTGCTCAAGAAGCTCCTCCTGGCATCATCTCCGCCTTCCTTGGCTCTCAATTGACGGAAGTGCTGGATGCGATCGAACAAGGCCGTCCTGTCAACTATGAAGTCGCCGGTCGTGAACTTCAACATGTGCGTGTCAAGGGCACCGTCTTGGATCTGAAGGTCGCCAATTTGCCTGCCATCGCCCGTGATTTGACCGACCGTAACCGTACCTCCCCTTTCGCTTTCACCGGTAACAAGTTTGAATTCCGTGCCGTCGGCTCCAAGCAGTCTCCCTCCTTCCCCATGACCTTGTTGAACTCGGCGGTCGCCAAGTGCTTGCACGAAATCTTGGCCGATCTGAAGGCTGCCAAGGGCGATAAGCCTGTCGCTTCTGAAGAAGACCAGCTCAACGTCATTCGCAAATACATAAAGCTAACAAAGAACGTTCGTTTCGAAGGCGACAATTACTCTGAGGAATGGGTCCAGGAAGCTTCCAAACGTGGTTTGGCCAATATCACCAAGAGCGTCGATGCTTTTGAACGTATTTTGAGAAAGGAAAATGCCGACATGCTGAAGGACATGGGCGTTTTCTCTGAAGCCGAACTGAGCTCCCGTTACCATATTTTGACCGAGAAATACGCAAAAGACGTGACCATTGAAGCTCAAACCATGATCACCATGGTCATTCAGCAAGTCTTACCTGCCGCTTACGACTACAGACGTAACTTGGCTGAAGCCGCCCATTTCATGAAGGATATCGGCGTCGAAGCTTCTCCAGAAATTGACTTGTTGAACGAATTAACACCCATCGTCGCTGCTCTCAAGAAGGATATCAACGATCTCAAGTACTTTATGGTTGACTTGACAAAAGAAGACGATCTTGTTCGATTGGCTAGGGCCTGTTGTGAACAGGTCGTTCCTAGAATGGAAACCATTCGTGATTTAGCCGACAAATTAGAGCGTAACGTTGCTGATAATTTATGGCCTCTACCCAAGTACACTGAACTCTTCTTGAACATTTAAACAAGGAAAAAACAGGCAATCCCCTTTCTTTTCTTTTTTTATTTATTCTCTTTTCTTTCAAAAGCTCTTACCTTATAGCATCGTTGAATTATTTTTTCTCTTTACTTTTCGTTGCTTCCCATCCCCCCCCCCTTTTTTTTTTCTTTTTTCTAATGATCACTGCTTTTTATACACATTCTATCAAATGAGAAAAATAAATTACATTCTATATCCAAAAATACCTTTTGGCTGTAGCCACAACATAGCATCCCTAACAATGCTTTCTAGTGACAAATATGGGAACTATTGTGTCAAGTCCAAAGAATAAGGAGCCAAAGAGTGGTACGTCTCTGTAAGCACGGGCGGGCTGTGTACAGGGGAGAGATACATCCTATTGAACATGAGATATCTCCTACCCTCCCCCCCCCTTTTTTTTTTTTTTTTTGTCTTTCGTTGTCTTTATTGTTTGATCTTGGCGTATGATCCTTTGGTTCTTTTTCTCTTTGATTTTTTCTTTCCATTGACTTGATCACAGTCTTCATTTTATATATTCCTCCATAGACAGCCAGCATGGTGACTCTACAAAAAGTGGTAAGTTCGACCTTGTGCACTCTGAACTACCTTTCAATAGTTGATAGACAGAACCCTATGTCAATAGAAAGACCGAATACATCAATCCAAGTGGACTAAATTATACATCTTGGTTGCTTGTCTGCAAGGATTCACTATCATTGCTTTGCAAGCAACCGTTGCTTATTATAACACCGCACAAGTGAACAAAGGCCTAGAATCAGATGCTTTGGCCAACTATGATCTTAGTGATGAAGAACAGTATGAAGTCACCCACGCTATCAGTCGACTCAAAAGAATCAAATGGGAAAATATCGCTTTTATCGGATTCCAAGCATGGTTTGTAGGCATGTCCTTTGATGCGGTAATGGAACCAAAGGTTTTTGCATTTCAATAGAACAAAAGAGACTAGAAAATTGATAGCTGTTTTTTTTTGTTCCTTCTTTCTGTCGTGTATAATAAAGACAGTGTACCAAAATGCCGTAGAAGTAACAGCTTTATCCATCATGAATATCGTCTGTGCTATTCTAGGCGCTCTGGAAGTCGTAGACGGGAAACGATGGCTCAACATGTTGAATACGCTGAAAATCAAACATGCATTGCCTATCATCACCACACCTATACAAACTGCTTATTACATTGAAATTGTACTGTCGAGTTGTTTGACAGCCTTTGCTCTCGCCTTTACCTATTTATCGTATGCCGTCGTCAAAGAATTTGGCTGGACTATCTATAAGAAAATTGGAGCCGATCTTTCCATTCAACGTAAGAAAAACGAAACGCGGAGGAGGAGGAGGAGGAGGAAGGTTCAGTAGGCTAAAGATTCTTTCATACCCTCTCTTTGTGGCGTGTGTAGGCATGTATAGGACATTTCAATTCTTTGTATTGGCGTTAAAGTTTGATATTTTCGTTGAATTCTTAGTATCCGTTTTTTACTTGATTCAGTTTGCGTTGAAAAGTGGATTTGAGTCTTGGGTGACTTTTGTCTTTGTTGTCATCACTTTGCTCATTCTTCCTCTCTTGTACTTTGGACGCACTGCTGTAAGTTTGACATCCGTAAGTCCCGTAGGTAGATGATAACCCATCTTGATCTCATGTAGGTCGCAGGCGAAAGTTCTATCAAAATGTCCTTGTTCATCCTCTTTCAGATTCTTGTATGTTTTCAACTGATATTGATTGCCGTAGAAGCTACAGACGCAGAAGATTATTGGTATATCTGGATTTGTTTTGGTAAAGCTACAGAAAGCCAAATCTTTCTATAGAAAATGCTAATACAGTTCCTCTTCCATCGATTCCCCTCCCCCCCCCCTCCAAAAAAACATTAGTTGTACTAGGCATGCTCATAGCAGTGGTAGGATAAAACACTTCATCATCCACACTTTGCATCCACTTAAACGTTCAGCAACAGACTGATTCCTTTGCTCCTTCATAGTCTACAGCTGTTCTCGGTTTATTTTGTATCGCTCATTTCGGCAAAGGCTTGAAGCCTTATATTCAACGAGGTGCTAAGAAAAAACAGACAGCAAAAGAGCTGTCGCCAAACCAACATACTGCCGTTTGGGTCATTGATGAATAAGCATACATACAATACTCTGCAAGAAAGAACTTTTTACCAGAAAACTATCCCCTTTTTCTCATCATTACCTCAAATGTACAGCAAGTGTTTTTTTAAATTTTTTAATTTTGCTTAGGTTAGCACCGTTTTATTTACTTTTTTCCTTTTCCACGATATATACATCTAATCCTAGCGGAATAACTAAACGTCGACGCTTGAACTAGATCTTCTTCTCTCTCTGTGCTCGTCATAGTAACCATCATACTGATGGCTGCCTCTTCTTCTTCGACGACTGCCACTTCGGCTGCGCTCATAATAATCGTCATCCCTATAACGATGGTGCCTGCTACTGCTGTGTCTTTTTCTGTCGCGAGAACGTGAACGTGAGTAACGCGAGCGAGATCGTGATCGAGAATACGGTCTTTCATATCTTCTACGACGCACTGGTGATCGGCTATCTCTTTTCCTTCGCCTATCGTCCTATTCATCCATTTTTTACGAGTTAGTATATCCTTCTTCACTTATTCTAACCATTCAAAAAAGCTTGAACCTATATACTGTACATAGTAAGGACGTCTTCTTTCCTCCTCCTTTCTTAAATCCTCCATTTCAGCCGCTTGTTTTTTACGAATGGTATCCATAACGGACTGTCGATGGGCGCGTCTTTTCTCCTCTTCTTCTTGTTGCTTTCTCAACTCTTCCTTCTTTTGTTCAATAAACTCAGCTGGTATACCACCTACAGAGTTTTGTGCACTTAGTAAAAGGTTCCACAGTTCTTTAATAAATATTTTTGTTTTGCTTTCCAAAAATCCTGTCAAGTTAATTTGCATGCGTTTAGGATCCAAGTCCTGTCAAAAGAAGAAAACAAAAATGTTGGATCCTTTTAGCATCCGTAGATGAGTCGACTGACTATCATTCGTACGTGTTGGTCTACAACAATCTTTTTCTTACTTCTTCTTCCAAAAGACTTGAGGCATAATCAACGACTACTTCATCTTCGAAACCGAGTAATTCAGTAATTCTGTTGCTAATCCAAGGTCTTATAACATCAAGATTAACCTTTTTCATATTAACCTACAATGATAAATTGAGTTTAGATGAACAACCTGTTCAGTTTAAACACATAAGGGTAACAATCGGGTCTTTCTTACCTTTTGTTCGAATTCAGGTGGAAAGGACATTGTTTTCAAAAGTTTCTTTTCTTTGTTACTGAAACGGCTATCTTGATCAGCACTTGTGCCCTACAGAGCAAGGAGACATAGAGCTGTGAATCAACCCATTTTATCGACGACGACATGCCTGAATCAAAATCAAGTGTTTGCTTTTTTACCTTGAAAAAACCGGCGTCACCCATTTTTGTGATAACTATATGTGTTGCTATACTTTTATGGATTTATGTAAAAACCACTTTTTTTGAAAGTGAAGTAAAAAAAGAAAAGAAAACAGTAAAGAACCTGCCATTTTTACTCTTTTCACCCATCAATTGAATTACCGACCACATCGTTTGGGCATTTTCTAATGTTCAGAGCAGTATTAAAAAGTAGTGCTGCTTACGGCTCTAGTCTCTTCATAGTCTTCATTCAAATGCCATAGGCATAATATAACTTTTATGAACGTACCCATATGTACGAATTCATACATGGGAACATACATATCTGCTTGATTTTCTTCTCCTTCTGTTTATACCATTTTCATCAATAAACAATATCAAGTCAAAGCTATAGAACTTATGGGGCAAGGGAATAGACCATGGATTTACTATCCAACGCAAGAAGCAAACTTCTCGAGAGTCGTTTTCATCATAACTTTGTCTGCGATTTACCAATGGAGGTGTTCCAAACTTTCTGCCAGCTATACGTACTATTTCTTAACGTAAACACGCAAATGAAAGTATGGCTCCATATGCCATCCTAGCTACTGTTACTCTGGGGAATAGTTAGTAGTCGGCCAACATTTCGGCATATTTTCAATCACATTGAAGACTCTTTATTCTATGGTATATTAAAATGATGCTTTTCTACTGTTGATTTTTGTATCTAAATTCATCAGATAGCAGTTGTTGGCAGATAGGATGTTCTTTTTGAATATTGATTTATCTCTTGAGTATAAAAGGAAACATATTTCATATGAAAAACGATGATAGATAATCTGATATGGATGAAAAACCACTTTTTCACGGTGTATGACATCAATTAAACTCTCTCAGCTCAGCAGCACTTGCAAAATTGGTGTTTCCCTTGTTGTAACCTTCATTACAAAAAAAAAAAAGCCCCTCCTCCCATGTTCGACATTTTTGCAAGCAGAAAATATTCATTCGAACAAATCCCTGATTTGACAGGCAAAATTGCTATCATTACCGGTAGCAACACAGGTGTAAGTCAAAATAATTGCCATGGGACTATAGTAGTGAACATAGTCAGGTACAACATGCACTGACATTTCCCTCGGTAGATCGGTAAAGTATGCGCTTTCGAAATGGCCAAGAAAAACTGTACAGTGTAAGTCGGTAGGCTTAGCCCATCCAATGATTGGCATGCAACACACTTTAATGCAAAAGCTCACTCTTGGCTGTTTATGCTGCTTTTTATTTGGGCAATAGAATCCTTGCTTGTCGTAATAAGGAGAAATCAGAAGCAGTCGTCGAACAAATCAAATCTGAAACAGGCAATCAAAACGTCGACTTTATCCAAATCAATCTTCTGAAATTAGCCAGCATAAAAGCTTTTGTCGACGCCTTTCTTTCACGGTACCAGCAACTGGATATCTTGATCAACAACGCTGGTGTCATGATGCCACCTTTTGGGCTTTCTGAAGACGGCATTGAGCAACAATTTGCCACCAACCACGTCGCTCACCATTTGCTTACGTTGCTATTATTACCCACTCTTCAACAATCCTCGGACGCACGTATCGTCAATGTAAGTAGTATGGGCCATCGTATACCCTTCAGACGACTGGATTTACACTCCATCAGCGATCCGAAGAAATACAACAGAATAGTGCATTACGCAAAATCAAAGGCTTGTAATATCTTATTTACAAGAGAGCTTGCAAGACGCTTGGAAGCACAGGGTATACAAAATGTAAGGCTTTTACACTTTAATAAAGCCTGTGCCACGTGTGGTATAGCGTAAGATCTTTCAAATGTAGAGTGTAATGGGCTAACTCGATTGAAATAGGTGTTTGTGAATACTAATCATCCTGGGGCTGTCAGTACTGAACTTTATCGCTATACTCCATCGTTTGCCACTTATATACTGAGATCGCTTGTTCTGATAACTCCTGAAGATGGCGCTTTGACCCAGCTGTACTTGGCCACGAGCCCTGAGATAAAAGAGAAGCAGATAAGAGGTCAATTTTACGTGCCTTACGGTGTTCCGAGTCAACCAGGCGGGGTTGCCGCTTCTGCTGATGCTCCTTTGGAATTATGGGAATTTACTGAAGCATTGATCAAGGAGAAAGTAGCTTCTTACGAAGGAGCACCTATTTAATGGAACCTTCAATGTATCTGTATAATGTATGCTATGATACACGCTTTATATTTACAATAAGTGAATAGCATTATGACTTATAATATCTTTTGTGAATGAATAAATGCTTAATAAATAATGATTAGCTAATGGTGTAATGATTTTAAATCGTCAAGAAAAAACAGCGTAGGCTCTGAGATCTCCACAGGAGTGCCTAGCTGATGTTTCTAGATGATCGATAATTGTAATACGAATGAATGAATGAAAAGTACATGTTCCCGTCCAAATGACGATAAAACATATATTCTAGTAGTAATAATGGTCGTCGTAACTTTTGTTTTCACCATACTAAATTTATAATAAATCAGTGAGTAAAGATAAGCTACGAATTGTTTGCAATAGACATACCTGATCAGCTGTTCCGCCGCTCCTGTACTGTAACATTGTAGCTGACCTTATTACCTTTCTCAGCATATTTGAGAGTGACGCCGAATCGTCTTCGCTCTCATTACCGGATAGAATAGACAGCAGCTCCTTTGCGAGTATGATTGCTTGTTTATTTTCTTGCTGAAGCTGATGGAAGTATAGAAGAAGCATATTACTCTACTAGCGCAGACAAAAAAAAAAGTAAGGCTAAAACTTACGGTGTGTAGTTCTTTCTGCGTTTGGGTTGATTCTTTTGCGCATTTACGGTAATCTGTATTTTGCTTTTGCAACGTTTCGCTTTCCTTCTTTAACAGATTATTCTCTTTTCTTAATCTGTCTCTCTCATCCTCCAATTCTGTCAACTGCTTTTGCAATTGTTGTCGTTGCGCTTTTGTGATCTGATCTAATTGCGTTTCGTACTGTATTTTCAAAACTCTTTTCTCACTTTTATGTACTTCTTCCAGCTCTTGAATAGTTTGCTCCTGTTCAGATTTGAGATTCTCTACACGAGCTTCTGCATGCATCATCTTCTGTGTGTTTTCGTCCATAAAAAGCTGTTGTAAGCGACTTTCTGTCAGTTCCGTATTAGTGCTCTGTTTGTTGAGCTTGTTCTGGTAACTTTTTATTTCTTGTTGCAGCTGACAGATCGTATCGTCCGCTTGGGCCTGTTGATTTTTAAGTTGTTCGATTACGCTTTGCAACTCAATATAGTCACGTTCGTCTTTTGCCTGAACAGTATCACTGTTCTTGTCCGTTTTGCCAAGATCGATTGACAATGGGAGCCGTGGATAAGCGGTGTCATTATCAGGGGAGTTTGATGAAGCAGTCTCTGCCAATTGTTTTTGTTGCATTACGAGCTGTGAAATCTCTTCATCTTTTTCTTCCATACGTTGAAATAAAGTGCTCATACGCCGATCACAATTCCTCTGTTCGACCTGTAGTTTGTCTCTGAAGTCGTTTTCGATCTCTTCCATTCTTTTCTCAAAGTCGGCTTTGTCATACTCGATTTTTGAATGTAAAGCTGATATCTTTTTGAGAAAGAAAAAAGGAAGCCGTCAGCTTCTTCATTGTACATACCAGAAGAACAATTTTTGTTTACCTGACATTCATAATCAGTATGCATTTCTGCCAATCGTTTTTCTTTGGCATCTAGTTCACGTAATAGCTATATCAACAAAATTTGCCTGATTGAATACAAATTACTCGTGCACTTTAGTCAACTAATTAGTACACCTACACTTGCTCTATCCTTTTCGTACTTCACTCGGTCCTTTTCCTGCTTGGAACGCAGTTCTTCAATAAATGTTAAAAGCTGTTGCTGCTGTTGAAATATAAGTAAAGAGATTTGGTTAGTCGAGCGTCGTAGAAACTCAAAACAAAGTAAACAGTACTTTATCAGACTGCAAATCCATATCTTTCACTTGTGATTGATAACGAAAGAAGGGTGAAGTACTAAATAGTCTTAATGAAGGTGACGGTGTAGCTACTTTCATTTTATCACTGCTTGCTGGAGGTGAGGAAATGGATCGAGATGGTAAAATTGATGAAGTAGCAGTTGTCAACGAGGGAGAAAAAGGTGAAGGTAAAGATGAGGATGATGCGAAATCCTAATGAGTAGAAAGTCCAAGTATTTTTTTTTTTTTGATTTAGTAAATCCGGATGGTAAATAGTGGTATGATATCACAGCTTGCACATCAATGATTTATCTGAGAATTTAATATACACGAGAATTCATGCAGGTGTTTAAAGGGAATTTTTTATTGGTCATTGACTCTTACTTTGATAGTATTTGGTGATGGCTCGGCTGTAGACGCATGTAGGCCATTCAGCTTTTTTTTCTGCTGATGTTGTCCCGGATCTGGAAGACCTACATTGGTTTTTAGTAATTTTTTTATATACGCTCTTCGGTAGTGTTCATTTGTACCTAAATGCATCAAGGCTCGGTTTAATCGCGTGGTTTCTCTTTCAAATTTCTGCTGAAGTATAGGGCTTATAATATCTTTCAAGAATTCACTCTCTTCGTGCTGATTGATGGACTCGGCATAAAATGTCGAAATAAATTTGATGAGAGCTAGAGAATGGAAAACTATCAAAAATCGCGCTCATAAGATAGGTTTACGGTAAGAAAACCTGGGTAATTACCTTCAATATCCTTTCTTGAAATTGCTGTTCCCTTTTTTAAAACTGTTGAAGTCATCTGCCCAACATCTTTTTGTTGTGTTAGTGTGGTTTGGCTGAGGATGGGTAAGTCATTCAGACCTTTAACCTTGAATGGAAGCAATGCAGGCTTCTTATCGTTCGCTCTTTCGCTGAAAAACAATTGAGTTGCATCTTCCAAACAGACTATCTCTTTGTTATTGAATGCATGTCTATATCTTTGCTCTCTTTCGCCAAATTGTTGGAATAAGTCGCTCAACAAGTCGGCATTTTCACTAACAATCTAATGATAGAGGCGTTAACTTGAGCGATCTTGTTTGAAAAAGAAATAATACTTGCTTTCAGTAAATGAGGTACATACCTGTGAATATTGTTCTCTTCTCCATAATTCTATAAGCAAAACACCCTATTAGATTATGCAAGGTTAGTTCTTTTTTCAACTATTAGTCACTGCTGTTCCTGTAACTCTACATAGCCTGTTATGATTCGCCTAATCAGTGCACCTTGTCCCTTTTCCAATTCCAGTCTTAGTGCTTTGACTTTTTGCTCTAACTCTGCCAATTTAGGATACACGTGGCTAATTGATTGTTCAATCTGACTGATCTTTTGCATTCCTTGCACAAACGCGTTCCATGCTTTCTGTTTTTTCATCTTAGTCGACGCCTCATGATCTCTTGAACCCATCTCGCATGTGTAAGCAACTTTCAGCGACAGTATAAGCTCTCGATTCACTGTTTTTCGGTTTTCGTTGGTTGCTATAAAGGCTGGTTCTTTTATTAGTCGCTCATTGATTTTTTTTTCAGAAGAGCCCCAAAGTTGTGAATATCCTTCAAATTCCTCAGCTTCTTCTGTTGATGTAAAACAAACAAAATTTTCGCAGTTTCTGATCTGGTTCGCTTGCTTATGAATGAATTGTATTTTGTTGGTCTGCTCTGTTGTGGCCAGAGTGAGCTCATCAAAGCGTTTTTGAAGCGCCTGCTTAGCTTCCCTTAACTGTTCCAAAGGTGCTGCATAGTCTATTAAGAAGGATTCTTGAGAAGGTGTTGCCGTAGCAGAAGTACTCGACTCTTTTGCTTCGGTTGTCAATGCAGACGACTTGACTCCGTCGACAGTAACTATGCTCTCAAGAATATAAGGATGTATCTTGATCTGCTGAATTAACCTAGTATCGAGATCCATAGCTGTTAATGCAGCCGCTTGCTTACTGAACTCACGCTGTGCTATTCGGTTAAATTTGTTTACAGTTTCTTCAGCCGTCCTGCAATCGTCATTACAAGGTATCAAATAGTTCATTTGTTTTCATATTAGAATGGTAAGACAGCCAAACAGAAGGAAATACCTGTTGGAATATGATCCCGTTACCTGACATGTGATTCTAAATTGTGTAACGCTGCAGATAATGCAATGTAGTGGTTCCTTGTCTCGCTTGTTAGCTTTGATATGTTTGATAATGTTTTCATTTTTCTATTGTTGAGATTCTTTACAGATTGAATTGTTACTATGTTATATTTTCTGGTGGATATACACGTTATAGACAGTAAAATAATTGCAAGAAACGTATACAGTACCGTAAGAATCTTCTCTGGGTTTATCTCAAAAGAATTCTTGGTAAGCTTTCCGTCGAACCACGCATTCATCAGGTTCCAACTAGGTATTTCGCCATTATAATGTTTAGACAAGTTTGCGTCAAAATATTTGCTATTACTTCCTTCATCTACTAAGAGTAGAAACGAGTCGTCGATAGGCGTCGATTCAAATTGTTGCATTGTTATATAACGGCGGTTGAATACAACAAGTGTATCTTGGCGATCAGCAACTAATTTTTTGCCCCATAGTTGTTCCTCTACAACATTAATCTGTTGCCAAAGTGTATTTGTATCTTGAGCAGTAGGTTTAATTTGTATCCCATTCAAGCTCAACAAAATTTGATCCGCAGGTTTTATATTTGCACGATTATGAACTTCCTTTTGGAGTTCCATTAAACTTTGTTTGAAAGGAGATCAGCATTATGTAAGCATCAATAACGATTTTCGGTTAAGGTCTTTTCTTCCTTACTCTTTAACATCGTGAGATCTTAAAAATTTGTTGCTTGTCTCAATTTCACTTCCTGATTCAGCTAAAATGAGCCGCATCTCAAAGCAACAGAAAAAAAAAAGTAGTTGAACGGATGTAACGTCAAGAAGAATATCAAAAAAAAAAAAAAAAAAAAAATACGAAGAACTGTTCTCCCAGACTTGACTTTTAAATGTTTGGGGAAAATTTTTAAAATTGCTAACCAAGGAATGGAATCACCTGCTGTTTTTTGGGCTTTTTATCCACGGATTCCCTTATTTGTTACCACTTTGTTGCTCAAGTAACTCTTAAGAAGTAATGAAGACAAGTGTCTTTAGCACCTTATCGATTTAACTTTTCTGAGTGACTTACTCGAGAAGACTGGTCATTTGATTTTGGACAAAACTTTCAATGACTGTGACTAGTCATGCTATTTTAATGGCACTTTCGCTGTTCGTTGACACAGAATGCGAGTATTTTTTATAGTGGTAAGCTTGAAATACATTTTCCTAGAACTAAATACTTTTTTCAAATGTACCCATAGTTTGAGTATAAGCCTTGAGCGGTACTATTGGAGGATGTATGCTACCTTGACTATCAAGGGACAAGAGGACGAATCAGTAGGTAACTAGCCAATGAAAATTCGTGCATAATTCTCGTGCTTCTACGCCATAACGGCTTTGGATTTTTTTCATTTAATCAAATAAAAGATCGACTTCAAATTGTCTGTGAGGCTTTCCATTCAAGTCTGATCATTGGTAAATGACTCATTCAATTTTTGAAAGGGTAACCTTCGTACACCAGTGTACTAGAGTTGACAGAAGACTCATTTACAGAGTTTTACTGTTGGAAAGTCGACCGGGGATGAATTGACAATAGTAGCAGAGAATGGTTGCGAACGTTTAACCCTTGGAAACGTTGATTTAGAGAAGATTGTCGACTGCTGGCTTCAATTACACAAGTGGTAATGCTTGTAGAATGGGCATTTACTCTGCATTAAAGGTCAAAACATATCATCAAAATACCATTTGGTAGATTGAAGATATGCATCTTATTCAGCTGTGGAAGCGAGATAAAGAAAAAAAATCAATACGTAAAGCCAACGGCCAAGACGAACAAGGAAATAAAGCCATGAATTGGGAAGAAGAGGCAAATTCTCACTATTTGGAAAATGTAACAAACTATTATACTATCGAGACGCACAACCTCATGAAAGATATTGTTCCAGACGAGGAATGGAAAAGCTGGCAGAAAGGTTAAAAAAAGTAGAGTCTTACTGCTGGATGTATCTATAACGACTAGAATGGCCACCAAAAAGCTCTCTTTTGTTATTATCTTAAGTTATGATGTATTAAACTGTACCTGCAGAACAATGACAAACATTCACCAGCATTTATGGAGGTACTATTAGCTATAAAATGTATACGAATAAAAGAATATGTCATCCAGCAAGAAGGCTTTAAACACAATTTAAGTAATTCAAAATGAACAATGAACATCACATTTTGTAGGTACAAGTGCTCCTTTTGTCAATCATATAATCTTAAGATGCATGATATTCATGGTCCCCCTTTTTTTCATAACATCGCTTTTACTTTCTTTTTCGGACCTTTTCAATAAGATTTCGGATGTGCGGGGTAAGAGAAGATGTAGGCACACAAACAATTAAGCTTTTTTTTTTGTGCGGTCCAGGTTAAGTGATGACACTAAGTTATTTGTATGGTGTGTGTAAAAAGTTGAATTCATGTGAGAATTAAAAGTTTGGCCCCGTTTCCTTAATTTCACTTTCTTTTTCACCATCGTATCAATTTGTTTTTCATATTCAAAGTCAACGTTACAGCAGCATGTTCAATATCTCTAGCCAGCTACTTTTTCAGACCAGAAAGAACTTACCTATATTCCGATCCTTCTCTACTTCTTTCTCTCAATTGAAGAGTATTGAACATATTACTGTAATCGGCGCTGGATTAATGGGGTCCGGCATTGCGCAGGTTGCTGCACAGGCTGCTTACAAGGTCACTCTAGTCGACACTTCTGATGCTGCTCTTTCCAACGGCCAATCCATCATTTCCAAATCTTTGTCTCGTGTTGCCCGTAAAAAGTTTGCCGAAGACGAAACGAAGCAAAAGGAATTTATTCGTCAAACCATGGATCGTATCACTACTTCTAAAGATGCTACAGACGCTAGTAAATCCTCGGATTTGATTGTCGAAGCCATTGTCGAAAATCTGAGCGTGAAGCAGTCTCTTTTCAGGAATCTGGATCAAGCAGCTCCTCAGCATACAGTATTCTGTTCCAATACTTCATCTTTAAGTATCACCGAAATTGCCAAGTCAACATCAGCAGATAGACAAAAGCGATTTGCAGGTTTGCATTTTTTTAACCCAGTGCCTGCTATGAAGTTGGTTGAAATTGTAAGAACGGATAATGTAGCTGAGGATGTGTTAAGGAACTTGAATGAGGTGACAAAAAAGATGGGTAAATCTCCAGTAGCATGTAAAGATACACCAGGGTAAGCAAAGAATACGTTAAACTGTGGTATGCTTCACACAGTCAGTATGGATGGAAGATCTAATCTTTTTTAATAGTTTCATCGTTAATCGTTTATTGGTTCCTTACATGATGGAAGCTTTCCGTATCATCGACCGCGGTGAAGCTTCTATTGAAGATGTTGATACTGCCATGAAGTTAGGTGCTGGTATGCCTATGGGACCACTTGAACTAGCCGATGTAAGTCTTATTTCGTAAACAGACCTTCTGTTCTTACTCGTCTTTCCTTTCAAGACATATTTTACATTTTTAAATGAATTTGTTACTTGTTTGCACAATAGTTCGTTGGTTTAGATACGATGAAGTTTATTGTAGATGGTTGGGCTAATGAAAATAGCAAACAAATTGATCCCGCATTAACCAAACCATCTCCTGTCTTGGACAAACTTGTATCCGAAGGAAGTCTTGGCCGTAAATCAGGCAAAGGATTTTATAATTATTCTCAATAAAGGCCTGAAAAATGTACAAGAAGGAGACAAAATATATACAGTCTATCTAGGTAACCACATATGTGTGAAATAAACGGATCAAATAGTATCAAAGCTCTAGTTGAATTCAACAACGGCATATTTTCCGCTGAAGCGCCATTCTTGACGCGTTGCTCTACTTTCAATATCCCTCTTCGTCTCATCTGTCAGCCCAACGACAGGATCAGCTTTGTTAGTACGCAAAGTAACAATATGAGTAAAATCATTTGCCATAGCAGGACCTATCGCTTCCTTGAAAGGTGTTGTCACTGGAAAATCGCAATCAAACACCAATTTACGATAATTCAAATCTCCTTTATATAACACTAACTTGGCCTTCTTCATATCTTCAAACAAATCAGGGGCTTCAGACTTCATGTACCAATAAGACAAACCATATGTCCAAAAATCATGGGAGCGGCATTCCAAAACACCATCCTGTACATATTGCTGCCAACGTTTAACCATGATCATTAAAGCTCGACGATCAGCTTCGGTCTTGTTCTCTTCGGCAAAGAAATCTTCGTCTAAGCAACATTGGAACATCAAAGGCATATCTTTTGGCATGACATCAGACACGAACCAAGGCATTTCCTTACAGTGGAAAACAATTTTGTCGGCCAGTCCGACTTGAAGCAGCCAATCGGCGAAAATCATATCCACGAAAACCTCAAAGCCTGCATTGTCCAATACAAAATCCACTCTGTTAACACCTGAAGGTTTTCTTTTAAGAGCTTCCCATACTTTCTGCGTATCGTCTGCTAAAATATATTGTCGTCTCTCCGCTAATCGATCCTTCTCAACTGCCTGCAGTCGCTGAATGTCCTCTTTTGACATATTAGTCAATAAACTTAAATCAGTCGCGTTTCCCCATAAGCAAACCTGGATCAATTCATGATAGATCAATTCAAGCTTTTCTAAACTGGAAGCATTGGCAGGATCAATAAGGCCTGGCATTTTGGTAGCCAAGTCGAATACAGCTGCATGACTGCCACGGAAAGTGTTGATCTTTTGACGCTCGAAACAATCATACTTTTGCCAATGGGTAGATAGGTTGAAGATCTCATATATACGACGATAGATATAACATTCATTGAAAAGCCACGTACCATTGAACCAGGTGCAATTGGAAAACCAAGTTTGAAGGTGTGTGTTCCATTTGTCAGTATCGGAATGATTATCCTTTATAGGCCTAGTTCAGTAAAGGGAGCACGGCAGAGAGAGGAAGAAGCTTTGAGTCAAGAAAAATTCAGTAATTCAAATTCAAACTGATTACTATAGCACTCTAACCTTAAAGGAGCATCAGCTGCTAACTCTTTTTTGAGATCTTCAAGTGCTTGTATAATTAGAGTACCCTCTTTGGCTTTTTTTTCATCAGATTTCTCGACCTCATCAATGGTTTTCTGAATGTCAACAATAGCGCTGTCAATAATAATCGGCCATCGACGAACAGTTGTATCATAAGCAAAACTTTCTTTATTTGTAGCTCTAAAAGCTGGATAAGGAGGGTTATTAGGTGTAATGTCGCTGTTTGCCATGACTCGTTACGTCTATCTTCCACGAGGAGAGAGTTTTTTGATACAAAAATAGTGTTTTTAAGATAAAAATATCGATTGCAACATGACATGCTAGAATTAAAAGGCCGCTTATAAGGATTAAACTACACTAGAGCAATCAACAGAATTTGGAAAAAAAAGTCCACACTCTGAAACTTGGTTGTCTATCATAGACAACACTATGTATGCTAATAGTGGTTGTACCATGGCCAATGATGATCAAAACCTTTTTCGTCGTACTTTATTCCGGGTATTGTACATGTTTCTAGCACGCAGTATTGGTTGTAGTGCTATAATTGTATCCATCAATGCTGTTATCATCTATAGTACTTTCGTTGGACACAAACGAGGGTTCAGTAGTAGATGATGGAGGAATAAAAACTTGTAACATTTCTCCAGACGGTGGGTCAATGTACTGCCTTCTAGCAGTAGGCACAGATATGAAAAAATTATTATAATAACTTCTTCTTTGACTCTCAATTGACGATAATTTTGGACGTTGTAGAAAAGGAGAATATGAGCTTTAAAAAAAAACAGAAATCAATGACGACGAGCAATAGTATTATCTTCCAAGGCAAAGACATATTAATGTTACCTTACCTCTGTTCTTTTCGTGAAGAATGGCAATAAATTATTTGAGAATTTGTTGATTGACATATAATTGGCCGCTGTTGCCTTGTTAATTTTTGTGTTGTTCCTTTTCCTTGGCGTACTTTTGTTCTATTAGCTTCTCTTAGTTTATCATAGAGTTCCTTCTCTTTTTCCTGCTGATTACCACAATCGTGTGCATTATTACTAATGGTATTCTTTTTCATCAATGCAAATGTCCTCGTTTTTGCTGTTGAGTCTGGTGTTTGGCTTCTAACATCATCTTGACGCTGCTGTATTGCAAACGAATTTTTTGGCTTACGTTTGTGCAAGAATCTGAATTTTGACTTCAAAGCCGCAGCACTGGTTTGTCGTTTGCTTTGCATATCTCTCTTTGCGTAGGTTTTCTGTGATGAAGAGGTAGTGGAGTGCGAGGAAGAATTTAAAGAATAAGTTGTTCTTTTTGTGGAAGTAGAGTTGGAGCGAGTAATAGCCACGAAAAAGTTTTCCTTGCTTGTGCTATGATGTTGATCGAATACATCGAAAGACCGCCAATGTCGTTCTTCCTCAAGAGCGAAAAGGCGTTTAATGAAGTTCATTTCTCTGAAAATAATAATCTTAAGATAAAGAAAGAGCCAAATTGTTATTTTTTCTTGAAAAAGAACCTGCTTGAAGGTCGACACTGTTACAAGCACATGTGTAACATAAACTTGTTTCATTTATTGTATAATTTCTCCAAAAAAAGCTATTTTAGTTTATCCTACAGTACTTCGCGTATGAAAATACTAGAATTAAGAAGGGAGAGGTTGGGGTTGTATCAAAAAGTATTTCTATTTTAGTAAATATGCTTCTAAATTATTAGCTGAATGCCTTTATCCCGCATGTGTGTCCTTTTTCTGGACAAAAGGTTTAAATCAACAAGTCAAAAAACCCCGTATTCTGATTAATGAAAATATATCGATTAAACAAATTTGAAGCATAGTATTGGATATAAAGTCATAAGAGATTATACAGCAATAAGTTTTCCGTGATAACGGCTTGGGATCGATTCAACATTATTGTTATAATGCACTATATAGCCTAAGTTCATGCTTCTCGTCTTCATCTCACACTCAATAATTTACTCAAATAACGTAAATTGCTTGGTGCGGCTTCGATATTAGCCTGATTTATTAATTATACAACGACAACTTCTCCATTTGAAGCGCTAATGTACAATCATTAGCTGAATCGTATACTAAATCCAGGTCCGAAAATACGATGGTTTCTGTAGACTGAACGCTTTTACCAACTTGCAGCTTCATAACCTTCAAAGACTTGAATGCAAACCATATCGTATACAATCCTTCTGTAGCTTTATAGCCTTTATACTGATCGGCTGTAATTTGTTTGAAACGGCATTTTTTGAAAAGACTCTCTTCATACTGCAACAGATAATAATGACACACGGTAGGTATGCTCATAAAAAAATCTTCAATATTATCCCCCGCATGTATTCTCATGTTCTGCTCAATCACCACGCATACATTTCTGCTAGACAAAGATTTGATGTAATGGAAACATGAAAAAGCATCGAATGTAAACCTATAAATGCTCAGAGACCGCAAATTCACTTTGAGTACAAAGCTAGCCTTTTGGACTTTCAAAAAGGCACAATTTAGGAGATGTAACTCTTTGATTTCTGGATTCGCCATTGCTATCTCTTCCAAACTTCGTACAGAGCTGAGAATTCCGGACAAACTGAGTGTGGTTAAACATTTTAAGTGATCATTCTGTCGTTTTTCTGCCTCATTTTGCTTCTCCGTGTCGTCCGTTCCTATTCTTTCATATGGAGGCTGTGTTGCTGATAGTGAGTGCTTTGTGGTTTGTAAAATCGCTATAATTGGCCTCGAGCTTTCGATATTGATACGAAGTGTTTTGAGAAGAGGGCATAGTTGCAATAATGATTCTACATTGGTAGCCTTATCTGCATTAAGAGCAACTATTTCTGTCGAAAGTGTGATATCAAGATTCACGACTTGACAACCAAAGAAAGACAAATAGGACAGGTGTGCTAATTGGTATCGGCCTAGAAAATCTTGACGATCATAACGCTGACTCAGCATGAACTTTGTGGTGATATCCGAATATTTCTGTTTTTCATTCATAGTATTTGTACGATCTACATCTATTATAGTTTGATCTGTACCCTTATTTATACAAAAACTAGCCGATATAGATGTTCTTGTGTGTATATCACTGAGGAGATAACATCCCAATAGAGGTGCAATGACATGATATGATACTTCCATGCTTTCAAAATGTAAAAGTGTATGCTTGAGGCGCCTGATAAAAGTTGTTAACTTGTTTCGGAAAGCTGGATGTTCAAAAGGGAAATCTGGAATTATTCTATTTGTGCCGTCATTATGCAACTGATTACAATGCAATCGTAAGATGAATTGCACTAGATTGGGAAAGCGATCTATAACGTATATTAATCTCTCAGGTAGGAGCTGATGGTCTAAACGGATACTAAGTGATCTCAATGATGGATATATCGATAATTGCTTCAGTTGCAATAAATTAATCTCATCATTCTCGGGAAAGAATGGGTGTCCAATATCGAAATTAAGTTTCTCAAGGTTTCTCGTCACCTCCAACAAGTCATGGAAGTAGACGATATGTTTCGTGCTTCCATCTCGAATATATAAGTATTTCAAATTGGAAAACATAGAAAGGTAACCAAATAGCCCGCCATAGTCGACGCGTATTGCTGGATCGCATGCTTGGTGTATTTCTAATTCAGTAATAGAGGATGCATAAAAGGCTGCGACTTTGTAGAAATATCTATCGGTAAAATCACGCCTTCTTCCCAATGATATCAATTTTTTGGGCTTAAGTATATTCGGTTTATTCGGTATGTTGTATAAGTATAACCAATAGGGTGAGTTGCTGTCGAAGCCTAGTTCATGTATATTTGGACAATATTCTAGCAAATAACGAAGGTGCTCGTCTGCTATTGAGAAACTGCGGAAAGAGCTTTGATATTGATCATTCGTAATGTGTAAAGATCTGATCATTGAGGCTGTTTCCGGCATAGGGCTGACTATCAAGTATTGGAATAGTTTGATTATTTGCTTACCGTCTGCGACACTTAAATGTTGGAAGTATATTTGCCCTGCCGTTCGGTACCAGGCTTTGCAAACATAAATACATCGTTGTAAATCTGCTTTGCTAACCCAGGAGAAAATGCTTAGAAAAACCTCAGGTGAAAGACAAGAGATATGGCAGCGTTTGGATAGTCTAATGGTCATGAATAATTGTTGGAAAGAAACGTATATGTTGTAGATGAAAGGATTATGTAGAGCAGAAAAAAGAGAAGTGAAAAAGGTTCAGCGATCACAAAAATTTTCAGGAGTTCAGGCTTTCTGTTCTTGTGATACCTGGTTTCCCTGCCATCATACAAGCAAAATTTCTTTATTCTGAAAAGTCGCCTTCTTTTATGTTTGTAATGAGATCCATGTAATTGATAGATTCTGCAACATTCTTGCGGGCAGTTTTTGCTTTGACGTCGTGCTAATGCACCACTTCAAGGCAACTGTTTACTTTACAAACCCTTTTCTTTGATGATTTTATCAGTAACTTGCCAGTAACCTCTACGAACACTTCAGTAAAGCTTAAATCAAGTATATGAACGATATAACAGGAGAATACGCCTACTTTTATTTGAAAAAAAAGCAGGTTGCCACCTTTGCAGCGGTGTTCATCATTTCTCCTTTTCTTGTGATTTGCTCCTTACCTTCTACAAAATTCCGTAATACCATAAGTTTCTCGAGCTGTCTATTTGCACTTTTCCTCTTCTTCTACTAAAATGAAAGTAGTTTCCATCTTTGTTCTGTTTACGTTTGCTGGTGTTATTCTGATCAACAATACAGTGAGTGCTTATGACGAAGTAGACGATGATTCTGGTGATGATCTTTCTAATGGGCATATTACCAATAGTGGTGTTGGTAATTGGAAGTTCCAAACTCGCTCCATTCCATCTAAATATATACTCGGAGAACTGAATGAAAGCATTGATCGCGACAATCCATTGGAAACTGATGGAAATTCGAAAGCAAGAATTTTAAAAAGAAGAAACTTTCTTAGGATGACTAGACGTCAATCTTCTTCCACTTTGGAACATGGTAAAGTTGATGATAAGGACATTGCTAAGGTTTTCCCAGACCGTGGTGGAAATAGTGGTGGAGGACTTTCTTCAGGTTCAATTGCAAGTTCACGTTCGCGCGAAGCTTAGAAGTCGAAGTTAGCGCACATTTTTTAAGTGTTGCTACGTTTTCGCTACTAGGTATAGCACGTTTGATAACTTTAATAGTGCATTGTTTCATAACGAAGAATAAACCCCTACTCAATGTGTATTGCAGTTTCTCTTCCCTGACATATGCTGAAAATACTAGATAAAAAGCACATTGTTGACTAAGAATCACGAATAACACAACACTATCCTTCCTTTACCTCATTCTAACATTTCGACGAAACATAAACAAAAATACTAAACCGTTTTTACAATATACCAGCATAAAGATTTAGAAATAGACTGCAAATGCTGAGTAGCACAAATAGTCCTCAATGGCCGCATATTTTTCATCCTATGGTTACCATGCTGTCGTTTCAAACGTTAGTAAACTTTTTTTCTTATTAGTATTATGGATTGCGAATGTTGGTTATTGACTTCTTCTTTTTTTCTAGAGCCAATAGTCTAGCCTCTGAAACGATCCTGAGAGTATTTAATATGAGGAAGCATTCAAATGATACTAGTTTGCTTGTTAGAGTGTATCTATCGATATAACTTCATTATCTATTACAAGAACAACAATATTATCCTAAACGAACAAATTTATCCTTCACGCCAGAATTCGGAATTTATGCAATTTGTATTAATAATCATTTAGCAAAAGTAGGTAACGCATTCAAAGATATGACAAATGTTTTCGTATGCTTTCTAAATAGATACAAAGTACAGCATTATTCAGAACCGAAAAGGTGCCTTTGTTCATGACCGTCACTTGCAAAGAACAACTCAATACTGATTCATATACGTGACTAATGGAATTGCGACAAAAACCGAATTGCTGCTGCGTATAATTAAAAAAAATTGATGACAAATTCACTGCTGGCTGTTGGATAGATAAAGAGCTACAGAATGATATATAAATCAAAGCCTTGCTATCCTATTTTTTATCCTATATTGCCTGAGCAATATCTCTTCTTCAGTATGCATAAGCGAATAATATTATTTATGTTGACCGTAAATCTCAATTCTTCGACAAAATGGAACGTCTCAATTAGCTCAACGTCCCTTGTAAAGTGTAACATTTCATTTGCGCAAAAAAAATTTCGAAATTCTGGGATTCACAGCAGACACGAAATCTTCTACCTCAGGAACGTATTAATTAGATCACTATTTTCCTATTACATTATTCAAGATATTAGACACCCTCTGGTACATTGTCAATATAAAAGGCAGAAAGAATCAGCCATTCATATAATGCAAATCAACGTTAGAGGAAAAACGATTGAAAGAGAAACCTTTTATTTGATGGTAGTATGCGCTGTCTACCCTAATGCTAACTGGATGTAAAAAAGTCAGCTAAATTTACACAATTGGCAAAATTAAGGGGACCAAATGAAAATTTTCGACACTTTTCCACAAAAACACACGCACAAAAACTGTTCGACAGTGTTGCCGTTGTCTCTAAGTTCCAAAAGGTATTTATAGTAACTGAACTTGCTTTTTTCTTCATCCTTCGTTACCTTTTCTTTATCTTCTCCCAATTTTGTATATCCAGCTTTTTTCTACCAACCTATCCTACTTGACAATATAAGCACATTCTTACTACTATTTGATTTACGTACATTTACATGCGAACGACACCTGCTTATGTCTTTTCCTCTTTAGACGGCGAACCTATTTCACCCACACGGAGTGATTTTATAAATACCAATACCAATCATCATAATAAGAGTACTGTTTGCAGTACCCCATCTTCATCTTTCGAATCTCAGAAAAATTTAAAACAAAGAAAACTTGGTAGTGACATGGATCATCAGAATACGAACATTGCAATACGTTCATCGTCGAAAAAACTCCTAGCACCCGATGAATTAGAGGAAATGGAGTTAGACACATTAAACATCAAAGAAAAACAAAGGTTGAGTGCACAGCATAATTCGTTACTGTCGCAGCAACCAGGTCAATCAACTATCACTACAAACCCACCTAATCAACAACAACAGCAAGATAGCAATGGTGAACAAGTACAAACTTTATATAAACGTGACTATGGCAATTTTGCCCTGTTAGTTATTCTATGTAAGTATACAATGAAGCTGCACCCGATCTCTCACTTTTTTCTTCCTAATTTACATTTCCCCCAATCGACAGATTTATTACAAGGTATACCTGTAGGTCTTAGTTTCGGTTCGATTCCCTTCCTTCTTAAAGCCAAACTTTCTTATTCGCAAATTGCTATCTTTTCTTTATCTTCTTGGCCGTACTCTCTCAAATTATTGTGGTCACCTATTGTCGATGCCGTCTACACACCAAAATTAGGGCGCCGAAAATCATGGATTGTCCCTATACAAATCTTGACAGGCATTTTATTTTATTTACTCGGGCATCATATTGATGCTATGATGAATCCGCCACCATTAGCGGTTGAAGAGATTACTACGGCAGGAAGTGATGCCGTGCACCATGTCCCTATTTATGCTCTTACTTATTCATTTCTCATGACTATCTTTTTTTGTGCCACACAAGACATTGCCGTGGACGGATGGGCCCTCACTTTATTATCCAAAGATAGTTTATCGTATGCATCGACCGCTCAAACCATTGGCCTCAATTGCGGTTATTTCCTCTCATTTACGGTCTTTTTGAGTTTCAACTCTTCAGAATTCAGCAACAAATACCTACGTTCCGTACCCCAAGAGTATGGCGTCCTCGGTTTAGGTGATTATATGAAATTCTGGGCCTGGATGTACTTTCTAGTCACAGCCTACCTTGTCTTTTTTAAAGAAGAAAAGAATGTGCAAGACAATGAAGATTTGGGAATTAAAGGCGTTTATTCAACGATCTGGAAGATCTGCAAATTACCTCATATGCGCAAGTTTGTATTTGTGCTGTTGACAGCAAAAATTGGCTTTATATGCCATGAAGCGGTTACTTCACTCAAGTTGTTGGAAAAAGGGTTTTCCAGAGAGGATATGGCGCTTTCTGTTCTGTTGGATTTTCCCTTACAGATCTTTTTCGGATATTATGCAGCTAAGTGGTCGAATGGGCAACGACCTTTGAAGCCGTGGCTATGGGCATTTTATGGACGATTGGCCTGCGCTGCTCTTGGTATGTTAATTGTAGCCGGATATCCTCAAAATCAGCACCCTGTGGGCATGATCTATTTTATTGTTATTATGGCATCAACGATACTTAGCTCCTTCATGTCGACAATCCAATTTGTCAGTATTTCAGCATTTATGACAAGTATTGCAGATCCTATCATTGGCGGTACTTATATGACTGTGAGTAGAGAGTACTACATACGTGACTAACGTATTAAAATCATACCTTTAATGAAGTGAATATTGACAAGATATTGTTTTATAGTTATTGAATACATTTAGTAACTTTGGCGGCACCTGGCCAAAATTTTTTGTGTTGGAAGCTGTTGATTATTTTACTAAGAATACCTGCTCAATACCGAATGAGAAAGGAGAATGTAAATAAGCAAATAATAGCTTGAGTAAATGAAAATGGTCAGTAAGCCCTAACCCACTTTGCTTCTAAACAATAGATCTATCATGTACTACGGAAGTTGGTAAAGACTATTGTAGTCAAATGAATGGTACTTGTCAATTAGAAAAAGACGGTTACTACATTGTTGGTACGCTGTGCGTTGTGCTAGGCTTTTTTATGCTGGTCTTCTACATCAAACCTATTGTTCGAAAGTTAGAGCAATTACCAAGAAAATTGTGGAGATTGGATTCCGAAAAAGATTAGAAAAGGGAAAGGTTGTGTGCCTGAAATTTATTTTGTCACTTTTCCTTTTCCCCAGATTTTTCAATAAACGCTATCTATTTATATACCATTTGCCTTTCGCAAGGCCAAATATGAAGTGTTTGGATATGGAGAAAAGAATCAATCACAGGAGGAATGTCTTTATCAGTATGTTATTTATAGTGTTACAATCCGCACAGCTTGTAAAAGCGAGTCTATTTTCTACTTCGGATGTTTATATTTCTTCAAGTAAGAAAAGTAGATTTTTGTTACAGACTATGCTCATTTTTCATTTTCTTTCCTTTGTTTCTGACTCCATCGTCTTTGATTGATCTTATACTCGAATTGTAGATCCCGTCATGCTGTACTCGAATGGCACCATTAGGGAATACCAATTTTCAGTGTTGGTAGCCAAAGATTTCAAGTCAGGTATTGTTCCTTTTGATAATTTAACTCAGCCTTCTGCCTCAGGTTTAGAAGTAAGAGTGCATACTATAAAGCTGCTGTTAGCCCTATTATTTTAGCTATCTAAGTTTTCGTTCTTGAGTATGCTCATAAAACACTTTACTAACATAACTAACTTTTGTGATTTGTCTTCAAGGGAGTCTTGTATGACAGGGGATACTCTTGTCAATTAAACGTTTCTTCCATATTACCGCTGTCAAACAGTAATAGCAATATTCCGGCACCCAGGCTGATTACTGGCAGCAGCAAAATTGCATTAGTCAAAAAAAGGAGGAGGCTGCAATTTCTACCAAAAAGTTTTTTATTCAGAACAGGATGGTGCAGCAGGCGTTATCATATACGACGACGTACCATTTCGAGATGATGATAACTCCGGATCAATGGTAAAAAAAAAAAAAAAAAAAAAAAAAAAAAAAAAAAAAGAAAACGATATTGTTGTTCCTTACTTTATAGTATAATAATACCTCTTCACTTAGAAAATTTCAAAAGGAAATTTGACAATTACAATGTATTATGTGGATTTGAATATAGGACTAGAGCTTTATGATATGCTACAATTGACGGCATCTCAACCGGTTGGTTACATGGCAGCGAACTCCTCTACAACCAATGCAGCCATTACATTTCAACCAGTGATATTATTGACGATGCATCCAGCTGTTGGTGGGTTTCTTAGTGCTTGGGAATTTACCCTCATTATTGTTGTAGTGCTGCTAGGTATCAGCTTTTTAGCCTCAGGTAAAAATGATGTTTTCAACGAGATTACTATATTTGGAAGATAAAGAAAACCTTACTTCTTTTAAACACTATATTAATTCAATCTCTTATATCATACTAACCTAACTTCATTTCTGCTTTCTATCTGCTTTCTACATCTATCTTTACAAAAAATTACTATTCTATACATGACAACGCTTTTAAAATCAGTTGGTATGCATTGGCATCTTTGGCGTATCCGACGCAGACAACGCGCATTTACATTTGAAAACGGTCTGCTTAATATGGATCCGAATTATATTGATCAGACTTCATTTAATCAGCAGCAACAGCAACAACAGCAAACAGAAAAGAAGCTTATTGATCCTAAACAACTGCATCTATTTTCATCTCGAACAATAGCATCAGAACAGCAGTACTTGCCAGTCAAAACTATTGACACTACGTTTAGTAGTAGTTTGAATCAATTGGAAAAGATTGATACACAACTTTCACCGAGACGCTCAGTTGCTTTAAACGAGGCCTCAGATAACACAATCAATAAAGAGACCGCGCAAGTATTAGCTGAGAAAGAGACAGATGATGCTGCTCTAGTGACAACGGCTTGCGTTATTTGTTTGGATGAGTTTGTCATAGGTGATGAAGTAAGGCAACTACCTTGTCATCATGAATACCATTGTGAATGCATAGGTAATGAAGCACCAAATCAAATGTATGTTTTGCCACTGTAGCTGTTAATCCCGCTGCTTCTCAAACAGATCCATGGCTAACTATTAAGTCAGCAACATGTCCGTTATGTAAATACGACTGTACATTGATCATTCCAATCACAGCAACATCTAAAGCTACCATAGCGACCACCTCGACTACCTCCAATGTAAGCGTTATTAACTCCACTAACTCTATCACTGACCCTACACCACCATCAAGAATACCAAGTCCATTTTCCTCCTTTTCGTTATCTTTTCGACGGCCACCATCGTCCATAGCGACATCAACAACTCCATCTCCACCTCCGCCGACTTATTTTGGACCTACTATTCGAGCTGATAATGCTGAAGCATTCAGTCGTTCTTGGATGGCCAAAAGTTTACCGAGAAGTATGCGGCGTCAAATTCGAGAAGCTATTATTAATCAGCAGCAACAAGATAACAGTGACAACGACAATGTGGCCATAGAGTTACCCACAAGGATGACAACTCCTTTATCATCACAACATCAGCAATGCTTATCAGTACCGGAGGATCCTTCCCCTTCATATAGGGTAATAAATAATCATAGTGTAGCTACAACAATTCCTATAGCTAACAATCATTGCAAAAACCGTACCTCTGATCAGCAACAGCCTTGTTTACCTAATCATGCATTAGTAGGTGAAACTATAAATTCCTTTAGTAATATACCATCATCATCAGCATCGTCATCTTTATCAACTCAAGAACAAAGTCAGGACAGACCCAGAAATAAAAAGTGGAAAAGACTCTATAAAATGTCTTTTCTCTAATCATAATAAACTATCGGTGAACTACCCATACTTGTGGAAGGGGTGTATTTTTATTGGACCCAGTTTGCGTGCTTTGTTGAAATGAGAAATACACAATGAACGCTGCTATATAATAGTTTTATAACAAAAAGTTGTAATGTTTTCATTTATATAATTTCAAGAAGTAGGGAGGGATGCGATATCACAGCGATATCTAAATCATCTATTTTCGAAAAGCATATTGAAAATGTCATGGTATACCTACTATATATGACTAAGTAGGCATATCCATCATTTCATTTACCATCTTTTTGTCCTTTTTACTCATGTGTCAGTATCATCAAAACTGGGAGCCAGCTTGAGGTGAAGAAGCAGCTGTTACGAGAGCTGGTGACTGACTTACAAGAATACTTCTGAAGGGTGTTATTATAAATTGAGTGCCTACAACTATGATTGATATGTTTCAAAAAAGAACATTTGGACTACGGCACTCTCTGTTATGCATTACTAAAGATTCTGGTTTTTGAGAGGCGTAATTATTGTTCCAGTACGGCTACAATTTAATCAACCCTTTTTATCATTATTGTTATTGCAACGTAAAATGCTTGAAATACATACTCTATCCCATAGATTCCATCAAAGTATATTCAATTATGTTTATTACTTCTTCCACCTTCCTCAAACAACCAAACATCAACGACAAAATAATGGTCTTAAAAGATCAAGCAATGAACTTTCTCAGTAAAAAATTGACGGCCACGTAATAATTTTCAATCTTCTTTAGCAAATACCTTTTCATGCCTTTCATACGTAGTGCTACATCTCTCGCAGTAAATCCCTAATCAAAGAGACCAACGCTTACTTTTACAATATACTCAATATATAAGTATATACACTATCGACAATGAAGGACTAACAGTAATTTTATTGTCAGGAGAAACATTAGTATTTTGTGCATATGGTTAACTATTAAGAATGAAATTGGCGGCTGTTTATTGAAAATGTATGAATGCAGGATAATGTTTCGTTGAACTCGTATACTCATAAGAACGGAATATGCATCTAGCTTTACATAGCAAATGATGCTGCTTCATGTGTAATTTTTAGAAAGCACCGGCAAACCCTCCAAATATTTGTTGAGGATTCAAGGACCCGAACGCAGCTTTATAATTTGCGAGAAAAAAAAAGTTAACATTAAACTCTAATCGATATAAATAGCTTGCAGCACTTTATACAATATATACCTTGTTGTACTGTTCCAGGAACCGTTTGTAATTGTTCAAAGATAACATCAAATCCTGCGGAGTCACCACCAAGCTGTGGTGAAGGTGCAGCCATAGTAAGAGAGAAAAAGAAGCAGAGGACGACTAACTGTAGGCTCGGCCCAATACGTAAGTCCTGTCATCCTGTCACCCTGTCATAATAACTGAACTATTATATTGTGTGTTGACTTACATAATTTTGCATTTTACTGTCACAAGTTATATAGATGAGAAAAGGCAAAGATATGGATAAGTGAAGAATGAAACCATCTTATATTTGGTAGTTACAAAAAATTAATAACAAGACAATAAAACCCCTTGAATTGAATTACAACATATTTTCTCAATCTTAATGGTAGTCTTATGTATCTATTCGAATTCATGCAATTGATATGAAAGGGCTTATGTTGAATAATAGAGAAATTAAAGAAAACCAGAATTGCATTGATTATTTATTATCTGTCATAATTCAGCAAAAACTAAACTCGATATGAACGCGTTTCCGAAACTTAATATAATTAAAAACTTTCACACTTTAATAAATTCCACAATGCTGTAACTAATAAGTACAATTATTACTAATAGTCTAATCTATACGCTGATGTTGCATTTGCTCTTAGATGGTCTATGTGTTTTACGGATCATGGATTTCATGCAACAGTGAGGCCAATCGGACATCTTTAGAGGTCCTCGCGTAGTTTTAATTAAACTTCGGCCCTTTCATCTAGAGGAAGGTTGGTCTTTAAACATCGCTTGTTCTTCAAAATTACATCACATGTCTTCATCAGAACAGCCAGGAGCTCTTCAGCAACTCTCCTTTGCACTTGATCCGCAGAGGTCGGCTTCAGTTTCTGAAAAGATCACCTTTCTTCGAGCATTTTCAGCGACACTTCAAGGTGAAGAGAAAAAACATAGTAGAAGCATAAATTTGTGCCAAGCACTATCGTGTTTTAACAGCAATTGTCTTCATATTCCAGATCGCTTAACTTTAGAACAGTCCCAACACATTTTACAAGCATTTCCATTACAGAATTTTTATCTTCTCTTTTCATACGAGGATGACACTTTGACAACATTAGTGTGTGATCTGCTTAACAAGCTACTTTCACCTTTGACTTACGAGCAGATTGTTTCCTCTGAGAATAAGGTAGACGATGACAGAATGTTCCAGTTGAAAGGGCAGTTTTACGCTTACATTGGGTGAAAATAATTCATAGGAGTTTTTGTTGGAAGGATTGACGCATTTTACACCTTCAATTCGTTACTTATCTTTGCAGCAAGTATATAAATGCTTAGAATCAGAAAAGTCCACTCGACAGATGGTTCAATCTGATGTTTTCCCACTTATCCTTGCAACAATTGCTTTCCAAGATACCAAAACAGCCAACAAAGCCAGTGATTTCTTGTACCAGTTAGCTAAATCGTCCGAAATGGGACAAGAGGCATTTTTTGGTCCTACTTGTCAAACAATGTTGCGACAGCTATTACAAATGTAACTATTGACTATAAGAGTTATCGTAAAAAGAAAAGATAAAATAAGAATACTGATGATCTTTTGAATATGCAGTACGAATGATAATGGTATCATCAGTTTCCGTGTCTATGATTTGATTATCAAAGTCGCTACTTTATCCGATGCAACTTTTGAACAAGTCAAGAATTCAGATCTATTGACCAAGTTTGGAAGGGAGTTGGAAACAGATGATTTGTTGGTACAGATCAATGCCATTGAATTATTGAATGAGGTAACCTGCATAAATGTGAAAGAAGATCAAAGAGTATAGCACAATTGCAAAATTAAAGGCTTTCTTTTCCGATCAATATAGGTTGCGACCACAAAAGCTGGAGTTGCGTTTTTGGAAAAGGCGCAGCTGTTACCTAGAATTGCTCAAGTTCTAGACAATGAGGAGGGAGATGATGACATAGCTGTTCAGCTAGCCAAGTGTGCAGTAATAAAGTTTTTTGGTAACCTCGGTGAGAATATGGTATATGAATCATCAGATTTTGTGGATGTTTCCTTTATTTTCCCCGGTAAATCTCATCTTGTAGCTTTTTCGTTTCCATGATAGTCTGTTGATTTTGCCAATGTAGACTCGAAGTATCAAATAGTCAAGAAATTGGAACAAATTGTGGATAGAAGCTCGAATATTGAGATTTTGGTAAAGATTCATGATATGGAAGGGGAAATGGAAGGAAGTTAAACAAAGCCTGACAATACAGATTCATGTAGACTGTTACTGTATCAACGGTTGGCCTAATTGGTTCTCATGTTACAGGTTTACGCAATTTATCACATCAATCATCACTGCTTAGGAAATGTTTATGCATGTATGAAACTGCAGTTGGACCTTTGAAGACAGTACTATTACAAACTTTGTCAAAATTATTATCTGTGAGGTAAACTAATAACGTGCTTGGATATCAAAACAATATTGGAGAACAGACGTGTGCAACATCGCTTTGGTGCTAATCGGCTTCTTCTCCTGCTTCCCTATTTTCTGTTTAAATCTGAAATATTATTTTTGTCACGTTAGGGATGGCACTGAAGACATTGAATCATTAACATATCAAATTTATGATCAAATTCCTGGTAAATGATTGGGCCATTGTACTACATATTCGATCAGGCATGAGTTTTTCAAAATAGAATAATAAGAAAACTCAAATCTTGTATCAATATCTTTTGTAGGTCGATTTCCTCAATTAGATGGTCTGGTTAAGGAGGCTAAACAACCAGATAACTCTATACGTATTGCGGCCTTTGCAGTTATGCAAGCTATTGCATGCCATATCTGGGGATTAAAGGTACATTATAAGAAGATTGGGGCAAAGAGAAGTGGCTAAGTTAGACTTTACTGACATATAAACCCTTCCTGTCCTTTTTTTTCTCTTTGAAAATATCAGGCGATGGCGCAATCAAACGACTTTATGGATTATATTATAAATCGCTCAACGGAATATACGGAACAAGGACAGGTAAAATCATCAGGAAAAAGGGAGTATATTATTGTTAACAAAAAACTCTTTCTAAATTTAAACATATGGATACGCTAGACCTGGAAATTTGCTATTGTCCAAACAATGGGTTCTGCACCTGATGCATTGAGCATATTTGGTAATAGTTACTATGCTCAGCTTCAAGTTTATATTCGTCAAGGTGCCCATTATAAATACATTGAGCCATCTGCAGCTGTTGAAAATAGTTAAAATGGACGATAATAATATAATAAAAAGATAATTTGTACACATTTAGGTAGGCTGAGATGGAGGCAGGCTTAGTTAGGTATACTATCAGAGACCCTTTACAGGAGAACTTCAAAGACGATAAAGATTTTAATGGAATCCAGAGAAAGCAGGAGAATAGAATTACTATGTGTATGCTATCTATGTATACAATGATGCGCTTAATGTCATAAATTTTTGTATAAATAAGGGAAAAGTGTAAAGAGGGGATGACAAAGGCTCATTTCTAAACTTTCTTTTTTTATGCGTATAAACATGTAAGACTGCATTTCGTCTTTTCTCTCTACTTTTTCTCCTTGCCTTTCGTTATTTCTTTCTATGTACAATACGTTTTGTCAATGAAGCATTCAAGTATCTTGTTAAACTTCCCTTCATTGTCCTCGCTGACAATTATATCGTCGTCCCATAAAACTACAGTCAAGGACAGTTTCTCTGCAGACTCCTCAATTCGACCTACGAATAATATCAGTACTATCACTAGCATCAACACCAGCACCATTACAACTACTTCCATTAGTACTTCTTCCTCGCATGCCTCAATTCCAGGCCTTACTACCGACACAACAACTATGAATAATAACACCAGCACTATAGAAAAGCACAGATCATTCATTAATCAATTAAAATCTTTCTTTCAGCATAAAAATAATAAATCAAAATCCATTCATTTTACGCCCGATAGTAACAGTAGTGAAGTTGCCAATAAAATCAAAAGAAAAAAGATGATAGAGAAAAGACGTTCGTTACCGCCCACTACAACGGCAAAAAAGCCTTCTACTTGCGACTATCCTCAGCATTATAGCAATAACATATACCAACAACAACCAACTCAACAACAAAGTACTGGAGGTAGAAATCGCCGTCATACACGCTGTTTAAGTGATTACGGAGAACTCATCCGCAATAAGCATAGCAGTAAAGATTGCCCTATTGGAACAGGCGCATTTGCTACTGTTATACTGACTCGACGCAAAGACAAATATAGCAACACTACATCCCTTTATGCTATCAAAGTGTTCCAGCCTACCAGATATAGTGTTGATAACAAAAATAAAAGAACAATGCCAATCAAAAAAATGAACAAGAAGGAACACAATAAAATGACAGTAAGATCAGAGGCTCACTTTATGAAGAAGATAATCAGTGAATTCTGCATTTCTTCGTCCTTGCAGCATCCAAATATTGTAAAGACAATTGACTTGGTATTAGACGAAAAGAATAGGTTTTGTACCGTAATGGAATATGTAAAGTTTCTGTCGTTTTTCAGTCAAGGAAAATTTGAAGCGAATGTATTACTAACTGCTTAACAAACAAACAACCACTTTCGTTGCTTTTTTTTTTTTTTTTTTTTTTCCTCTGTAAGTGTTCAGGAGGCGATCTTTATAATTTCATCAAAGAGGGCCGACTTACTTGCATTGATGAAATAAACGGCTATTTCAAGCAACTCTTAAATGGTCTGGCCTATTTACACCGCATTGGTGTGGCTCATCGTGATATTAAGCCTGAAAACTTACTATTAGTTGGTGAAGGTACATTAAAAATCACAGATTTTGGTGAAGCCGACGTCTTTCGTGAAGCACATCATCAACAGAAAGAATACGTTCCCTCTAATTGGAGGCAACAACAATTACATAGCATGGAACCAACAACAACATACAGTCTCTGCAGTTCAAGGAGCCATAGTAGCAGCAATTCTGTGGAGAAATTGTCGGACGGCTTTTGCGGTTCTACACCGTATATTGCACCAGAAATTTTTTTGTGGGCAAAACAAGGATATAAGGCTAGTCAAGCAGATGTGTGGTCAGCTGGTATAGTCTATTTCTGTATGCGCTTTAACGGGGTACCTTTCTATTCAGCCACACAAAGTGATACGAATTACAGACTATATCAAAAATGTTTTTATACTTACCACCAACAGCAACAGCGTCAGCACCGGCAAAAGTCAACGATGACATTGAGTAATGATAATGATAGTGAAAATATGCGAGAAGACGAAGAAGAGTATTCCAGCATTAGACAGCGAATTGATAATCAGAGTTCCGATGATTCTTCCTTATCACTATCGACCTACTTAAATTCAACCATTGCCTCTTCTTTTGACATTGAGCCAGTGCAAAAACTATCGCATGAAGTAATTGACTATCCAGCTTTCCGTGATCTTGACAGTGACGCAAAAGATATGCTGTATTCTATGCTTAACCCAGATCCTGAACAACGATACACCATACAGGATGTCTTAAATATACCATGGTTGGCTGAGGTGCGGCCACCGACTGAAGAAATAGAAGAGAACACCTCTCAATATTATGATACCCCTCAGAGGCCGTCACAGCATTTGGAGCATTGTTCGCAATGCTTCGACGATACCAATACCACCACCGTAAGAGACGCAAATTATAGACGAAGTATAGCTTGAAAATGTATCTCTCTTTCTGTATATAGCAGTAACAATAAAATATTTGTACCCTCCTCTCTTTGATAACGTGCAGTAAGGAACTGTTCAGTTGTGTTATATGAAAAGAAGAAATGATTGTATAAAAATACATTTCTACTCTGTCAGAGCTTCTTCGTCATCAAACTAAACTGTGACAATACGATGGTCTTGTGTCGGCTAAAAACGAATGAAATGTTCACTTGAGGTGGTTGAGAGGCGACTTCTTTGATACCCTTTATGGGGGACCGTTTGGAATCCCGCTTTAGGCAGGTAGAAAGGGGCAACTATGGCAATACCCTTTTTATTTTTTGTTAGCTTGTGAACTTCAATCGCTGAAAACTTTACAAAATCTTTTTGCAAATGACTGAACTGTAAGTATGGGTATTCTAGCTAATTTTGTAAGCAGCAAACATCAACATTAACATATATTAAGAGCACGAGGCCAGATAAACTCTTTGCTATCAGAAAACCCCTCCACTATCACCGTCGTCGATGGTCATTTATATGAGGTTCCTATTGCACCTACACAACAACAGCAGCAATCAGAGGGCTCTCTTATTATCAATTTACCCTCCAACTTTCCAGAGGAGCCACCCGTTATCACTGTTTCTCCAACCGGAATGCGTCATCCGTGGATAGACAGTGATGTCGTTATGCATGACGGACTACCTAGTTGGACACTCCAAAGTAATCTAGGTCTCTTGGTAAAAGATATTTGTAAAGAGTTCACAATGAGGCCGCCCGCGAAAAAGAGTACGACTGTAACAGGAGGGACAAGGATAAGTGTCGTTCCGCCACCTTTGCCAGCATCACAACTACAACAACAACAAGTAACGTCAATGACAAATAAAACGAATGACGAAGGGTAAGCTTAGTTCGTTAGTCTATAACAGCCTTACTAGCGCAGAATAATTTGGTTATTCTCAGACCAAAACTTTGCCCGTTGTATTTCAAACAGATATGGTGCTCGTCCACAACCTCCCATTCCATCAAGATCCAATAGCAGTAATACCCCAACTTCGCATACAACCAATTTAGAGTATAATGCAATATCAAAACTGAGGTAAAAAGATTGAAAGTGTTTCAACAAAGAATACCAAAGAATAACTGAAAATGTTATAAATTGTTGATAGCTCGGAAGAAATTGATGAACTACTATCGGATGAAACAGGCTTTGAAATATTCTTCAACACACTCGACAGGGTTAAGAACTTGAAGGCATTTCAAGAAGAGTTAAGAAATGGGAATGATCAGCTTGCTCGTAAAGTATTTTGCCATTTATATTCTTATTGCTCAAATTGTATAATAACAGGCAGGTTTTATATGGAAATCTTAAGACAAAAACCTTAGTAGAGAAGATCAGCTTATAAAATTAAGGTCCGAGGTTGCAGATTTATATAACAAATATCAAACGGATAAAGCAGCATTCGACAAAAAAGAACGGCAGCAAAATGAAGCCTTTAGCGTAAAGTAGCATCTATTACAATGGGGAAGAGATGATTTGAATTCTAAAGGGTACAACACTGAAAGCCTTATATTTTTTTGCCGATAGCGTTTCTCTTCTTCGACAGTTTTGACAAGATTGAAAGCAAGTCTGTATGAGTCCGATGAATTATCTGAATCTGTAGCTCAAAGCTTTTTGGATGGCAATTTGGATAACGACAGTTTTGTGAAGCAATTTAGAGAATTCCGTAAAGTCTACCATTTAAGAGCGAGTAAACTGGAGAGAGCACAGAAGGATAATTTATTCGTATCGTACTGAAATCAGCCCATAGAGTGCGTCCGAGTGATTCAGAAAGCGCTTTTTTTTCGATGCCATATTTTGTGTATACTTGTCTCGTTGCCTTGAATTTGTTTTCCACTATCAGTAAGCCAACTGTCCTTCAGGAAAAGGAGGAAAAGTCTGCTTGTTAATTCCACAAGATAGATTTGATCCATCCAATTTCTGCTATACCTGTAAAATAAAGAGACCAATTTGCGAACGGTAAACAATATTTGCTCAATATTTAAAAGTGGTTAGACGGCCGAAATAACTTATGAGGACTTCTATATGGATTGATGTTCAACCAAATTCGACTTCTTACGAATGAGTTCTTTAAAGCCTAAGCCTAGCGTTGCTTCTCGAAGAGATGATTTATCAATTTCTATTGTAAATTAGCCTCAGAGAAATTTCAAGTCTACATGGTTCTTTTATTTTATAACGTTTTTAATGCACCTTCTTGGAAATCCTTGAGTATGAAACAATCTCAAATTTACCATTGAAAGCATACTTCCCCTTTATGCCCTTCTGATGTGACGCATAAGACGTACATAGCCACTGCTCGTCATTTATGGTTCTTATTTTAGAAGAAAGGTATAATCAAGTATTAGGTCGTTTAACTTTGATGGTATAATGCACTTAAACTTAACATATGAAACGAATATATATTCAGTTGTTTAAATGTAAACATTGAGGACTCCCGCTGAGAATTGTACAACTTGTGATGTACCTTCATTCCAGTGAGCAGAGCAGAAGTATCAGTGCTATAAAACACCTACATTCAATAAAAGCTATTCATTCATCCACTGAAAGCAAGTGAATGGACTACCGCAACTACTGTCTCCCGATTGTTCGAAAGTTTATTTGGTCTACTTTCCTAGTCTAAAAATTATAACCTTCGTCGGCGGCCTTCTTTATACGAATATTGTGGAATCCGTCGTTTATCGCCATAATTGACGGCAAAGAAAAGGTACTGTATACACTACTATCTTGCATAATATGCCTCAAGCAAGTGGCTGACGCGGACTTCTACTAAGTAAGTTTATGATATTTTCAGTCAAACCTCCTCACTTTTTGGTAAGACAAGTTTTTCTTTTTAAAATTTTTACAACATCAACCAAAACAGTCCACTTCTAAGTGTTAAAATTGTAGTCTTTTGAGTTTTATTGAGGACTTTTTTCAAGCATGGGGTATCAGGAAAGTGAGTTTATCTCAAATAGGCTAGCCATACAATGTGTAAAAAATTCAGATTACTTTTGATTGTGAGATCATTCTCAACAATGTTGCTAAGGTTTATGTGAAGCACCGAAATGGCTGAATTATACCAAGGAATGAGAATATATATCATTGTATACATTGGGGTGCTGTTGAAACCATATATGTTTAGAAATAAGATGTAAGTTACTGGGTATTTCTACTATTAAATAAAGCCTATACAGATAAGATGGTCATGTGAGAAATTCATTTTCTTCTTTGGAGAAAGTGTCAAACGCTTCGATGACAGTTGACGGGTCGAAGAATACCATGTGGGCCAGTAACACTTAATCTCGCGATCGATAGATAATTCTCCAGTAAGTTGTGGTAGCACTTGCTCCCATTGAAGCTATATACTGCTCTCCTATGGAAAGCTTGCGTCTAGCGTACATTAACCGTTATTGCTGGCGATTGCATACAATTTTGATTAATCCTGATAAAAAGATCAACAGCAACGAGCAATAAACTGTTACACCTTTCAATAGATCGAAATACCACAACAATCGCGAACGGACGCACCCGTATCAGAATTTAAGCGTCGTACAACTTTCCAAACATAGGCAAACAGAGCACTGATACCTCGTTCTAACCTTCTCTGAACCTCGCGCAAATTTTATCGGAGTCAAAAGCAAGAAAAGGTAAATTCCATCCTTGTGTGCTGATTTGATACTTGAAGCAGAAATGTAACTGTAACATTCTGATTCCTTGTTTGAACTCACCAGATGGGACCAGAAATATGGCTTGCAAAAGGTAATTATTCTATAACAAACAAAAACCACTGATTTTCCAACATTTATTACAATTTTCTATATTTTGACGAGCACATTTTTAATTTCAAGGTTTCTCTTTCCTTTTTCTAATTCAATTCTTCCTCTTTCTCATATTACTTTGTAAAACCCACTTAACTCTCTTCGTCCTTAGTTGCGAAAGCCAGCAAAGAGGAAATATCATCAACCATTATGACTTTGGTCGACAAAATAAATGACTTTGTTGCTCGGAGTCGAGTAGGTAAATTTTTCCAGTTGGAAGGTTCAGGCGCTAGACGTGAAAGAAGAGGAACAAAGTTCTTGACTGAACTCCGTGCCGGGTTAACTACTTTTTTCGCCATGGTAAACTATTTGCTTTAACAGAAGTCTGCCATTTTTATCCTTTTTCAATTTGGCAGAAAATGACAATTACAAAATGATGTACTAAGCTAATGTGTATCAACAGGCCTACATTATTTCGGTCAATGCTTCCATCATTAGTGACAGTGGCGGGCCCTGCGTATGCGTACCCACCGAAGCAGATCCAACGTGTGATCTCAACGACGACTACATGGCCTGCGTCTACCAAGTAAAATTAGACATGATTATGTCTACAACTATTATTGCTATGATTGCCAGTTGTATGATTGGGGTTTTTGCCAATCTGCCCATTGGTATGGCACCTGGTATGGGCCTCAATGCTTATTTTACCTACACCGTTGTTGGCTATCATGGCTCAGGAAAGATCACCTATGAGACCGCCTTGGCAGCCGTCTTTATTGAAGGTTTGATCTTTTTGGTTTTATCTGTCTTTGGTATTCGTCAATGGTTGGCACGTATCATTCCTATGAGTATCAAGATTGCTATGGGCTGTGGCATTGGCCTTTATCTTTGTTTTATTGGACTTCAAGCATCTGCTGGTATTGGACTGGTAAGCGCTGATGGGGCCACATTGGTAGCTTTAGGTGGTTGTCCTGCCTCGGCCAAAAATGCGAATGGCGTGTGCCAATGGGGACACATGGAGAACGGCACAACCTACATGGGCATCTTGGGCCTAGTGATCATGGCTATTTTGTTACTCTACCGCGTTCGTGGTGCTATTTTACTTGCTATTGTTTTCATTGCTATTACTTCATGGCCTCGTAACAATGCCGTTACTTATTTCCCTTACACGACGCAAGGTGATATGATGTTTGATTATTTCAAGAACGTCGTTTCCCTGCATGGTATGGACCGTGTACTTGGCAAATTCAACTTTGATCTCTCAGGAAAGGATATTTGGATTGCTTTGATTACTTTCCTCTATGTTGATATCATGGATACTACTGGCACAATGTATTCCATGGCTAACTATGGTGGTTTCACTGACAAGGCTGGCGATTTTGAGCACTCCACCTACGCTTTCATCACGGATGCTGCGGCTATCTCCATTGGTGCTTGCTTTGGCAGCTCACCATGTACTGCTTTTGTAGAATCGGGTGCAGGTATTGCAGAAGGTGGACGTACTGGTATTACCGCTATTGCTACTGCTTTCGGTTTCTTTGTCAGTATTTTCTTCTCGCCTATTTTCGCTAGTTTCCCTCCTTGGTCAACTGGTCCAGCTCTTGTCGTTGTTGGTTCTATGATGCTTTCCGGTGTACGCAGTATTAATTGGGATTATCCTGGCGATGCAATCCCTGCTTTCTTGACATTAACTGTGATGCCTTTCACTTACTCTATTGCGTACGGCGTCATCGCCGGTATTATGAGCTACGTTGTCATCAATGGCTTTATCTTTTTAATGGATAAGCTATCCGGAGGTCGCATCCGTCCTGATTATTCAGACCGCGAAGACTGGTGGACGTCTGCTTTAAGTCGTCCTTTCTTACCCAAGTGGATCCGTTATCTTGTTGCAAGATCTAAGGGCAAGTCTTTTGACTGGTATGAAGATGAATACGAATTTGAGGATGACGATTTTGACCGCCATACAATACCTCGAGAAGTGTCCGTACAAGGAGAACACTTGCACGAGAAAGCCATCTCTTCGCAAGACCATATTGTAGACACTATCAGTGGCCATAGTTTTAACGAAGCCACTGCTCTTGACAGTTACAATGAAAAGGCATACCGTTAAATTTAACTCTCTTTCTTTAATTTATTTAAGTATGTTTCGTTCAGTTGTAACTTTTTATTCTAATTACTTACTTATAATAGACTTTAATAAAATCCCTTTTACTTTCTAAATTCGTTTAATGCATACCTGAAAGCCGCTGCTGTCTTGCTTAAACACAGAAATTCCCGCCTTCCTGTGTACTGCAAGTTTACACTTTCATTGGTTCCCCCTGGTATCAAAATCAAAATGACTTAAGAAAAAAAAAAAAAGGAAAGTTTTGATGCTTTTGGTTTGTTTTTTTTTTTTTTTTTTTTTTTTTTTTTTGATTGACGTTTTATCACTCTCATATAGAAGTTATAAATTATAGCATGACAGCCATAATTAGAACAATATCAGATGCAGTCAATGCCGTATTCTACGGTGTTTCTCTATTCGGGTAAGGTTGAACTTCAGTTTTTTGGAGTTGAACTGCAATGAGCAGAAAGAAACAGAAAGAAACACGAGGCAAAAAAAAAGTTTAATATACTTGACATTGCTTGACATTCAGTTTAGCCGGAACATGTCAAGTGATTCAGATCGTGTCGTTTTTAATACGACCCTTCTCTGAAAAACTGCTGGTCAAAATAAACTCAAAATTGATTGGAACAGTCTGGAAAGTGATGCAGTATATATTCGAGGTATAACACATCAAATTCATATTACACATCCAACTGGATAAATTTTAATGCAGAGAATGCACTTTGTGAACAATTTAGAGACGCAAACAAGCGCATATAACATTCTCTGGAGATAAGCTACCTATGGAAGAAAATGCTCTGGTAATTAGTAACCATCAATCATGGACCGATATTTACTTGATTCATGCAGTAGCGAACAGAAAGGGCATGTTGCAAAATTGTAAAGTAAGTCTAAACTAAACTCGTTATTTACACATTCATTTTTCTAAAAAGCTTATTGATTGACTTTTCTGTAACGTAGTATTTTGTAAAAGATTCCATCAAATATGTAAGTTTTTAGTTCGTTTGTGGTTTTTTTGGACGAAAAGACAAGTGAAAATGGCAAAAAAATGACAAACTAAATGTATATCATGCTTACCTTTGTGCAGCTTCCATTTTTTGGGTGGGGAATGTGGGTAAAGTAGCAAGCAGCAATTGACAAGCACACACATATATACTTATAGTTCCTGTACTAGAAGGGGGATACTTAACAGTTCATATTTAATAATCTTGGTAATGTAGCTTGCAGGTTTCCCATTTGTGCGCCGTAATTGGACACAGGATCAGAAGAAAATACAAGCAACCTTTGATACCATCAAACGATTAGAAACTCCAGCGTGGATTATCAATTATGTTGAAGGATCTCGAATCACTCCGCAGAAACTTACAGAGGCACAACAATTTTCTAAAGAGCGCGGCTATACTGTGATGCGTAATGTCCTTTTGCCGCGGACAAGAGGCTTCATCAGTTGCGTGAATACTTTGCGCATCTCTCACATTAAATATGTATATGATCTTACCATCGCTTATCAGCATCAGATTCATTCAACGCACTTTCATCAAGCACCTACGATGGTGCGTGTTCATGTTCGATCTCTATGGCCAGAGTATCGGTTTCACGTTCATTGTCGAAGATATGCGATAGAGGACCTGCCGAAGGACGAACAACAATTGAGCGATTGGTTGAGGAAACGTTGGGCAGAAAAGGATTATATTCTAGAATTATTGAAAAAACAATGGACAAAAGGATTAGATCCAGCAATTATGTGGGCCGAGAGCCCTAATAAGGACTACGGTACATGTTCTTAGTTTCAAACCTGTCAACGGTTCCACTTTGCACATACAGTATATAGAGTATCTTTAAAACCTTTTATTTATGAGAGTAAAATACATAGATTGAAAAATGTTCAGCCTTATTCAGTCGTAACGCTGCTGCGTTGAATAGGTTTTTGTTTTTTTCTTTTGGGTGATTATACTATCATTTTCACTTTAACTAGTATTTGGCTGATTTTCTATTTCTTTCAATAAGACGCGAATTATTTTTACTTGACTTCCGCCATCAAAATAATTGTACTGATGCGCTGACATTAAACTCTAAGAGGAATGGTTCAACAATCTGAATTCGTACTCAAAAGCAACTCCCCTTTAGTTACTCACAACTGTTCTCATCTCACGTTTTGCCATGCTTGTGTATATGCATGTAACTTTTATTATGGCGAAAAATCACTGAATAAGTGGTAAACAGGTTAACATACAGTGCTACTGTGTGCTTTCTGAAAGTGTGGCTTGAATTTAGAAAACGGATTTGAAGTTAAAAACGCTTCCACGTAGCAATTTGTCTCTTTTTTTTTTTTTTTATAAAACTTCTGTTTAAAGTTGCGCAAAGACAAGGGAATGTTTTCCTTAAGAATCGTACCTCGTTGCATTTGCAGAACGCCTTTGACCACTGCAATCACTAGGATAGCCAAACAAACGCCACATTCTTTGGCTACACCTTTTTTCGTTACACCTTTGAAATATAACAAAAATTTACGCATTAATGCGAGCTTGAGGTAAAATAATCATGCCATAACTCGAAATGTCTCATTTTTTTTATTTTTTTTGATTCGGAAAAGGGGCCTAAGTTTTCGCTTTTTTTTTTCTTTTTTCTTTTTAAAAAATGAGAACATTATATCGATTTCTGTCTTTATTTCTCATCATATACCTTGCCTATAGATTTTTCTCTACTCCTGTCATAAAGAAGCAGACAATGTCCCAACAAAACACTGTAATTGTTGTCGGCGGCGGTTTAGCTGGCCTCACAGCTGCTGTCGAAGCACATAACCAAGGTGCTGCAAAAGTTATCTTAATTGAAAAAGAAAAGAATGTTGGGTTTGTATTCAGCATGAACAGTACAGAGTAGCAGTTCTTTGCCAAATATCATATTGTATACTCATATCAATTCTTTATGAAATAGTGGTAACTCTCTGAAGGCTTCCTCAGGTATCAACGCTATTGAACCTCTCAACAACGATTCTCGGGAAACATTCATTAAAGATACTCTGAAATCTGGTGGAGGACTGAGTCGTAAAGATCTCGTCACTAAGCTTGTTGATGACAGTCGTTCTGCCCTCGACTGGCTTATCAAAGAAAGTGAATTTGAACCTGGAAAACCTACGCTTGATTTATCCCTTGTTTCTCGCTGTGGCGGCCATACTGTCGGCCGCACGCATCGATGTCCTGCTCAAAATGGTCGCCCAGTTTCTGTTGGCTTCAAGCTTATTGATACCTTGAAGAAGCGTTTCTTGTCTTTCTCCGATGTAGAAATAATGACAAACACGCGTGTCTTAAACTTATTGAAGGATAAAGAAACCAATCAAATCAAGGGCATTGAAGTTTTGAAGAAGGACCCTGAGACAGATACAGAGTCTCGACAAACGATTGACGCTAAAGCTGTCATTTTAACTAGCGGTGGTTTTGCAGGTCAAACAGGTACAGATTTGCCAGATGGTAGACATACTCTTTTGAGTGAGTTTGCTCCTCAGTTGCTGAATATTCCTACTACGAACGGTCCATGGGCTAATGGTGATGGTGTTCGTCTTGGTTTGGCAGTCGGAGCTGGAATGAGGGATATGGTAAGTTTAATTACGGATCGTTTAGCAGAGACTATCTGATACAAATAGAAGGAGAGAAAAAATCTAACGGACTTTCCGTTTGAATCTGTACAGGATCAAATTCAAGTTCATCCTACTGGTTTCGTTGATCCTAATAATCCTACTACTCCTACAAAGTTCTTGGCTCCCGAGGCTCTTCGTGCTTACGGCGGCGTTTTGTTAAACGGTGATGGTAAGCGTTTTGCTGATGAATTAACTACACGTGACCGCGTCACTGCCGCCATTTATCAACAGACACACACTGTTCATAATCATGTGAATGGTATGATGGCTAAAGCAATACCAGAAAAGTATACTGCTGCTTACTTGATTTTAACCGAGGAAGCCGTTGAAAATTTCGGTAAGAGTACTTTGGGCTTTTACGTCTCAAAAGGTCTCATTCAACAAGCCGAAGGACTGGATAATTTGGCCAGGTTACTGGATGTGGAAAAAAAAGATTTAGAAAAAGAATTCAAGGAGTATGATGAATATGTTCGTGAAGGACAAAAAACGGACAGGTTCGGAAAGACCTTCTTCCCTAGTCCCATCAGTAATCCTACCACCTATTGGGTTAGTTTGATTACACCTGTTGCCCATTACACTATGGGAGGCTTGCATATAAATATCGATGCTGCTATCTTGGAAGAGGATGAAAAAACACCTATTGCCGGTCTCTATGGCGCCGGTGAGGTTACTGGCGGTGTTCATGGTCATAATCGTTTGGCTGGTAACTCACTTTTGGAATGTGTCGTTTATGGTATCACCGCCGGCCGTAATGCTGCCCTTTATGCCAACAAGCAATAGTTGGATTATATACGTTCATAAACTAAAAACAAATTGCATACCATATTTAAACTTTGTATATACAATCATGCATACATAGACAAATTTTAATTCAGCATATCATTTATTATTATATTCTTCCCTTCTCGTTATGAACCATCAAACTCGCTCATTCGTCCTATGTCTATTCTTCTTGCTGATGTTAGCATGCATGTTTTCGAAAGCAATTGGGTCTGTATAGAATGCTGTGAATAGCTTTTTCTCATCCTCAAAGACCACATCGGTATTATATGTTTTCTAAAGACATTTTTTAAGAAAAAAATCAACATTTAAAAATTGTACCGTAAACCCTTCAGGTGCGCTTATGTTTTACCTGTTGTAAATTGGTTATAGTAGAGTTTAACCGCTTAGTTTTTGATTCAAATTCTGAATACAGATTGCTATACGCTGACGTTGCATTGTTGTTTAGCGTAAGCTCATTATTGGGCACTTGTATCGATTCTTTAAATCGTATCGCCAACCCTTCCCTGATTAAAAAGATAACGATAAGAAGCCAGAGAAAGAATAACTTTTCTATACCCATAAAGTTTCATTTTTTGCTTACAGTTCAGTCGATATATCCAAAGCATTTTGCAACTCATCCTCCCATCCTTTTTCGAGCTGTGCTTTATGTTCGACAACTGAATCAATTTTTTCAACCATGGATAACGGTGCATCTGCATCACTTTTTTTGTAGAGCACATCTGCCAGTATCACTTCCAGCTTTTGTGTCAGCAATAGCAATGCCGTTGGATTGTCGTTGCTTGCTTGCCGCTTTATTGCTCCATCTTTTAAGCCTGCTATGAGGTCTGTTTCTTTTCGAAGTTCCTGCAAGCAATTTTGCAAATTATGGATTGTGCTATGTGTTGTCGATTGCGCCCTTTCGTTCAAGTAAAAGATAATCTGTTGAATGGATCGCTGTTTCAATGAGACTTTGTATATTTGATCCAAAGAGTCTATTAAGTCATACATGAGCCGTAATTCACTCTCATAGTACTTCCTCTTGATGGGTGCTGCGATGCTTAGATCGGTTAGTTTATGAATGGTTGGACGTATCGTCTCTGTTTCTAAATTCTGTAGTTTCAAACTGGTGACTTTCATATTTTCCAAATAAGTCTCCATTTCAGATGTCAAGATGGGTATAATCTGAGGTAGAGCATTGAGCTTGTTGTGATCCCGTGTGAGAGACTGGATTTTGGCTTCTAAACCGTTAATTTGAGCGGTTAGGTCGAGTAAGTCAAATTCTGACTTTACAAAGCCTTTTTTATAATCAGACTCTTTCAGAAGCAGTTGTTCTAACGTCGTTGCCGATGAAGGTAAGTTGGATGCTATGTATTTCCACCGATTCAATACTTGCTGTATCAGCATAGATAGTCTTGCATCTAGCTCAAAGTATTCTGACCAGTTCAAATTGCTAGAATCATATAGCTCATTGTTTGAACTGTTGGCTGAGACTGTTGCATCGATGGTGGATAATAACTTTTCCACTAACTCAAATGTTTCTTCAGCAGATAAGCGGTACTATAATGACAGCAAATTCGTTATTAGTACACGCTTAATCCTTCCACTGGCCATCCAAGCAACTTTACTTGTTGTCGTTTTCTCTCTGTCAAATCCGTTTGTATCTCCTCTTCTTTTTCTATTTTCTCCAACTCTGACTGTAGCTTTTCTAAACGCTGACTCATTTGCTCCTCCAGCTGACTACAAGTTCGACGTAAGCTTAGCGAAAATCTCTGCTTCATTATATTACTTTTTCGCCTAATTTTTTCTTGTCTGGCTTACGTTAAGTAATCATATTGATTCTCTAAGGTGTTTGCTTGTACCGCGTAAGGATTGGGAGGCGCTGGTTTCTTGGATTTTTGACTATTTTTGCGTTGGGTTTAGCAAGAGGTTCGAAATCATGATGAAGGCAAAAACTACCTAATTACTTTGCAGAAGCTTCGCGTTCCCACTCGTCCTCATCTTCACTCTCCTCAAATGGTTGATAGTCATCGATATTATTCAAGAAAGACTCTGAATGGCTTAATTTCCTTTTCGCTTCCATTCAAATTGAAAAGATAAATATCAATACATACACAGAGAAGACAAAAAGCCAAATTAATGCGTTTCTTTTCTTTCTCGGAAAAATTTTCTGTCACCCCCATAAATTTTTTGTCAACGTTTGGCTTTTTGGTTTGTTTTTTTTTTATTATTTCCTCTCTATTCAATACACTGTTCTTTAAACAGAGAAAGGAGGGTCATTTTAAATTAGGACTATGGTCATGCCCATTGAAGTGTTAAGAGTAGAACAAAGTACTATATCTAAAGAATTGGCTCGTTTTAGGGCCTGTGACCCTGAAACACGCAGCTTATACTGTCGTGAATGGGCCCAGTATATCCATAAAAAGCACTTCGTTTGGAATGCCAAAACACAAGAAGAAGTACCCGAATCAAACGTCGTCACGCTGTCAGCAGGCCGATTTCAGATCAACCTGTACCGCGAAAGGCATCACGATGATGATGACGATTATTCAGACGATGAAAACACTGTAATAGTAAAGAAGGATCGTTCGACTGTTATGGCCAAACGTTTTGAGGCATTGTTAGATAAATATGAAGGCAATAGTAACAATTTAGAAAAAGACAGCGAAAGTTTGATTAAGCAGATCATTATGGATAGTTATATGTGGATGTCTTTACCCAGTGCTTTTTCAGGCTTACCCAATTTGTTTGAACCTGTTGAATTCAATCCATACCCGGATCACATTCCTTTAGTCGATGACCCCAAAGACCCTTCTCAAATCTTAGACCCTCTCATTATCGAACGTCAGTCTATCTGTTTGCCATCGGATTGCTTCCATTTACTCAAAAATTTGACAGGTGATATTTTGTTATCTCACACTACGCCCACTTGTCATCACACTAAACCTGAATCGAAGACACCTTCTGATCTTGAAGTCGACCGCGCCATTTGCAATGAACATGAAGCTATAGCTGTAAAGCAAGCCCTTTCTGAACTGAACCTAGCGCTAGACAATACTTGGCAACCGCTCATAAACTTCTTGAAAAAATTGGATGAAATAGAAAGTCGTCGAAATCGACTCATGGGCCAGGGCTGCCAAGCCGAAGTCGATCGATACTATGAAAGCCAGAAGTATATTTCGTTTGTCGATGTGTTTGCTAAGGAACTGCCCAATTTTAAAAAAAAGAAATCGACTGCTGAGGAGCTTGACAAAATAGACACTCTATTTGACAATCATTTTGATCACCTAAAGACTCTAGTGAAACAGTTTTTGGATGAATTTGTACAGGACCATTTGAAAAAAGTATTGGAATTAACAACCGATTTATGGAAGCTGATTGTGCCCACCATTTATGAAATGGGTGAGCGTATGTCTCAAGGTGTGATTAACAACATCAACAGTAGCAGCGATCCCAACAGCAATAGCAACAACAAAATTAAAGAATCTTTAAAGTCTCTGGATTTCGATTCATTAAAGCAAATGGAATCTACAAAGGAAGTTGAAGCCGCCTCTCAGCGTGTGCTCAACAACATCAAATCCAAAGTCGATGCTTATCTCCAAGAGATCGATGGTCTTGTCAAACTTTATCGCGAATCGTCTCGACCCACTCTGAGTAGTCGGGTAGACAGACTGAATAACAAAGATTTCAAAAAGAAGATCAAAAAGTTGGAAAGCGGCTACTATACCATTCGTCAGACTTTCCGTTACGAAGTCACCGAGTATATTTTCCCTGAATCTTTGTTTTGTAAGTTTTCTCTGGTGTGTTTAGAGCCCTTAATGCAAGAGGGTGAAGTTATGGAAGCCGTCACTATTGAAAAGGAAGTAAAGCGATTTATGGAATCACATCAAAATTTAATGCAACAACGTTGTGCTCTACTCCATGATTTTGAAGAAGGTGTACAGACGGGTCGTCGGGAACTAGCTGGTATATTGGGTAAATTATTTTTAAAGGAAGGAATGCGTATTCAAGGAGATAATTTAGCCTTGAAGCGCCAAAACTCGTTGTTAAAATCGATGGGAGCATTGCCCACGGAAGGTGATAATAGTACCCAGGGTACCAGTAGTAGTAAGAAAAAGTCAAAGAAGAAAAAAGGAACCGCCGCCTCAACCTCTAGTGGAGTAAGCACACCTATAGAGACGCCTTCTTCGCCTGTGTCGACGACAAACACCGCCACAAAAAAAGGAAGGGCTTCTGGATCAAATGCTGAGCCTGAGAAGGAAGAGGTCAAATCCAACCCTTCCAAACCCGCCGCTACTATCACTACTAAGAATAAGAAGGCTACTGCATTAAAAGATGATTCGGAACCGGTAACTGTTAGAAAGAAATGATAACCTTCCTCACTAATATTTCTATACTTACCATTGACTCTTTTTAGGTCCAAACATCTGTCACTACCACTACTATCGACACTCTAGTGAATGCAAATAATAACGCCAGTCCTAAACTTATAAAGAAGATTGACGCTGAACAACCAAAAAAAGCTGTCGCAACGGAAAGTAGCAAAGATAAACCATCAAAGACTTCCAAAAAAGCTACTGATAGTGCTGATACAACCAGCACTTCTACCACTCCTACCAGTTCTGTTAAGAATAAGGAGGCTCCGGTCAAGCCTGTCAAAGAGAAGAAAACCATCATCGTCGATAAGAAGCAAAAGCCAGAAGTGACATCAGAAAATGGTGATGATGTTCCAGATTGGGAGACTATCAACAGCAATTTGCCAATGGATAAACTTGTTACTACCGCTTCGGATCCAACAGTAAAGAGGGATGAGTTCCCTAATGATACTGGTGTTGTTGATTTCGAATCATTGAGAGCTGATGTTGTACAACAAAATAAAGCAGTAGTGCCTGAGGACAATAATGAAGGATGGGCTACCGTTGTCTCAAAGAAAAAGTCGATCGTCACCATTCCCAAAAGTGATAATTCTTCAGCTATAGACAATAATGAATCCATCGTTGCCACAGATAGTAAAAATGTTGATGATGGATGGTCTACTGTTAAGAGCAAAAAGGCAGGCAGTAAAGTTGATGATAATGTCAGCCGTAAATCATCGAATTCAGACGAAAATACGAATACTGATATTTGCAGTACCACGACGAAGAAAAGACTCTCTGACTCTGATGGTTGGGGTTCTTCTACTCCAGTGGCTACGAAATCCAAGGATAATAACATTGGTAATCATAATGCTGATAAGCAGACTAGCGGCGGTAGGCAATCTGCGCACGTCGGTAACGGTTGGACTGCCTCTAATGACGAAGAGAAATTAGAAAATGTAACTGATCGTTTAAATACTGGTGTTGATGTTACGGCTCATACGAAAGATGTTAATGATGGCCATGGCTGGGGTGCAACTAGCAAGAAAGGAAAAAATGATGGTTGGTCCTCCTCTGCTACTGCGCCCGATACTCATAAAAAAGAAGGGTGGAATGCAGAGACAAATGCCGATGGTAGCTGTTCCTCTCTCCCAACAACGTCATTAACAACCACTGCCACTAGTAATAATAATACCTGGGGTATTCCCTTAGATAGTAAACCTGCTAACAATAGCTCGGACGCTGTCACTGCTAAAGGAAGTAGCACATTCCCTAAGAAAAAGTCTGGGGCTGATTCGGATGATCATTGGAGATTGAAGAAGAATGATGAAAATGACAATAGCTGGCGCAGAAGTACAAGTGATAGCAATAACTGTTCAGCTGACAGTGCAACAGATGGTATTGCTGGAGGATGGAGTGCTAATACAAGTACGAATGGCACGACAACACTGTCATCTTCACTGACAGATGGCTGGGGCTCTATAAAGGAGGATACTAAGCGTGCTGATAATGCACTTGGTGGTTGGGGAACTCCATTAAAAAGCTCAGCTGTGCTTACTGACGGATGGGGTAGGTCGAATAAATCTTTAAGACCTAAGGATACTACGCCTATCACTGCAGTAAGCTGGGGCACAGGCAAACTGCCCTGGGAGGAGGAGCCTAGTAAGAATAAGGGACAGCAATCTATCGAACAGCAGGCTCCCATTTCAACATTTAACTCGCGTACCAACACAGAAGCAGTTAAAGAAACATCAAAACCAAGCTCTGAATCTTTAACGAGTAAGGCGGAATCTCTTCAGCGTATACCAGCAACTTTCGCTTCCCATCATAATCAACGATCTATCTCTGCTACCACCGTCGCCACTCCTCCACCTGGTATCACTGCTCTAAATAGCAATCTTAATACTATACAAGCGGATGTAGTATCACCTGGCTCACAAGTAGCTCAGCAAATGCACCAGCAATCTACAACCCCAACACCCATGACATCATCTTCTACCATGCTACCAACGTCTACTATGGCACCCAGTTTCGCATCATCTTCACTATTAGTTCAGCAAACACCGTCAGCCATACCAGCATTACAACAACAGCAACAACAGCTCTCTTCCAGTAATAATTTGTTATCTTTGAATCCTACTTTGAGTAGCTCCCTCTTAGCAAGCACTACTCAATTGCAGGAACCTTTACCTCCCAATTTTAACGAAATGAATGCTGATATGCTGCGTATTGTCGTAAGCAAGCTTCATCAAGAAAATGCTACACTTTTAAGATCTGTGTATAGCTTACAACATGATTTAAGTATGATGACGAACCGTTATTCAGAAATTATGGCTTTAGGGAGAGAACGTGAAGCTCAAACGCTGGCCTTATTTGAAAGTAAGAAGCAAACGGAAATGGAAGAAACTCGACGTTATGTATTGTCATTGGAAGCTCGTGTCAAGCAATTAGAAGAACAGCTGAAGAATAACAACGGCAACACCAGCGGATTCTTTGGCGGTGGCGGAAACAGCAACAATAACAGTACAACAGCAGGTTTTGGAAGTCAGGATTTATTTGCTGGCTATAGAGTGGAGATGTCAACGACCCCAACTTCTGGCAACCAAAATAACGAAGGTCATCCTGCTTATCATCATCGCAGCAACAGCAACAGTGGTCATAGCCATCACAATCGACACCATAGTGGCAGAAAGTTATGGCAAAAGAATTCGGTGATCCGTTGCGGTAACTGTGGAGAAGTTGGCCATGCCAGTGCTGAGTGCAAGGTAAAGACCAATACAAATAGTTTGATCTCCTAGGACTATTCCTTGATTCTAATGCCTTTTGCTGCGTTATAGGGTTATTGTCGTTATTGCGGAAGTCTTGAGCATTTGTCGGAAGCTTGTCCTATGAACTAATTCCTGTATTTAAAGTGTGTATTTTTATAGCTGTAGTCCTCTTTAACTGTCAGCGAAGCGTACAATATACATAATCTCAAAAGTTATACCTGTAAATAATCTAACACTAACAATCAAGATATTTAAAGCAGAGCTTTTTGTACTATTATTCCTTTATACACAACAACAACAAAGCAGGTTTTCGTATCTCTTACATTGGCTGAAGTTTAGCATCGGTAAAAGCTGAATATGCAATCTACTCGAACCTTCTGTCAGTGTTCCTTTCTCTTCCTCACTTTTCACCTTAATAATTTGTAAGGCACTGCTGAGCTCACAGCCATACATAACTTAATAAACCTACTTACAAACCACTATTTACGACTCATAGAAAAGGGAATAGCAGAACGTTCAGCTCCTTATTAGCGTTTCGAAATGCAAATGAACTGGTTAACCCTTTTATTTTCGACTGCCTTTCATATAACTAGAATTTGTCTGGTGAAGGAGACTGAAACATCGTGTTTTAATGCTATGCCGCGTAGGCTTTCATTGAGAAATACGCACATGTAGAACAAGTAACGCACACTTATTATTGTCAACCGTATGCGTAGTTCAGAGTATTTTCCTCGGATACTTCTTCGCAGCAAAGAATATGAACGCACAACCACTCAATTCATATATTGTTCTTTTAAGCTCTAATGGAGGATTCTTGTATTAAAGAACAAACATTTCTAAAAAAATCAAGTGTGATCGTTATCGAACTTTCATGCAGTTCAGCTAATTCTGCCCACTTTTGTAAAGCAAAGCGGATAAATGAACGGCCCACTTCCTTTTCCTGCGTCATTCCTTTTATTTTAAAAATTGTTTTAACTTTTTGTAAACAGCAAAGATTGAACCAGTTTAGCATTTGCTGCCATATCGATTACAGCTGTGTTATTGCCTCGGTCGCTTACGTGAAGTAACACTAGGATGTCTAATCGTATGTTAGTGTTAGTTGGCTTGCCCGGTTCTGGCAAGAGCACTATTGCGCATAAGATTGTGCAATGCAAGCAAGTAAGTTTATCAAGCTTAATCGAATACGTGCATCCAGCCAATTGAACAATTAATATACTCAAAATGGTTATGGTCCCTCCTTGTTTCGGTCTTTTTTAAGGGTTGGCAACGTATAAACCAAGATGATATGCGTTCGAGAAAAGCTTGCGAAATGTATGCGAAGAAATTTCTAGACGAACGGCAGAGTGTCATCATCGATCGGTGTAACTTTGATCGAGATCAACGTAGAACATGGATTGAGCTTGCTCGACACTATAAAATACCTGTTGATTGTATTGTTTTAACAGCTGATCAAAAGGTATTTTAAAGGAAAAGGGGTGTACTGTAGACAGCTTTAAAATACACTTTCGCTCTGATACAAAACTTCTTCTCGGCTTCTACTTTTTGCTGCCTATTAACATAGGAATGTGGAGATCGCATAGTGATACGAGAAAATCATCCTACAGGCGTTGTGGGTAGGGAAGGTCTCCATATTTTACGGAAGTTCGTCAGAAACTATCGACCACCCAGGTTGGATGGAAATGAAGGCTTCTCACGTATCCTATACCTGCCTCCCAGCCCGAGTTCTATATGTACAGCAGAACGAGTGGATGAAATTTTCGCATTGCTAGAGCAATGCCCATTATTGATACCAGACGAATTTTCATCAGTTAAAAAATACGAGAAACCACAGATAACAATAGATACTAATGGTTGGTCAACTATTCCCTTAAAAAGCAACAATAGTTGGAACAATAGTGGTAGTGCTGATATCAATCGGGCTGCCACTAATAATGTGGGTAATGTAAGCAATGCTGAGAGTAATGGGCTGAATCGAGAAGAATAAACAAGGGGAAAGAACCCCCAGACGTATTTATCTACTTGACCAAGATCAACCTGGTCCTTCATTTACAGCTTTTCAATATGTCGAATAGGACAACTTGTATCTTCATCTCTTCATTTGATCAGCAAATAGATTGGATAAGGGCTCGCTTGAACAATTTTAATGTTGATGAATTTTGAGTGTTAGTTTTTGAATGAAATATTGTCCACTTTTAGAGAAGCATAATACGAGTGACAGGTGTAGCAACTGATTATTGAGATCAATGAGCAAAGCGGATTCTTAAACATATCTTATGGTTATCAGTTTTTAATCGTTGTATTTAACGTTGCAATATTATACCTTTTTGTTTTCTGTCGTTGAATTGAAGTTGACTTTTCATGCTAGAATTTGCCGTTAAGTCTACAATGCCTTCAGAGTACCAATTGACCCGCACTGGCCAATTTCAAGCGCAAAGTGTCAAGGAACCCTGATCTTACATTTTCTGCCGAAATGGTTAGAAAGACGAAAGATCTGGTAAGTTTCGATCTTTCTAACAATATACAATAGATACACTAGAGAAAAAAACCTTCAAAGACTACAAGACCGTTTCGGGCTGCATCTTGTTCTATAAAGACGGCAAAAAGAAAATAAATGGATTTCGAGGATTTTTTTTTGCTCAAATATAGGTCAATTTCATCATTGTTCCATTCCAGATTATTGCACACTTGTTACGGTTTGCAGTTAGGAAGGCTGTCTTAAATTGCTATTGGGCTTCGATTGTTTTCGGCTCCTCTTTGAACAAGTCAGTGCCGTGTAGAAAATGAAAGATTACAGCTGAGTTATACAGTGTAATAGAAAGTAGCAGTAGCTTTACATCTAGTGCTGTGATTTAGCGATGCTTCTTGCTTCTTATCTCAGAGCGTACGGTTAATGATAATCGAGATTTGCTTACTAACTATACTTTGGTCTTTCTGTGAACTATTGCAATAAATACGATCCTGTCGAAACAAACAGCTTACCGAGAAATACGTTTATGGTTAAGAGAAGGCCTGGAAATTAAATGATACGCTATTTTGGCAATAACGAAGTAAGATTGTCTTCACATCTATCCGTTACATAAGACTTAGATCTATATTATAAATCGCTGTTCCTTGTCACAGGTTTCCTAAATAATTTTTGACATTGAAATGGATATTACAGCGTCTTCCTCTCTCTAAAGCTCTACATTAACATCAGATGATGATGTAACTTTCTTGGATTACCAATCTTAATGGAAGAAAGAAATGCAAATAGAATATTTGAACGATCAATAGTGGATTGACAAGTTAGATTTATTCCGTGCAATAGTGAACTGGACCAAGTGTCATTAAACCCCTTTTTCTCTCGAAAAAATCAATTGCTCTAGTTCGAAACACTTAAGCATTCATTTTAAGCAGGGTACCTTTTTTATTGGATATAACTCACTACCATGCTTAACACCTTTAAAACCGCTTCGTTGTTATTTTACAACCTCGGTTATGCCTTGCTTTGCTCAAGTAATTCACAAACGGTTGACTAATCCAGCGAACATCATCGATTACAGCTCACAGCATGCAGATTAAACGATATTACCTCAAGTTGTATAAGTTTCTTATCAACACTTGTGCACCTTGTTTATCTTGAAGAACATTACTAATCAGAATAGCTGTTCGCAATTTAGACTTGCGTAAGATTAGTTCAACAACTGTGGGTTGCAGCAGAAAAGTAATAACGCGAATAATGAGCATTACTTTTTGATCTGAAGCACTATGCTATATAACGGGCCAATCTCATGAATTGTATACAGGTCCATATTTAATTCATATTGTGATATATATTTGAAAACACGTTTAGAATTCAATTGAAAAAAAAAAAAAAGAAACGAAAAGAATCAATAAAAATCCCCCAGCATGAAATTTATATTCTCCACAATTTTTGTATTTTTCCTCCCCGTATTTTGTAGACTCTTGGTTCTCTTTTTTTTTTAGTTTTTAACTCGTTCATATTCAGATAACGTATTGTGGCATAGACGATTTTAACATCTTGACATTTAAACCAGTTCAAAGCGGGCCTCATCTCTCATTGCCCCTTTCTTTGATCTTGTAGATAATGACAGCAGAAAAGTCCGGTCAAACTCCTACGCATTCTCCACAGCTTGAATGTGAAGCCACGCCTAGCACTGCCTCTCCTATACTTCCCAAGCCAAATACTTCTATACCGTTATCAACAGCTATTGCTACTGCTGAAATGTGCTCAGTTGATAATAAGGATTCTAATCAGATAGTTCGCCCTGCTTATTCTGCTGCTGCTCCTTTGCCTGCCATCGCCGTTGATAAAACTACTGTACCTGATATTTGCACTATCAATCGTCCATTCGGCTCTTCTCAACCTAATGCTGCTATCATCTCTTACTCGGCTTTGAACAATTCTGCTAATACGTATACTTCACATATTGCCGCTTCTACCGACGAGTTCTCTAAATACTTCCGTCAAAATGTTTGCACTTCAACTACTTCATCGAAACAGCAAGGGATTATCGTCGTGAAAGACTCGCCTACACCTCCGCCATCCACCTCACCACCATTACTGAGAAGGAAAAGCTTTCACTTTAGAGACGCCAATAATAAAACCGTTTTCTCATCGACCACCAGCAATAATAATATGACGGTATTTAAGAATAAAAGACTGAAAAAAATAGTTTGCCTACATCAGTCTCGTGGCGAAAGCAACAAGCTGTTAAAATCAGCAATAGATAATACTTCCATCCACAAAACGTATATAATGATGCCTGGAACTCCTGCAAAATGTACACGATCGAAGAGAAAAATAGCAGAGCTCGACTATGAGCTCAATTGTTCCAATATTGCTACCAATATCTGCCAGGCAACTGGAGGTTCTGCAAAGAAGATTGATCCTATTATTGCTACAGTTAAAAAGAGTCAGAAAATGGCTGAGAAACATCATCGGCAACAGCTACGGCAACAATTAAAGAAAGAAAAAGGTAAATCAACAGCCAGTGGTTCGAACAAGACAAGTGAGTATTGTTTCTATTGGAAGGTAGTGAATTCATACATGCCTGCTTTGCTGACTATTATCTTTTTTTCTTTTCTTTTTTTTTTTTTGCTGTAGAGTCTAGCAAAACTATAATTACTACATCTAAAAGACGGCAGCCTAAGTTAAAGCAAAAGGCATCCTCAACTGAACCTTGCGATGATGAAAATGGTCATCTCGTTATCAAACCCAATGAATCTGTCACCCCTCGATGTAAGTGAATCAGTACACGCTATTTAGATCATATGGTGTAACAACCATTCATTCTTACTCAGTTTTGAACGTGATAGATAAAATCATGCGACTTATAGGGCAAGGAACATTCGGAAGGGTTGTGGAATGCTACGATCGAGAAAAAAGAGAATATGTTGCTATTAAAATTGGCCGTGCTATACCAAAATTCAGAAAAGCTTGTCTGACAGAAATACGCATATTGCAAAAGCTGAAGAAGAGCGACCCTCATAATTACAAGTAGGCATTTCTTTTCATTTATTCATCTGCCAGTTAGTCATTTCATTTGTGGGCTAAAAGAACGCTTTTTAATTAGGGGTTGTATTCATTTACAAAATCATTTTGATTTCAAGAATCATATTTGTATGGTTTTTGACCTGCTTGGCGATTCCCTCTATGATTACATGAAGGGAAATAATTACCGCCCATTTCCTATGCACCATATACAGTCTTTCGGAAAACAATTACTAACTAGTGTAGCCCGTAAGTTCTTCACTAGTGTTCACTTCTTTTACTTCTTTAATATACTGTTAGAAATCTAACTTCTCATTGTCATAGATCTTCACGATCTTGCACTAATACATACTGACCTTAAACCAGAAAACATCTTACTGGTCGATCATACAAGCAAGGATGGTCGCTATGTAAGTCAGCTCTAATACTTCTGCAGTATACTTACTTTATAGTTTACGATTTATTTATGTTGATATATTGATAGATATACGGTCAGGACCAGTACCGTTCGAAAGTTCTTTGCAGTACAAACATTTGCCTTATCGATTTTGGTAGTGCTATCTTTGACAATGAACATCATGCTAGTACAGTGACGACCCGCCATTATCGTGCGCCCGAAATTATTCTGAAACACGGCTGGTCATTCCCATGCGATATATGGTCGTTAGGCTGTATTTTTTTTGAACTCATGACAGGAGAAGCCTTATTCCAAACACATGATGATCTTGAACACCTAGCTATGATGGCCCGAGCAATAGGTGATATACCCAAAAAGTTTGTTCAGAGAACTTTGTAGGTATTTAGCAGTATTTAGCGCTTTTACAGTGTATTGATGAAAATGCTTTCAATTTGAAATAGTGATAAGCAGGCGAGAGATTTCTTTTTTCTTGGCAAATTGAACTATCCGAACCATGATACTTCCCAAGAAAGTATACAAAATGTACAAGATGTACGTTATATAGAAGACATTATAAACCCAGAAACAGACGGCGATAGATTATTTGTAGATTTGATCTTTAAAATGCTTTGTTATGAACCATACGAACGTATTAGTGCAAAAGATGCTTTGAAGCACCCCTTTTTTGACATTAAATATGACGAAGGCAGTGGAATTGAGCTAAAGAAAGGCGATTTGTGATCGGACGACCATGAATAAGATTTCCAATCTGTCGTTCAACACAGTGCCTGATTGCAACAACTACCATACAATATTTGATTTTTCTAAGTATACCCGCATAATATTCAAAATAAATGTTCTCAGTATTGCTAATTTTTTCAGTAGTAAATTAGCTTCTGAAAAAATGGCTCTGTATAAACAATTGTAGTAAAGACCTATCTGTTGATTTTAATAGAATAAGAGAATGAAAGATGACTATGGAGGTCTGTGATAACTTGTTATATTCCTGATTCAAGGATAGGATCCTTTCAAAAAGTAACCGGACGACAGTATCCGCTACTTACATAACAATAATGCTTGAGGGCTTCAGTAAAGGAGTTCTATTTACTATTAGCCGTTATCTATTGACTCAATTGAACAGCAGCGCCTCCTCTTTATTGTTGAGTACGGATACGCGTTCTGATCTACTTGAGAATCAAGTGATAAGCAACTGCCAACATTTTTATAAATAAAATGACACATCAGCCAATGTCCGAATAATTTACAGTTTGTACTCAAAGAAGTATTTCATTCCTGGTGAATCATTGATATACTATGCACCACGAAATATGTCTAGGGTATTATCGTAGGCGATAATATGTACATCATGAATGTCCCTCATAGAGGTTTTCCAATATTTTAGAAAAGTCTTTTTTTTTGGTACGGGAGTTGCGCTCCGGTTTTATTTAAGGTCCTCCTACTGTCATGTTGGGGGAATAGAAAGGGTGTGGTATTCGCTAGTTTTAACTATAAGATAAAAGGTAAATAATAACACAAGAGAAAATAATCACGAAAGCTTAACGAAATCAAACCACCGTCTTCATTTCTCTTTCAAAAACAAACTAAAGAAAAGAAAAGATGTAAATCTTATCAATTAGGATTATAGTGGACTACATTAAGTAGCGAGACTATAAAAAGATATTGAATTGTCTTTATTTCGAGTTAACATTTGGGTCTCTTTTATATCTTTTGGAATAAGTAATTTGTTTTGAGAAAAGGCATGTCTGAGACCTTGTAAATAAATATGGGCAGATAGGAAAATACATGTAGTGTTGTTTAGGTGAATAACTACATATATTTGGCCTAGGTAATTATAGAGGACATCACAAAAGAAAACTAAAATTACTGCTATTAATAAAGACTTGTTATGTTTGCTGTCTACGAAATGATTGTATCGGGATCTATAGCTGACACTGATGTATTATGGTCAGATAATACTCAGTGAATCAGACGTTTCCGTAAAAGAATAGGTCTTCCCTTTAAGTGGATACTTACTCGTCCACCCCCGAGCGGATTGATTTGTAATGTGCTATCCTGGCAGATCCAGGGTGATCATGCAGCTACATCTATAATCCAATATCTATCGGCCACCAGTTGTGTAGCTCAGATACTGTGGGAATGATTATGGATGTTAGCTAGGAAGAGATATCCGTGTATGGTGTTCTTTTGATTGCGTGAACAGTTGTTGTATTAATAAAGAGTGATTGAGCCTTTTTATCTCCAATCATACTTTATTTCCGGAACAGGGTGTTGTGTATGGGTAAAATATAATAGTAAAAAGAATAGAAAGACAAAGAGAAAGTCTGTGAAAACTTGTGGTAGGTTTATTAAGAGTCAATTAAGATAAAAGATAAGACAAAGACTCGTTCTACACTTCAACTTGGGATCATATTTATACTTTTCAGGAACTTGATCTGAGAATGAGATGTGCCTTACGGAGTTCTAGAATTGCTTGCTTGGAAATTTCTAGGAAATCAGAACAGTAACATGAGACATGTTTAATCATCCATATCATTGATATCAGTTGATATGACTATGTGGAAGAATACAATTGGATGTTCATAGGCGGATATAGATATGTTAAGAGAATATGGAAATTGCTGGAATAGACATGATCTTTCTGGATAATGTCTGGGTCTATACCTGATACAAATGGTGTTGCTGAGCCAGAGATCTTTTATCCGACCTTCAGGTCTCTGCTGCGCCATTCATATCATGAATACCTCAGTCTATTATGTCCATTGGATCTATCTTAATATTATCTGGCTTAGGATAAAATATGTATGGAACATGCTATAGCATTGGACTCTATTATTATAATAATATTATCTCATAATGCACAGACAATAAAGAATATATCATTTATCCATATGTAATCTCAACAGTGAATGATTAAGTACCAGAAGAGACTAATGTCATATTATGGGATAGTCACATAGCAAGTATTGCAGGATTTATTTGTCTCTGTCAATATCTATATACGGACTTATGCCTCAATATACAACACAGGGAGCAGTACCGCGACCTACTATGTTCTGGTTGTTGAATCAATATATCCTACGAGTACATATACCAATCCTGCTATATACCTAAATGTCATATAGCCATAGATAATCTAAGTAAAATATATTTCATAAAGATAACCTGTTCAAGTCTTATGTGAGGTAGCTAATCTCACATAAGAATTATCCTTAATCCATATTCTTTTCTTATCTTATCTTTATTTGTTATACATTTGATCTAAGGTTCAAATGTATGCAATCGAACACACCGCTTACCAAACGGGAACGAAGATATGAGCAGTACTCATATCTGAGATCAAGTTTTATTTTTACATTTCGTTAGAAGTTTTGAGTGATTTACAGTACTCATATAATATTGCCATCGTGCCTCAAATACGACAGAGGTAACAATTCAGCTGCCTAGACGAAGAATAAAGAGGATAACCCAAATAACGGACAATTGATGCGCTATACTTTGTATGGTAGCTGATACCCTCAGAGGTAGCAATATCAACCCAAGATGGACTACTTTCACCAGATAAGGATACAATGTCGGTCTTGCGAATGTTAACTTTGGCATTACTGGCCGAACCATACAAGGACAAGAGTTGGCATAGAATGGGCCACTCCTCGGCTGATCTCAAAAAAAAAACTTCCAGATCGTCAGCATAACTGAGTAGCTTGAAGACTGGTGGTTTAGCCCACTGAATGGGACTGTCATCTCTCCCAGTATCCGGATGCCGAATGATAGGAGTTTTGGCCACGGAAGAGACCTTCGTCTTCAAAGGTAATAGTGAAACACCATGCAAGGGGGAAGCCAACAGAGTTCTAAGGAACGGCTCGAACATCAGATTAAACAGCAAGGGTGACAGAGGATCTCCTTGACGTAACCCTCGACCTTGTATCAAAGGTTTGCCTAGGAATCCGTTAATCGAAATGGAAATAGCTGTTGTAAAGAATAATGACGACAAAGCTGAGATCAGATGAGCCGGAAAACCAAAGCGCGACAACACTAGACTGAAGTACTGAGGATGGACGCGATCATAAGCCTTCTCCTGGTCAAGCATAACAGCCACAGCATTCGAAGCACGAGGATCGGTACTTTTACGAAAGTTATCCATAAGCGTCATATTTACCCAACCGTTATCAGAAATCAAGCGATGTGGCATAAAGCCTGTCTGATACGGGTTGATCATCCGTGGTAAAACTGCATTGAGTCGATTAGCCAGTAATTTGGTGAAAAGTTTAGCATCCGAGTTGATCAGCGATAAAGGACGCCAATTGCTCAATAGTGTCGGATCCCCTTTTTTGAATAACAGTACCATCCGTGTTTGCTTCCATGATAAAGGTAATTTACCATGTAATGCCTCATTCAGAACCGTCAAAAATAAGAGTGTCGCTTTAGGAAATTTGTCAAATAAAAATTTGTAGACTTCAAATGGCAACCCATCCAATCCAGGGCTTTTATTGTTGGGAGAGTGATTCACGACATCAATCAAGTCAGCTATACTAAAATCCGTCCCTACATCAGTAGAAGCTTGTCCAGATAATTTCGCCGCGTTTGGAATATTGGCCAAAAGTGAATTAACAGCCTCAAGGTCGATGGCCTCAGGTGAATATAACTGACTATAAAACCGATGAGATTCCTGCAAGATTTCGGGGGTTGTTTCCAATAGTCTACCAGTGACACTGCATCTTAAGGAAGAAGTCGTCTGCTGCATTTGACGCAATTTAATGACCCTGTAAAAGTACTTCGTATTCCTTTCGCCCTTCTCGTGCCATCTGGTAGCAGAGCGAAGCAACACTTTTTCCATTTCTTCCTTTGCCTCCTTCTCCAAAGTATCGTTTAACTGGTTTATCAATACCTGTTGACGGGCGGCATGTTGTGAGTCGCTGGAAACAACACTTTCAGCCTGCAATTGCTGAAGCTTCTGCTGCAGTTTATGAAGGTTACTGAGTCTCTGCTTTCTGAAGCCGTGTGTAAAACTTTCACAGGTATCCTTTAAAGCCCGTTTTAAACTTTCCCATGTCGTTTGTGCATCTTGTTCACCTAGTAAGTCAACAGACACAAAAAAGGAGTTAACCACATCTGTCAGTAAAGCGCAAAAGATATCATTTCGTAAGAGTGAAGTGTTGAAGCGCCAAAAGCCTGGCCCTATATCGTCCCGTTCTGGAGTTAGATCAATCTGTAATAGTTGATGATCTGTCCAAGAAGAGGGTAAGCAGTTCTGTGTACAGTTGGAAATCCGAGGCTGGTGGGTCTTGCTACAAAAAATATAGTCGATTGTGGAATGGTGAGATCCACGATGGAACGTAGGATGACTTTCAGGAAAGCAGTTGCCAAAGTGCTCGACCAGCCATTGATGCCAATAGACGAAGCGAGGGTCAGCACAGCTATCAACCAGCTTTGGTAGACATAAATTGAGATCGCCCAGTAACAGAGTAGGTGGCTCGGCATTTGGTAAAGATGCGAACGGGGAGGACATAAAGTGCTCTAGGAAAGGCAGTCGGTGCGCGGATTGTGCAGGACCATAAATATTGATGAGTGAGCATTCTACTTGGTGAAGGACTTGATTGTACACCGAAGCACGGATACACCGTTCGTCCAGCGAGACGAGAGCATCCTGAAGTATAAAATTCTTGTTTAAGCAAATAATTGCACAATATTTTGTAAATAACACAGAGTAGTTGGGAAAAAGA